TTTCTTTCTTCATATGAAAAATCAGCTGTGTTTTAAATATTTACTCCCAACTTAATACCAATTTACCCGCTCATTTATACGGGTCGTCACAATAGAGTTACGCCGTGCTGAGGAGTTTGGAACTTCGCATGTAAGCTGTATTTATTGGTTCAATCAGGCTAACTTCGTCATGCTCTGTGTGTGCTCTAATACACCAAGACCAACATACACACCAGTGGCAGATTCAGGGGGTGGCGAGCCCGGACCATCGCTCAGCCCTCTTCTGGGTCCAAAGTTAGTATAGCCCTTAGGAATATTTCGATTTTAGCCATTCGGCCCAATATTATTTTATAATAGGATTGTGTGTAACTAAAAAGAATGGCTAACATATTGAAATAACTACTCTAAATTTAGCCTAGAAATTCTAGCCCGAATGATTTTCGTCTAAAAAAATAAACAATGAAACCTAAAATTCTAAAGTCTAAAATATAAAAGACTAAAAGAAATATGAGGTTGGTCCCCTTGAGAAATTACTAGAGCAGCTGGTGGAAATAGGGATGGACACATAATACAAACTGATTAGTCGATTCATTTCTCTAGTGTTGACATCGCCCGTTTCAATGGACCTGCTAGAGTCTCATCACATGCACTGTCATCTCAAATTCAGAAATCAAAGCAAAGATAAAAATCCATACCAGATCATCTGAAGTACAAATATTTGGCAAAGGATTTCAATATTTCTGTCATTATTCCTTCTTCACTAACCATGAAATAGGAAGAGTACTTGCTAGAGGCGTTTCAGCATCATCTACACCTCACTAGAGGGTCAAACATGCTTGCGAAAAAGGTGAACCCCAACTTTCGTACACCTGGCTCTACAGAGGTAGCTCAAATGTTGGATGGTACCTATGATTTCTATCACTGTTTGAGTGGGTATTCTGGATACCTATCGATTCCCATTGGCTGAGAGCTACACTTTGTCAACCTCGGGACATTAAACAAGCGCTTCTTTGGAGGCAACCTAGGGTTTGTTTTCTTTCTTTCTTTTTTATTTTATTTTCGTTGTTTGTGTGAGTCCATCCCGATGCATGTTTAGATTAGGCGTTGAACATTAGGGACAATGTTCCATCCTAAGTTTGGGGTGGTGAGTCAAGTGAGTCTCAGTGTTTGATGTGTTTGTGTTGATGTGTGGTGATTAGTTTGTCGTCGTTATTTTGTAAAAAAAAAACATTGAAAATCCCTAAAAATTTCAAAAAAAAAATCTTGGGCTCTTATGGTAAAGTGATGTATATCGATGTGTTGCCTTTAAAAGAACCTTGACACTTAGTGATCGTTGAAGTTACCCCACCAATGTATTGACTTTGCAAAACAAACTCCCTACTTTGACTGGTTAAAATGCTTTGAATGACCAAACTTAATTAGTAGCATTCAATTTCGGGAGGATATTGTAATATAGGTGAACTTGTTAGATGGAGAGTATTAACCAATCAATATGTCTGGATACAGTGCATACTTTCATTGTTTGTGAGCTTTTGACGTTGTCAATGAGTCTCTCGATTTTAAAGGTTTTATATGGGGTTAACTGTATCTTTAAAAATGAAAAGTCCTACCTAACAATCAAAATATAAAAAGTTGACATAACAATAAGTGTGGGTATAAATGCCAAAAAACGTGTGGGGCAATCACTCATTAATACATAAGGGGAATAAAAAGGATTCAACTGAGCATCGGTTCGCGACCGTACGATGTTGCTTATCAAGCAATCCCCTGCCGAGCGAAGTGTTGTGTGTGCTTAGAGGGCACAGATAGAGCTTCCGACACCACTATATAGCATTGACCCTCCACACAGATCGATGAAAAGGAGTTAAAAGAAGCCCCGATGCGTAAGCGAGGATCACAAAAATTGCTCTTGCTCGATCACTGATAGTAAGAAACAAACCCATTTGTACTAAATACGAATACTCGGCAAACAAAATGAGAAAGAGAGTAAGACTCTCATTGTAAACAAGGTAGTGATGTGCTTAAAGTGAAAACGAAGTTTGTGAAAAGCTTCCCCCATAAGTTTTTTAGACTCTTGTGCTTGGAGCAGAATTCTTAGGCGAGCACCAGTAGCGCCCGCGGAGCACGGGTGATAAAACCACTCGTTCGTCGAGTTGAGCTGAGGGATAATTGCAGGCGATCATCGGGAATTAGGGTTAGAGAAACTGGTTACTTTATTCGTAATTATTTTTTCTATTTCTTGAATTCTAAGATGTTGAACCTATAATTATTTGTTAGTTTGTTCTCCATGATTATGAACTAAACCCTAATTTCTGGGGGAAGACCGTAGGATGTAGCTATCAAATTTCTATGATTTAAATCGGATTATTTGTCTTTCTCTTTCATATTGTGTGTGGATTCTTAATTCTTTGTGTAGACTTGTCACCTACGTATTGTCTTGTTGTTCTAGGTTGAGATCGAGAGAAGATATCTAGGATAGAACACTCTTACATACGTCATAACACCCAATTGAGCATGAGAGTGGAAAGCGGGAGTTGTGTGATCATTAGAGGAGTTATCGGACTTCATGCTAGGTAGTTAATTGATTGGTTGTACGAGATTAAATGATTAATTGACTAGTTAGTACGTAGTGATTCTTCAGAGTGATAACTATCACCTTAGAGATAACTTCTGTCATTTGAATGATGATTAAATTGATTAATAAATGAATTGAATCAGATAATTAGCTTTTCACATAGTATTATATTAGGGAACCCAAGAGTAAAACGTGCGGGCTTGGCCCAAAGCGAACAATATTGTACTAATTGAGCGACCCGGTTATGACAAGTGGTATCAGAGGCTGGTTCGGTTCGGGGCGGTGGACGTAAGTTTGGTGGACCCTCATTCGATGGCCTCGAGATTTTGCAATCTGTGTCTGTTTGGTGGATCTAGGAGAGATCCACGTTTGGGCTACATCTGGTTTGGTGGATCAAGGGAGGTCCGCGTTTGTCTGGTGGAGAGATCCACGTCTGTTTGGCGGATCAAATAGAGTTCCGCGTCTGGGAAAATCCTTGTACCAATAAGCCCATCGCTACAAGGTGTCGGGCAGATCAAGATAATCGCTAAGGTGAGGACATGAAGTTCGTGGTCCTTGGCTTGAGGGGAGGATTGTTATGGTACAACCCAAGTACTACATCGGTAATACAAGGGAAGCAACCTTGTATATTAGTGCCCACTAAGCTCATTAGTACGAGGCCTTTTGGGGAGGACACCCAAGAGTAAAATCGTGCGGGCTTGACCTAAAGCGGACAATATCGTACTAATTGGACAACCCGGTTATGACAGTAAATAAATATAATTAGTGTGCTTATTATGGATTTTGTGCAATATCCGCGGTGGATAGTGGGTAACTACTAATCACAAAAATCATTATTTTACTACCCATATTCAACTAGGGCTGGCTATTTGGTATGGACTATTTGGTTTTATCCGGACCGGGACCGTATAATCCGGACCGGACTGGGACGAGATAGCAAATAATCCAATCTCATATTCGGGTTTAGATTTGAGGTAAAAAACCGTTTAGGACCGAATCGAAACCGGATAAAGATCGAATAAGAGACCTCAACACCGAAAACTCAACCAACTCCTCACCCTTTGAGGCCTCAGGTCACTCAAATCCCCACAAGCTCAATCTAAAATCAAGACCAAATTAGGAGCAGACCGGGTCAAGACCAGACTGTATCCAATCCAATCTTTGATTATTATATTTCCGAAAAGACCGGACCGGGACTGGATCAATTCGAGCCAATTTAACCGGACCGGACCGTGTAGTCACCCCTATACTCAACTTCCATCCCTAGGCGGCACACGGCCATTGACTGCGGATTGGCTGGCCATGTGCTAGCTGTCTACCAAATCGGCTGCTCCTTGAAGCGAGACTTTATTATATAAAAATAGAAATTATTTTATTAACATTCCTCCCACTAAGAGACACTCTATAAATTCATCTATCTAAAATCACATAAAAATTGTTGCTACCTGAAGTATAGCGTAGAAGAGGATGCAAAGGTGTTTACTTTTATTTTTGCGTTTTCTATATACAGATGAGTTTTTTTCCCCCTTATATATATCATTCCACTTGCATGTCAAACGGAGTTTGCCCACTTATGATTCGCTGTTGGTAGAATTCATCATTGTAATTGAGAAATCTTCTATTCGAATTCTGATGCCCTCTATTAAAAAGTACATCGTATGTATCTAATACTTATGAACATGGCGGCTTTTGAATCCTGATGCCTTCACCTTCCAATCCACTCCAACTATATATCATTATAATTCTCACACAGAGATCAAAACAATGACCGGCCCAACTAACCTTACGTACATTACTAATTCTACAGGCCGGCGTATGGAATCTGCCATATATTATTTGCAAAATGTATCAAACTATGGATGACTTTGGAACTCAGGTATCCTTTATAAAACGAGGCATAATATGCAAGAATATGATCATCTCGCTCATCCCATTTCAAATAACACAAAAAGGGGAAGAGAGTTAAAGAAAATGACATACATCATATGTTTTATGACATTTTGATAATTATATTCAAGTAAGAAGTCTTTATCAAAAGAAAAAAGTACAACTCATTCAAGAAAATCGACTCCTAAAAATTAATATTCAAAATGCACTTACTCTTTGTCGTTAGAAATTTCTATAAATTACCCTTTGAGTTTCTTTGTCATTGCTCCGCCATAAAAAAAATCTCAACACGGCTTCGTCTTCATTAATGAAAATTTTATATTCACCATCAATAGTCTCTTCCTTCTTCTCCTAAATTTCATTGAAAACCAAATTTTAATGTAAAATGTTCAAAAATATGAAACATCAATTTCGTGCTGGTAGAATGTACTTCATCCAAGTCATAAATATATTAACCACTCGCTCTTTCCTCTATCATTGGAGTTTCCACCATCAACAATCTCTTCTTTTATCTCAATAAAGTCATTATTTGCATTGCCAAATTCACTACACCTAAACCATTATCATACTCTTTTCATTGTTATCATGCATTTCTCTTAATGCAAAAATTTAGTGGCAAGATGTTTATAATTGTGAAACTCCATTTTCAATAACTTAAATATACCCAGTGCATGTAATGAACTTTGTCTAATATAACTCTTTGTCACCTTCATTTTCTTCAAAACCTTGTGCCCATTTATGGGGTTCACAATGTTGTAATCGATGAACTTGATATAAAAATTCAACTTCATTTCATCAGTCCGTAGGGGATGAGGTGGTGAAACTTCTCTCATTTTGTCACTATTTTGAGTAATTTCTTATTAGGTGTTAAAAAACCTAGCTCTCTCGTGATTCAGAACAACGAAGTTAGATTCAATAATGTTGTATACATCTCGCAGCTGAATCCTGAATCTATAAAATATATGCAATTGAGATAATATTTGGTCAAAAAATTTATGCGTACAGGATATAATTTTTTTCCTTGGTTAACAAATTAAAATGATATTGACTTTTGTATTGTTTTTTCGTTTTGTCAAAGTTATTGACTTTTATATTGTTGATATGTATGTTGTAAGGTTTTTATTTTTTGTATATTTATTAATTGAGCCCATATAATTATGAGTCTCTGGTGGCTTGCAGCCCGTAAAAAAAAGGCCCCACATAATGCTGAAATTTCTATGTTTATTAATTGAGCCCACATAATTATTAGTATCTAGTGGCGCGCAATGTTGTATACATCTCGTAGCTGAATCCTGAATCTATAAAATATCTGCAATTGAGATAATATTTGGTCAAAAAATTTATGCGTACAGGATATAATTTTTTTCCTTGGTTAACAAATTAAAATGATATTGACTTTTGTATTGTTTTTTCGTTTTGTCAAAGTTATTGACTTTTGTATTGTTGATATGTATGTTGTAATGTTATTTTTTTTTTTGTATGTTTATTAATGGAGCCCATATAATTATGAGTCTCTGGTGGCTTGCAGCCCGTAAAAAAAGGCCCCACATAATGCTGGAATTTGTATGTTTATTAATTGAGCCCACATAATTATTAGTATCTAGTGGCGCCGTTTAATTACCTTCCCCGGAATAATTTATTAATTCTCTGGGACGTGAAAGGCAGGCAGATTGACATAGGATATTCGGAACCATAGGAGCTCTAATGGGCTTTGAGGGAGGAGAAGCAATTTACAAAAGTCTCCTTCTGTGGATTGCGCACAGAGCGCAGGAAAAGAGAGGTTAAGGGGGTTCTGGTCAAGAACCTGTCTATAGTATTGTAGGGATATCATTCCACTTGCATGTCAAACGGAGTTTGCCCGCTCATGATTCGCTGTTGGTAGAATTCACCATTATAATTGAGAAATCTTCTATTCGAATTCTGATGCCCTCCATTAAAAAGCACATCGTATCGTATGTATCTAATACTTATGGACACGGCGGCGGCTTTCGAATCCTGATGCCCTCACCTTCCAATCCACTCCAGCCATATATCATTATAATTCTCACACAGTGATCAAAACAATGACCGGCCCAACTAACCTTACGTACATTACTAATTATACCGGCCGCCGGCGTATGGAATCTGCCATATATTATTTGCAAAATGTATCAAACTATGGCTGACTTTTGAACTCGGGTATCCTTTATAAATAGAGGCATAATATGCAAGAATATGATCATCTCGCTCATCTCATTTCAAATAACACAAAAAGGGGAAGAGAGTTAAAAGAAAGAGATGTGGGTAACTGAATTAGTGTGTATAGTTCTAGGGTGGGTGGTCGTAGCTGTAGGGCAGTGGGTGTACAGATGGAGGAACCCAAAATGCGATAAGGGCACTCTCCCTCCAGGTTCCATGGGGCTGCCCTTCATCGGCGAGACGTTTCAGCTCTTCAGGCGCAGCAAATCGTTCGACGTCCCACTTTTCCTCACATCCAGAATCCAAAAGTGAGCAACAACACCCAGAGTCTCTGTTTAAGTACATTAATGCATGGTTTTTGGTTTCTTAGTAAGATTTTTTATAATTAAACCTCGTTCAACAATTCGATTTATTTGTATTTGTGCAAACGTCGTCAGACTCATATGAGCATATATATTTTTGTTTTCTTTCGTTTGAGGGAACCATCAGTGTCGGACCCAATGATTAGGTGGACAAACCCTAAAATTTGGATAGTGTGAGTCTTGAAAAAAATAATAATAAAGGAAAATGAATTGGCAATTCCTGGATTTCGAAAAGGTAACACTACTATTATTTGAACATGCATCAATTGGATCATCCTAATATAGTTCGTGAGTGATTGTTTATTAGTATATACTTAAAGAGATTTGTTGACCACCGCGTAAACGGTGAATGTTTTACAAATTTTTTTTCTATAAATGAAAACACATCGTGATATTTTGTGATAACTTGTGAAGGCACGGAAAGATATTCAAGACGAGCGTGGCGGGGAGAGCGGTGGTGATGTCGGTCGACCCGGATTTCAACCACTACATACTCCAGCAAGAAGGCAAGCTTGTGGAGCTGTGGTACATGGATTCTTTGGCCGAGTTCATCGGCCAACAGGGCCCGCTGAAGGAAGTGGCCACCGCCGGCAACCTGCACAAGAACTTCAAGAAGCTGATTCATGAACACATTGGCATCGAGAGCTTGAAGGGAGACCTATTGGGCCTCATGGATCAAGTCGTGAATTGGACTCTGGAATCGTGGGCGGCTTCGCCCACGGGAAGCGTGGAAGTCAAATCTGCCGTCTCCAAGGTATAACTATATAGCTATATATTTAATGCTTTTACATGAATGAAATTTTAAATAGGTGCTAGACTTGACCTTTCAATTATTGTACTTACTCATTCTATTATCATTTTTTCCCCATATTTATGAAGTATTTTTTTTTGTTTTATCATAAAAAATTATTTTGAGTGTGTTTATTTTGTTCAAATAATATGTGGAAATGATTCGACTCACCCCTACCATTACCCGCACGGGTATTACCAGATTTGGCTTATGCTTGTTGCAGAACGGAGATGGGTATTGAGATACCCGCTCCACCCGTTTGCCCATCCTCACTCTACATCATTACACATGAAAATAGAGTTACTTGAATTTCATTTTTTGCACAAGTTGTGACATGTAAGCTTTTACATGAATGAAATTTTAAATAGGTGCTAGACTTGACCTTTCAGTTATTATACTTACTCGTTCTATTATCATTTTTTCCCCATATTTATGAAGTATTTTTTTATCATAAAAAATTATTTTTGTGTGTTTATTTTGCTCAAATAATATGTGAGAATGGTTCGACTCACCCCGACCTTTACCCTCACGGGTATAACCCGATTTGGCTTGTGCTTGCTGCAGAACGGGGATGGGTATTGAGATACCCGCTCCACCCGTTTGCCCATCCTCACTCTACATCATTACACATGGAAATAGAGTTGCTTAGAATTTCATTTTTTTGCACAAGTTGTGACATGTAAGTTTTCTGTTTATCAGATCCCCATTATGAATAATCAACTTTTTTCCCCCTCACATTTCCAATCTAATCTACCACTTAAAAAGAACCTAAAAACAAAATTTTCACACGGTAACTCCATAAAACCTAATCAATGAGCATGCAAAACCAAGTATACAAAAATGAGCAACTCACATAAGCGCAACAAACCGCGACATGTCATCTAGTTATTATGATATAAAAAAGAAACGAAATTTAGTCTGATAATATATGTACGTACATTGATTAAATATGCAGATGACGATGGATTTGAGCTTAAGTATAATGCTAGGTTACGACCCTCTAAACACCGACCCAAATCTCAGCAAAATGTTCACTGAATTCAGACGAGGCCTACTCTCCTTCCCTCTCAAGCTGCCCGGCACCGTTCTTCACTCCTGCTTGCAAGTACGACGCCGTCACCACTACTCTGTAACATACATTTATGGTGCACACTTAAATACTTAATTACATACGTACTGTTGATTGATCTCCAGAATCGAAAGAAAATCATGACGATGATTATGAATACAATGAAGTCGAAACGAGATTCATCGTCATCAAGTACAGCAGAAACACCAACAACGGGAGCTAATCACGACATGTTGGATCGTTTCCTCGATGACAAGAACGTACAAACCTCTGTGAACGACGGAGCCGTCGGATACGTGGTGTTCGCTCTTCTCTTCGCCTTCGCCGAGACGATTCCCAGCGTTTTGATGTTGGTGATGAAGCTGTTGCCTGAGAATCCGCTTGTTATGGAAGAACTTGTGGTATGTATATTAAGATAAAAGATATATATATAATTTTTTTTGTGTACTTCAGTAATATCATATATCGACTGTGCAGAAAGAGAATGAAGAGATTCTTCGTACAAGGGAAAGTAAAGAGGGCGAGCTGACTTGGAAGGAATATAAATCGATGAACTTCACCATGAATGTGAGCGAAAACTAGCCCATAAATATATACAATTCAAATTATTTGAGGTATTAAAAGTTGATCATGGAGGTTAATTATGTTTCTTGGGTTTGGACTTTTGTGTGTTCAGGTTATTAATGAAATACTTCGATTAAGTGGTTCGATAGGGCTCATAAGAAGAGCAATTGATGACATTTACGTGAACGGTTGGTCATTTATTAGTCAAACCCTAATTGGAATTAGCGTGGTCGTATTAGATAAGCTAGAGATTTAATTTGATCATGGGAGGTTAATTAATTTAGTTTGTGAAATTTGGACTATAGGGTATGTGATTCCCAAAGGTTGGACGATTGCCGTCATGTCAACGGCCGTTCACCTGAATCCGGATACCTATGACGATCCTCTTTCTTTTAATCCATGGAGATGGAAGGTAAACTCAATTAAATCTTTAATAATATCATTCTCACGTTATTATCAGGTCAATTTGTATGATTATCATAAGTTTATGCTGCAATTAATTAGTTAAATTTTGGGGGGAAAAAATAATCTCTAGGGGGCCAATGCAAGCTCAAAAAACTTCATGCCATTTGGAGGAGGAATGAGGACATGTGTTGGAGCTGATTACAGTAAAGTGCTCATGGCAATCTTTGTGCATAACCTTGTCACCAAATACAGGTTTGTTAATTTTTAATTTAATATGTAAAATTTTTCCCTTTTGGCCTTAAATTGATGTTTTTCTGTTATTTAACTTCATATTAAGTTACTGGTTTTTGTAACTTTAAAGGGATATTTGTTTTATGATGTGAAACTTATTAGGTGGAAGACCATTAAAGGAGGAGAAGTTTATAGAGCTCCAGCAGTGCAATTTGGAGATGACTATTACGTTGAACTCTCCAACAAAGAAGCCAGCATGGATATGTAGTCAATCTCTACTCATCTTGTTCTTGTTATTATTATTATTATTATTATTATTATTATTATTATTATTATTATTATTATTATTATTATTATTATTATTATTATTATCTGTAACTAATATAAACACAATGGCTTATGTTTGACGATGTGATGTAATGAGCTTATGATCTGCTGGATAAGTGCATGATATACATACTTATAAGGCGATTTCCAAAATACACCCAGTGAATTTAAATATATAGAAGGGTATTTCTTTAGTTACTTGGGACTATTTGGATTGTAAATTTATCAAGATTTGTGATACTTGGTAATGTAATATGAACTCTAAAGATTGAACACTAGTTTCGAATTCGACAACGTAAATGTAACATACCAACTACGTACACCAAACCACATAGAATACACTAAAAAAGATTCCCATAATTGTTCACCCCGGCAACATCGTCATCAATCCCTCAAGAGCTCTTACTCTGCAGTGCCTGCAAAAAAAAAAAAAAAAAAAGTTTGACAATGTGGTTTCAAATGTTCGGTTCTCGTACTCTTTTACAATTTTTGTTTCACCTATTTATAGCTACAGGGTGTAACCGCCTAAGTAACCGTTAGCTTGGACGGATGTTTCAACCATCTCGGCCACTCTTTATCCCATTTTGATAACCGCAAACGAGTCATCAAGCGCGTCTTGCCGGCCACTCCGTATCCCCCCGCTACCAAGCTAGCCATGTAGGCTCTTGCCACCAAGTCAGTCTTGCTGGCCTAGTCTACATACTTAGTTAGTAGAATCTCATCAAATTGATACCTTGCCACTACGTCGACTTGCTACCCCATTAGGGGGCCACCAAGCTCGTCTTGGCAACGTAGTCTCTCCATATGGCCCCTGGGCTCTACACTAAGTCCACGGTTTCACAGTTGACATGAGCCTCTTGGGCCTAAGGGATAAAGGCCCGCACAAACAGAAAAAAGATGGGGGTTGGAAATTGGGCCTGTGCACATGGGCTTTCTACCTTTTCCACTGGGACTAAGCGGGCTTCCCGCAACTTTTTCGAGACATCACCAATTGCTGCTCTGACAAGTCAGCAGTAGGTGCCAGTATCAGCTTCTTGGGAGTGCATCGGCGAAAACCCTCTTGGGCCCCACCACCAACCCTTCTCCACATCGGAGTGGGCTTTTTTTCATCTGAACCGTCCACGAACGGGGGCCCGTCCATTGACGGCCCAAATCTCAACTCCCAGTGTTACTGCACACTTTCACCGAAAGTCGGCGAAACAACACCACAAGATGTACTAGGCCTGCCCATTCATAGCCCAAAGGTTAAAGCAGGCCCGGCCCACTTTCCTTCACACCATCTTAATGCCCCAACTTGGGTCACAGGTTTTCGTTAAGCAACCCGGCGCTCGACGGATTGAGAAAAAGGGTTAATATCCAACTTTGCATTCCCATTCTCCACCGATGTGGGAATTTGGCGCCAATACCAGGGCATACCCCTCTTCTTTATTCATCATCATACCAAGCCTATTTTGTCGCCGTGGTGTTCATATTGGTCATATTTGATACCTAGCTATCAATAATGTTGTCAGAACCGAACCGGACCGGTAATGCAAACGGCTAGCACTTTAGTGGTCCAACCGGCATTAGACCGTTTAAAAACCGTTAGAGAACCGGTATCTAATAAACGTTATCAGTATAAATAGTGGACATTTCTTAATCAGAGCTCATCTCTTTCCTTCGAAATTGTGAAATAGAAATAAGGATTCAATTTGAGAGCCCGGCGTTTTTGGTTTAATTCAATTTTCAATTTTCTATAATTTTTTTAATTAAATTTAGTGGCTGAATGGCAAAAACCGGACGAGCGGCTCGATCGGCTCGATCGGTTAACCGCCTCAGCCGCTCGCCAACCGCTACATAAAACCGGAGCGGCTTTTAGACTGTTCCGAGCCGGTTTTGTGACCGGGTGGCGGTTTAACCGGTCAATAACACTATCAAGCATGTCTTGGCTTGATATCATGTCTCCAACTTAGCCAAATTTCACATCTTGGTACCAAACATTTCTTGTCAACTTGGTACCCTCTTGGTTTCATACTTGGCCAATTTTCATCTCTTGATACCGAGAGTACCTTGCCAGCTTGGTACCTTCTTGGCTACACTTTCATATTTTGATACCAAGTCAGTCACATTGGGGAGGAGGCTACTCGCCATGGAGCCCAGAGAGAACGGTGAGCCACTTGTGTCTGGAAGAGGAAGTTTGGCCACTTAGGTCCAAAAATCCAACCGAACAAGGCTCAAACTCATTTAAAGACTAATGTTGAATTTGCCTTAAAAATCGATTAAAACCTAAATTCTTTAATTCTCTCTTGTTTAATCGATGTAAGACCAAGGTAATATGCATTGCAAAAGAGGAGAAATCACGTTTGAAACCCGCATCTGAAGAACTAATCATTAATATTTGTGACGAGTGAGAGAAAGCCACATGAATGGATTTTCAACTTTTTACTAGAGATAACAAACTTTAGCAGTTTTACATAATTTAAAACAGTAGAGCATTAACCTCTCTACTCTGCGAATCAATCCTCTAATTGTCACCTTCTGCAAGCTGCTAATCCCAGAAGATCTTCCTTCTCAGCATAACAAGATTATGTCTTTAGAACGATGGAGATGTTTATTAGCATTGATTGGTGTACTTACTCCTGACAAGTAGTTTTTAGCAAATAACATTAGAGATGACTATGGGGGAAAAAACAGAGGACCCAAAACTTGCATACAAATAAACAGAAAGACATCGTTACTCTTTTTCATATACGAGATCCCAAACACCAAGAGCAGATACTAACATCACAAATATTAGACTCGACAAAGTTCTTTACTAAACAGGATCATATATACTGAAGCAGATCACCATCTCTTCGCTCTGGGTTTTTTTCAGCTTTCAACATTCCATCTTAGTCCTCCATGCGAATGATGCACCTCAGCCCTTCTCCTTTCAGCATGATGTCGAACGCTTTGTTGATCTCCGAGAAGGGCACGGAGTGAGTAATGAACTTCTCCACTTCAAGCTCCTAGCATAAACACAACATAACAGGACCATCTAGTTTACACACAGTTTTTTTTGTTAATTTATCTGGATTATTGGGACGAATTGGTTAAGCGCGAGATCACCTTGTTCATGTACTTCTCAACAACGGAAGGAAGGTCGGTCCGAGGCTTGTAGTTGCCGAAGAAGGTCCCCTTCAACGTCCTCTCGTTCAGGAAGTTCACCGGGTGGGTCTTGAACGCGTCGTCCTTGTTCGGAACACCAACTAGCACTGCAACACCCCAGCCCTGTCGAAAAATGTGGCACCACCAAGGCATGTGAGAATTGACATTGCTATTGTACAAGCAAAGAAAAGGAAGTTAATCTGGGTAATGAATGAACGGGGGGGTTTCCTTACATCGTGAACACATTCGAATGCTGAGATCATGGCCTGGACGTTTCCGGTACACTCCACACTACGATCGACTCCTCCGTCGGTCATGTCAGCAATCACCTGCTGGACAGGCTTGTCGTGGTCTTTCGGGTTCACGAAATCCGTGCATCCGAAGTTCTTGGCTGCTCAAGATACAAGGTTCAATGATATTCAATCAACCATGTGGTCAGAGTACAAAAGACCATGTAACATGATATAGTCAATCAGGTGTACCTTGCTCGAATCGGCTCGCGTTCAAATCAACCCCAATGATCTTTGATGCTCCACAAAGCCTTGCACCTTCAGCAGCCTACAAACAAAGCAAACAGGTCATTAAAAGTTTCAAACCCATTTTTTTTTCTTTTTCATGACTAACTTAGAACCATGTCAAATGCACATGAACATGGATTCCAAATGCATGAATTTCACAGCTTAAAACAGACAAAGAAAGCAAACCAACCCCTAAATCGTAACTAAATGTAGTGATGGGCAGAGGAAGGAAAGGCAGGGAAACTCACAGCAAGGCCAACTGCTCCGAGCCCAAAGATGGCGACGGACTGACCTTTCTTCGGCTTTGCAACATTCAGAGTGGCTCCAAGACCTTCAATTCAATTTCCAATTAATCAGTTTCCTAAACCTAAATCTTACATACAACTCTTGTCACGATTCGGGGAAAAAAAAGGAAAAGAAATTGTACCAGTGGAGATGCCGCAGCTGAGGACGCAGACTTTGTCGAGAGGGGCGTCGGGGTTGATCTTGGCGACGCTTCCAACGTGGCAGACGGTGTACTCGCTGAAAGTGGATGTCCCCAAGAAATGGTAGATTGGTTTGCCATTGACGGTGAACCTGGACTTGCCGTCGGCGAGCATAACTCCGCGGTCGGTGTTGATCCTGAGGAGATCACACATATTGCTCTCCTCCGACTTGCAGTGGCGGCACTCTTTGCATTCCCCGGTGAACACCGGCAGAACCTTGTCACCTGGCGCCAGATCCGTCACTCCCGGGCCGACGCTCTCCACGATCCTGGGGTGGAAACAAAAACAGAGCATAGTTTGAAAAACAGAGTATGGTAAAAAAAAAAAAAAAAACGAAATTTAATCATTGTGGGTAAAAATTTACCCTCCAGCTTCGTGGCCGTAGATGCGAGGGAACATTGGGGTTTGGCCTTTGGCTTCCCAGAAGTAGACATCGGTGTGGCAGAGAGAGGTGAAGAGGATCTTGAGACGGACTTCGTTTTCCTGTGGAGGCGCAACTTCCACTTCTTCGATCACCAATGGCTTCCCTGCCTCCCATGCAACCGCAGCTGTTTCCCAATTTCACCCAAAAAAATTCTTTCAATTGGATCGATTGGGTAGAAGAAGAAGAAGAAAAAAACAAACAAACAGAGGAACTAGACCACTTGTCCCGGATGAAATGGAAAGTGGGAAGAAAAGGAATCAGAGAAACCGAAAGTTATGAGCTTTTTCATTGAATCATCTGGTTTCCAACAGAATTGAGTTATAAGGATTGGTGATTTACCTTTGCAGCGAATGACCTGGCCCTTAGTGCTCGACATGGCTCTGTTTTTTTTTGTTTTTGTTTTGTGCAACCTCTTCAGTTTGATCTGGAAACAGTTTAATGGATTGGAAAGTGCTTGTGGGTTTTGCTTTCTATATGTGGAGAGATGAAGAGAAGGGAGGGATTGTATTTATACGGTGGAAGAAAGGGGATGGAACCATTTGTCAACCACGTAGTGAGAGAGAAGAAGAATCGGGAAAACCATTTTAGGGAAAACATAAGGCGGTTTCTGCCATATCCGTCCCCTGTAATTGGAGAGAGAGAGAGAGAGAGAGAGAGAGGTGATTTTCGGTGCTTTTCGCGGAAATTCCAGGACTCATGCAAGCGGTGAAATTCGGTGCTCTGTTTTGGCTTGGGTGAATTGCAAGTTTGGTCACTCATATTACCTATTTGCTACACGTTAGTTACCCGAATCATTTTCACTTCAATTTGGCCATTGATACTACACATTTATGTCATTCTTGGTCACTCGTCGTCTAGTTCCGTTAACTCTGTCCTAGGTGACAGTCAACATTTATGTTTGACCATTAAAAAGCTTATGTGTCAGTTAAAAATAAATAAAACATAAACAATAATTATTTTTATTTCCACATCATACTTAAATTTTAATAAAAATATATATAAATAAAAAATTAATTTCATGAAAAGTCCACTATCTTCTCCCCTCACGAAAAACCCCCAACCCTTCTTCCCACGGCAATCCGCCGCTCTAAAATCTCCGACGGAAATGCAGCGAACGAAGCAGAAGAAACCCACAACTCTCCTCCTCCCCTGCGCTCTCTCTTCTCCGACGAACAAACCCAGACCTAGCAACCCTAGCCTCCGACAAGCTCCTCCCCTGCGTTCTCTCCTCCGCCGCTTCCCTTACTGCCACCGCGATCTCCTCTTCGTCGAGCAGTCGCAAGTAATCGCCGCCGCCTTCAATCTCCAGCCATCGCTCGCCGCCCTGGTGAGCAACCAGAGAAGATCCGCTGCTCGATTTGTGATTCAGGACCGGGACCGGATAGCAAACAATCCAATCTCATATTCGGGCTTAGATTTGAGGTAAAAAAACCTGGATAAAGACCGGATAAGAGACCCCAACACTCAAATACCCACAAGCTCAATCTAAAATCAAAATCAAATTGGGACCGGACCAGATCAAGACCGGAGTGTATCCAATCCAATCTTTGGTGCTTATATTCCCGAAAAGACCGGACTGGGACCTAATCAATTTGGTCCAATTTAACCGGACCGGACCGTATAGCCACCTCTAACAGGCGCTATACATCCTTCTTTCCAAATCGAAGAAGGGAGGGGCTGGTAGTAGCAAAGTAGACAGTAAGCACATTTTATAATGAAATCCTTTTCCCTATAGAGACACAAAATTTTTTGACCCTACAACTCCAATTGATTCAGCAACAGGAGAGAAGCCGCCATGACCTCAAGTAATTCGGCGCCAGCCACGGCAGCGGATTGCTGAGAGAACGGCAATAGACCTTGATGCTCCCCGACGATCTAGAAGTAGCAACCGTCGGAAGCAGGGTCGACAGATCGTCGCCTCTGCTTCCCCGTTGATGGAACGCATGGCCGGAACAGAAAGAAGAAAGAGGAAGAGGAAGAAACAGAGGAGATGGCGGCGAAGTGCGAGCGCCGACGGAAAGGGGAAGGCCATGCCGGTGGGCTGCCTTTTCTTTGGAGGTCACTCGCTTTATTAATATGTATATTAGTTATTGTTTTTATGAAAATAAAATATTTGTTAGATTTTATGACATGGAAATGATAAATAAATACTTTTATTAGTTTTAACTGACACATAAGCTTTTTAACGGTCAAATATAACTGTTGACCGTCACCTAGGACAGAATTAACGGAACTAGACAGTGAGTGACCAAGAATGACATAAATATGTAATATCAATGGCCAAATTGAAAGGAAAGTGATTCGAGTGGCTAACGTGTAGCAGATAGGTAATATGAATGACCAAATTTGCAATTCACCCGTTTTGGCTTCAAGAAATTACCGGTAGCCGGTAGGCGCCTCAGGTTTTCCGCCAGGAAGGAAGGCCGAAAACTAAACCAGCCTCTGTTTGCTTTGCCCTGTTTTGTAGCTAATTTTTGGGTTTTAAATCGATCAAATAACACTATCACACTTGTTAAAGCGCCACTTGCGTGACAAAATGAGAGTTGGCTTTTCCACGAGACCGATTAATCATTGGCTTAAAAACGACGGTGCAGGTGCATCGCACCTCGCAGTTTATGGACGACTAATCTCATGGGCCGCGCTGCGGATTGTGTTTAGAATTCTTGGGCCGAGAAAATAAGAATGGAAAAGAGACCTAAAAGCCCATAGGCCATAGCTAATTTCTTTAGCAATCCCTTCTGGGCCAGCAACAACCTCAATCCTTATCCCTCTCTCGACTATAAACGAAAAAACCATATCCACCAGAGTCCAGACCACCACCATTCAAGATGATTATCCCACCCACTTTCCATCAATAAGTTGTCCTTCCTTTTCAAATCTACCTTCTTCTACCCAAAGGAAAATAATAACCATGCAAACAAGTGAACAACCACTTGTTGCACGCTTGTCTTTACCAAATCCTAGAGTGCAATTTATGTATTTATTGCTTGATGCGGTAGCGCTGAGAATCTAGACAAAACCGTGTGGAAAATCGTGGTATAGACCGTATTGTATGGTTTGGATCGTGAAACCATAACTATGGTTTGCTCTAGTTTGTGTTCTCTTTCTTTAGTTTATGGTCTGAAGTGGTCTGGACTGCGGTCTATCGAATTCGCAGTAACCCGTAACAGACCGTAACACACTTTCTACTAACCCATACCAAAATAGCACTAAATTAAACTTCCATTTATGTATTTGAAGAACAAAGTTGTCCAAATGATCACTTATGAATTATCAACTTATCAAAGAACCACACAAAAATCAGAAAGATTCCTAAATAATATTCACCTACAATGTCTAGACTATGGATTCAATAAAACATAAACAGTAGAAAAATTCATTCACCTTGATGAGTTAAGGAAAATTATTGAGAGATAAGCAATCATCTTAGTAATTCAAAATGGCATCAGAGTCATCAAGTCAAATAGGTGATCGACCGCGAGAACCTTTGGATCAACAGAGTAAGGGAGAGAAGCGGTAGCACAAATAGGAAAACAAAATCGGTAAGATCCCATCAAAATCTCGATTTTAACAATTTTAATCTCGATTTCAAACAATTTTACGGTCCGTCAATTTCAAATAAAGATCTAAAAACATTCAATCGAAATCCAATACAAATTAAACTCGAACCGCACCAAATTCAATCCATAAATTAATACAAGAAATTTGATACCATGGGTTACATAAAATATATAGTTGGGTTACATACTACATAATAATAACATATGCTTTGGGTTACAACTCACGTAACACAAGTATATAGTTCATCATAATTCCAAAATAGAAAATTGACAATCACAAAAAAGAATAAGAGTTAGACAAAACTTATTACAATTAGCATCCTGGTGGGATGGATCCTGAAATAGTCGGCTTCACGTTGCAGCACACTGATGTCGCCGGTCCAGCGGTTGACTTGACGTCGATGTTAGATAGCTGCACATTCTGGCATGGATGGAGGCTGCTGCAGTTCAAGTGAACAATCTCTGGAGTTCCTGAAGTCCCCACAATGTTGGTAAAACTGATATCCGAAAGCGAAACTTTCGATGGCCCCTAGAAACGTTTCAAAAGGAAAAGGTTAGTGCGCGTGCTCAATCGTGAATCATATACCACGCAATATAACCGGTTCACGATACGTACCGTATTCTTGCACGTATTCCAAGGGCAATAATCTTGATCGACGATGATAGGGAAAGATACGTTGTTCATGATGATGTCATCGAAATGGATGTCGGACGCATCACAAACCTCCCTATCGGGCCAAGACTTGATCCTCAAGCCATTCAACGTGTTGGTCAACGTACAGTTCTTGACGTGGATTCCTTTGACCGGCGACTCATTCGGGTACATTCCAAGGCTGCCGATGGCGATACCGTGGCCGGGCCCGCACGTCACGTTCGTCACCGTCAGGTCCGAAATTCCATCTCCGACGGAGATGCAATCATCGCCGGTACCAATGTTGGAGTCGAGGATCGAGATCTGAGCTGCTCTCCCCATGTGGATTCCGTCGGTGTTGGGGCTGTCTCCCGCCGCAGTGATCGTGATATGGCTAAACGTCAAGTTCTTGCCTCCGATCACGATGAAATGGAAGTTCTTGCTGTCTTTGCTCGTGATGCCTTCAATTAGGGCGTTGGTCACGTAGTTGAACCGCAACGTCTGCATGCATGCATGGCATCCAGATAACCACGTCACGATATTGCATGCATGCATGCATTCATAATAGTATATAGTTTACTTGATTTCATACGTACCACGGCAACGGACTTGACAGTCTTCCAAATGGCGGGGCCTTGGCCGTCGAATACACCATTGCCGTTGATGTTCAAGTTATTGACGTTGTCGAAAAGGAACCATGACTCGCCGGCGACATCATTAGGGGCCGTAACGGTTCCCAATACTTGGATTTGTATCTGAGGAGACTTACAGGGGCCTTTCAAGTCGGTTTTCCCGCACAGAAATGTCCCCGCCGGGATTAAAATGGTGGATGGCTCAGCTGATCCGCAAGCGTCAGCCCATGCTTTACATAAAACCTACAATAAATGAATTAATCGATTTATTAAAAAAAATTATTAATACTTTAAAGAAATGGGATGTTGTAAAAAAATTAGTAGTAATTTACAAAACAAAAAAAAAAAAATACATAAGAGAGATCATAAGTAATTTGGTAATTACCGGAGACATATCCGTCTTCCCGTCAGCAACGGCACCGTATTTTGTAACGTCGAGCACTCCACCTGGCCCGCCACCTCCGGGTGCGGGCATACCGGGTTGACCCGCACCACGTTGGGCTGCAACCACGGTGGCGGATACAACTATCAGGAGAAATAACATCGCCGGAAATGTTCTCATCGGAGTAGTTGTACTACCGCAATGCTTCATCTTCTTTTATTTATTTTATTTTTATTGTTTATTTTTTTTTATTTGGTGTTTCACGCTTTATTGTGAATGTCCAAGATGATGGGTGAAAAAGAAGGGAGCTTGTTCTGTTTATATAATGAGAGCATGAAAAGAGCTCAACGGTTGGGGATTTATTTAATTTCTTCTGCAGGTTAGAATAATAGTGGAAAATTACTATCCACAAGAAAAAATTATGAAAATTACAGTCCATAAGAAAATCAGAGAAGTCATGTTTTGTTGCGTTTTAGTAGGTTGTAAATCCTGATTTCCCTAAGTTAAATGAACCAGCTCATCCATTGATAGTTGAATAGGTCTCACACGAGTATTGTTCTGAGGCCATTTTTGACATATTCTCCTCTGACAGTATTTAATCTACTTTTCAAATTTCATATGAAATTTCAACAAACGATGTTGTATTCGTTTTATATTGGATTTTAAAAAAAACACAGAAATATCATATGATTTGTGCTCTATATTAGAGATAGGACCAGATTGATTAAAAGTATAAAAAAAAAACAAGCACTATATTGTATTACATTATATAGGTACTAGATTGTAAATAGGTTAATTAGTCTGTAGTATCGTTTATAGCTGAAACATAAAACTGTCACCTCCATTCAAAAATTCCTGCATCCAGAGGAGTTTTCTTTTTTTATCCGTAATCTCCAGAGGGATTTTCGAATGCTGGCATGGCAGGCAGTGGCGAAAAGCGGATTAACACTTATAGAGGCCACACTTTAAACTGTTGGGGCTAAGTTCCAATTAATGAAATGGTTGATATTATTTTTTATGTATACAATCATCTAGATCCAATTAGATCCATATGAGTTTAACTCCAAATGATGAATTGACCCAAATAGGAACCAATTCAAACCCAAGTCATGCGCAAAACCATTAAAGTACATATGAGTGCTTTAAATTAGAACAAATAACCATATGAATAAAGAAAATTAGGTCAAATTTTGCAATTAGTCCACAACACATTGGCATGTACGATACATGTGACAGATGTCCACCCAGATGACTGACATGTACGATTACATGGGGAAGATGAGCACCCAAATGAGCACACTAAAGCTTACTGTAACAGAGATGCGAGGCGAGTTTCGCTCTTTCAGCGGAAGATACATGCATCTCCCCACATCCGACTACCATAATACGAGCACCACCAATGAGGAAAATGCGGATGAGTGAGAGAGGGGAGAGATGTAGGAACTCCATGATTTTAGATTGTGTTCTTTTGTTGTTTTGTCTTAAAGACCATTTGGTTTGAAACAACTATGATCGTCGATTGATGTTATGTGGTTTTTAATTTTAGGTATGTGTGAACAATTATGAGTTGTGTTTTATTGTATTTCTTGTTAGTATGTCGAGATGTTATGTTATGAAGTTATGGTTTCTTAATATCATGATTGAGTACTGATTTTGTTGGTTTCAAACGTAATTTGTACGAGCAAACTAACACACACATCGACATACATAAGCAAAAAAGTCGAAGGTTATACGTTGATTTTCCTATACGAGATTGACCTTTTACTGTATGTGGTCGACCGCGAAACCAAGAACCAAGAATTTTGATCTACGTTTCACGTCATAGGGAATGGATGAATAGATAGTACTTTAGTCTTGTATCTGCTCGACCTCTTCTTGTATATGGTCGGCCATTTCAGTACTTTATGGTCCACCATTTTTCTCCTGACTAAATTAGTAAATTGAAAGGTCGATCGAAAATTTATTGAGGTTGACCACTAAGGTATCGACTAACTAAACACGGTCGACCACTATGTTATTTAAGATCGACCTTGAGGTTTCAGCAGAGTGACCACGGTGTTGAATTTGGTCGGCCGCGTGTAGACATAGGTCGACCGAAAAGTGCAAGTTACGGTAATTGCAAGTCACCATTGGCGCATCCAGAAATTTATTATCCCCTAAAAATAATTAAATTTACTACCGGAAGGATTTTTTTTATATTGTTTTCGAATAACGGATAGTAATTTTCCATTATTGGGGAAGAATGGTGTTAAGTTGGAGAAACATATCAAATATGAGCTAATAATAGGATAACGTAAAGGAAAAACGTCAACTGCATCTTCAATTAATTTACTGCACAATTGGTTGCTAAATGAATTAACACTTGTATTGGACATGGTTTGAGAAACTCTACTATACCAGTCGGTTCGGTCGAAAATACCGGATACCAAACTCCATATAATAGGGAATTTTAGCGGTATAAAATAATTGAATAAGGATTAGATTACGATTTTATTAAAAAATATCCTACCTTCACTTTTTATGGTATAATAACTTCCGTTAGGGTTTCAGTATTCAAAGAAGTCGATGTTACAAATCTCGCTAGTTGCTCCACACACTGGTGATGAATTATAAGCTGGGAAGTGAGAACAATAAATTACTGACTCACCAATAACTCAATACATATACAGCAGTTGACAAAATCGGGTGGACCCTTTTCTATTAATTTGTTTATTGGGTCACATATAATAATTGGCTAGGCCGACATAATTATAAATATAATCGTATAGGTATGTGTAGCTCAAGAACTACACAGCTCATAAGAAATATTATAAAAAATAACATTACAAAATTGGTGCAAAATTATAGAAATTTAGCATCCTGGTGGGATGGATCCTGAAATGGTCGGCTTCACGTTGCAGCACACTGATGTCGCCGGTCCAGCGGTTGACTTGACGTCGATGTTAGATAGCTGCACATTCTGGCATGGATGGAGGCTGCTGCAATTCAAGTGAACAATCTCTGGAGTTCCTGAAGTCCCCACAATGTTGGTAAAACTGATATCCGAAAGCGAAACTTTCGATGGCCCCTAGAAACGTTTCGAAAGGAAAAAAGGTTAGTGCGCCGTTACTATATAGTACTACTACATTTTAACATCATAACGCTACGTACCGTGTTCTTGCATGTATTCCAAGGGCAATAATCTTGATCGACGATGATAGGGAAAGAGACGTTGTTCATGATGATGTCATCGAAATGGATATCGGAGGCATCACAAACCTCCCTATCGGGCCAGGATTTGATCCTCAAACCGTTGAGGGTGTTGGTCAAAGTGCAGTTCTTGACGTGGATTCCTTTGACCGGCGACTCATTCGGGTACATCCCAAGGCTGCCGATGGCGATACCGTGGCCGGGCCCGCACGTCACGTTCGTCACCGTCAGGTCCGAGATTCCATCTCCGACGGAGATGCAATCGTCGCCCGTTCCGATGTTGGAGTCGAGGATCGAGATTTGAGAAGCTCTCCCCATGTGGATTCCATCGGTGTTGGGGCTGTCTCCCGCGGCGGTGATGGTGATCTGGCTGAACGTCAGGTTCTTGCCTCCGATGATGATGAAGTGGAAGTTCTTGCTGTCCTTGCTCGTTATCCCTTGGACGAATGCGTTGCTCACGTAGTTGAACCGTAACGTCTGCATGCAGTAAAAAAAAAAAAAAAAAAAAAAAGTTTACGTACACGTTTAACGTGCATGCATGCATGCAACGTAGGTGGGAAGTAGAAACAGTTTCGGCATGTGAATGTTTAACGTACCACAGCAACGGACTTCTTGGTTTGCCATACGGCGGGTCCTTTCCCGTCGAAAGTACCGCCGCCGTTGATGTTCAAGTTGTTGACGTTGTCGAAGAGGAACCACGTGTCGCCGGAGATGTCGGCGGGGGCACTGATGGTTCCCTGAACTTGGAATGTGATTTCCGGAGCCTTGCATGGGCCTTTCAAGTCTGTCCTCCCGCATAAGAATGTCCCCGTCGGAACAACGATTGTGGCCGGAGTGGTTGACGCGCAAGCATCGGCCCAAGCTTTCACTAACGCCTGCACATGCCATAATAAGTAATTTAAGCTAGTGTTTTTTTCCGTTGGTTATTGGCCTCAAGGTTCGAACTCAGGTCCCAGAGAGTGAAGAATTAACAAATTGCAATAATAATAATAATAATAAAGAATTTAGAACTTATTTGGTGGTGAAGCAAAATAATTATTAATTACCGCTGACATATCTGTCTTCTCATCTCCGACGGCACCGTATTTTGTGACGTCAATCACACCACCGGCAGGACCCGTGGCAGGCATACCGGGTTGACCCGCACCACGTTGGGCTCCAACCATATTGAAAGATGCAACCAAAAGGAGAAGGAACATTGCCGGAAAGGTTTCCATCAGAGTACCGGAAGGCTTCATGTTCTTATTCTTTTTTTTTTATTTCTTTATTTCTTTTTCCCCTGTGTTTATTCTTTATTCTCCTCTTTATTGTTGTTTTGGATGTTAAGGATGAATGAAAGTAAAGGGAATTGAATCCTGTTTATATAGGAAGATTTTCTTGGAAATAATTAGAAAATTACTAATTATGAGCTTCACAAAAAGGGGCGGGATTATAGGAAAAAAATCGTTAATCAAGAGGAGTTTTAGGTTCCTAATTGAAGTAAAACCTGAAAAATGGAAGAAGTCAATCGCAATAAACTCGCGACTTGCTCCAGGTGATGCGTTGGAAACTAACCAAATGGTGATAGGACCAGTGCTAAATTTATAGGACTAGTATAAGCACATTGTAATAGATTAAAATTAATTTGATAATCAGATATACACCATTAGTTAGTGAGTTATTCGAGGACGGACTTCAGGTGATTATGATTTATGAAGTTGTTATAGCGTTATGATGGAGCGGGTAATCAACAAACAAGAAAAAAGTAATATGTATTAGAGATATATAAGTATTTTTCCTATTTTTTCTATTAATTTTTTTCCACTCTCCTTTTCGGTTCCTACTCTTGTGGATAGTGGCTTGCATCTGTTGCAACGTCCAGCTACTTTCTCTCCTTACTTCTGTATATTAAATCATGGGATTATCAATGAGAACAACAACTCAGATTTCCACAATCACTAAATCTCTACATGGTATCAGAGCTAGCAACGATCAGCTAGATCCATCCTATCATCTTTTTTTTCTTTTCTTTCTTCTTCTTTCTTTCCTCCCCTGTTCTTCTGTTAATCATCATGACCGGCGGCTCAATTATTTCCGACTCAAGCAAAGGATCCACAAGTTCAGAGATCCAAATCATCACCTTTAATCCAGCCACCCAGCTTCCTCTGAAGCTCACCCCTTCGAACTTCGCCTCCTGGCGCTCTCAGCTTGAAACTCTCCTCATGGGGCTTGACTTGATTGGCTACCTAGATGGAACGACAACCGCTCCACCTCAATCGATCACAATAGATGAGTTTCTGCGGACAACCCTGCTTACCACAACTGGTTCAGGCAAGATAAACTCATTCTTCATGCCATGAGATGCTCAATTGACGAATCCATCTATTCCTTTGTCTCGGCTGCATCCACTGCTCGCGTAGCTTGGCTTACTCTGGAGAAGCTGTACGCTAGCAGCGCTCAATCGCGCGTCATTCATCTCAAAGGGAAGCTCGCAAAATCGGTCAAGGGAGATCGGGATATCCTCACCTTCATCAATGATCTCAAATCTACTGCTGCTGAACTCGCTCTTATTGGTGAGCCCGTGAAAGACATTGACTTGATTGTCCACTGTCTTCGAGGTCTGGGCGAAGAATACCAGGCTTTCGCCGCCGCTGTTCGAGCACGAGGTCCTGGCCTCACTCTCGAAGACCTGGGGGATTCGCTGGTTGAGTTCGAGGCGGACATCAAGGCTCGTCCCCAAATCACCGTACCAACGACGTTCTTCTCTCAAGGTCAGAAACAGGGCAGCTCCCCTCAGTCCCGACCTCACCGTGGCGGTGCCTCTGCCCAGCCCTACTTCGCTGGGTCTTCTCCCCGTGGGCCGCCCAGTCCGTCTCGCCAGCTCTTTTCTGGCCCAGCATCTCCGCGTGAGAACTCCAGCCCAATGCCTCGTCGACCCAGACCGGTCTGCCAGTATTGCGAAAAGCCTGGCCATACAGTGCACCAGTGCTTTCGTCTATTCCCTCAAGCCCGCCAGGCTCATCTTCAGACTCGACCGGCCCAAGTGCATTACTCCAATGCTGGTTCCTCTATTCCCCAATCCACAACCGGCCCATCCAATCCATGGCTAATGGATCCGGCTGCCTCTCACCATGTCACTGGCGACCTTGGGAACTTATCGCTATACTCCGATTATACAGGGCCTGATGAATTGGTTGTTGGGAATGGCTCAGGTTTGCGAATTAGCCATATTGGCTCTTCTAATCTCTCTACTGGCTTGCATTCCCTATCGTTACAGGATGTTCTACATGTTCCTTCCATTAAACGACATCTTATTTCTGTGGCTCAATTATGTCGTACTAACCCAGTGTCTGTGGAATTTTTTGCCACGCATTTTGTTGTGAAGGATCTTCGCACGGGGGCGCTGATGTTGAGAGGGGAAAACAGAGGTGATGTGTATGAGCTCTCGCCCACGACTGAACCTGTTTGCATGGCGCTTGTTACCACTCGCACGACCACACAATCCTGGCATTCCAGACTCGGTCATCCATATGCTCAATCCCTTCGCAGTTTGCTCCGCTCCCATTCCCTTCCAGTTTCTGCATCCTCTTCTCTTAGTCATTGTGATGCTTGTCTTTCTAATAAATCCCACAAACTTCCCTTTGGTGTTTCCTCTCTTACAAGTACTAGACCATTTGATCTATTATATACTGATGTTTGGGGCCCTGCTCCTATTACTTCTCTTGATGGTTTTCGCTTTTACTTGATTATTATCGATCACTATACTCGCTATACCTGGTACTATCCCCTCTGTCGTAAATCCGATGTTTCCCAGGTGTTTCTTGATTTTCGTTCCATGGTTGCCAACTATTTTTCCACTACTATTCGTCGTCTCTATACTGATGGTGGTGGTGAATTCATTAAGTTATGTCCTGAGCTATCTTCCCATGGCATTACACACCTTCTCACTCCTCCTCATACACCGGAGCACAATGGTTTGGCTGAGCGTAAACATCGACATCCCGTCGAAACTGGTATCACTCTCCTTCATCACGCCAAACTTCCCTCTAGTTTTTGGTCCTATGCTTTCTCCACTGCGGTTTATTTGATTTATCGTATGCCCTCCTCTGCCCTTCGTGGCCAGATACCTTATACTCTTCTGTTCAACCAAATTCCTAACTATCATAAGCTTCGTGTTTTTGGGTGTTTGTGTTACCCATGGCTTCGTCCTTATGCACCAAATAATCTTGCCCCCCGTTCCCATCCTTGCATTTTCCTCGGCTACTATCCCCAGCGGAGTGCTTATAAATGCTTTGATTCCCACACTAATCGTCTATTTCTTTCTCACCATGTGCACTTTGTTGAAGATATTTTTCCAGGCTACTCCTCACCCACTGCACCTGCCGTTCCCACTCCCGCTACTTGGCTTTTTGATGCCACCCCGCCCATCACTTTCCTCCCCGGCGCTCGGACCACCACGCCTCTGCTCAGCCCAGCCCCGCCTGGGCCCGATTCCCCCTCTCCATCGGCCCATTCCGGCGCAGGATCCTCCTCAACATCGCCTGGCTCCACTTCGGCAACTGGGCCGTCCTCTGGGCCTGCGACTACACCACCAGGGCCTCCCCCACCACAGCCCGTACAGCCTCCTCCTTTGGCCCGCTCCCACACCATGACTACTCGGGCTCAACATGGTATCTTTAAGCCCAAAAGGCTGTTTATTGCTTCAGCAGGGTCCTCGTCTGCCTCTGCCTCCTCCTCACCACCGCTGGAGCCTACTTCTGTGAAAGAGGCACTGCTCTATCCAGAATGGTCCGCTGCCCTCACTGCCGAAAACCAAGCTCTACATGACAATGAGACGTGGGATCTCGTGCCTCGCCTGCCCCATTACAATGTCCTGGGCAATAGGTGGGTTTATTGTGTCAAACGACAACCAGATGGCTCTATTGCACGGTTCAAGACTCGCTTGGTTGCCAAAGGTTTTCATCAACGCCCCGGAATCGACTTCGGCGACACCTACAGTCCGGTCGTCAAACCAGTTACAGTGCGCACGGTACTCACTCTTGCCCTATCTCACAAGTGGTCAATTGCTCATTTCGATGTCAATAATGCCTTCTTGCAAGGCCCATTGGAGGATGAGGTGTACATGCTCCAGCCCCCTGGCTACAAGGATCCGGACCGCCCCAATCATGTCTGCCGCCTCAAACGGGGCATCTATGGGCTTTGGCAGGCTCCTCGTGCTTGGTACAAAGCTCTCAGTTCGTTCCTCCTTGATTTTGGCTTCACTAAGACGATCTCGGACTCGTCCCTCTTTGTCTACAAGCGTGATGATGCCCTGCTCTATTTTCTGGTCTATGTCGACGACCTATTACTCACCGGCAATAATGATCAGCTGCTTGCCTCTTTTCGTGAGGCTCTTTCCCACCGTTTCTCGTTGAAGTCACTGGGTGATATCTCCTATTTTTTGGACATTGAGGTCATCCCAACTACTGATGGGTATCTGCTCTCCCAGCACAACTATATGCAGGATATTCTCACTCGCTTTGATATGCTTGACGCCGCCCCTACCCCGACTCCAATGGCTTCCACAGTCACTTTATCTCTCACCGACGACAGCCCTCCCTCTGACTCCACTCGGTTTCGTCAGATTATAGGGGCCCTCCAATATCTAGTCTACACGAGGCCTGACATCGCATTCTCCGTCAACAAACTCTCCCAATTTATGCACTCTCCTTCTGCTTCCCATTGGCAGAGCTTAAAGCGTTTGCTGCGCTATGTCACTGGCACAATTCATCATGGTCTCATCATCCACCGGTCACCTCAGCCTCTCACTCTCTCGGCCTTTGCAGACTCTGACTGGGCGAGCAACTTGGACGACCGCTCCTCCACATCGGCATACCTCCTCTACCTCGGCTCCACACTAGTCTCCTGGCGGTCTCAAAAACAGAGAACTGTTGCTCGATCAAGCACTGAAGCCGAATACCGCGCTATAGCTCATGCAAGTGCGGAAATTGAGTGGCTTCAAAATCTTCTCCAAGAACTTCATCATCCTCTCCAGGCTCCTCCCACACTATACTCCGACAATCTCGGCACTACCTATTTTTGCTCCAATCCAGTCTTCCACTCCCGAATGAAGCATCTCGCATTGGACTACCATTTCGTAAGTCACCTTGTACAAGAAGGTCGTCTAGTGATTCGCTACATTCCCACCACTCAACAATTGGTCGACGTTCTCACCAAGCCCCTACCCGCTGCTCGGTTTCTTCTTCTACGGTCCAAGATCGGTGTTGTTGACACAACGTCCGTCTTGCGGGGGCGTATTAGAGATATATAAGTATTTTCCCTATTTTTTGTATTAATTTCTTTCCACTCTCCTTTTCGGTTCCTACTCTTGTGGATAGTGGCTTGCATCTGTTGCAACGTCCAACTACTTTCTCTCCTTACTTCTGTATATTAAATCATGGGATTATCAATGAGAACAACAACTCAGATTTCCACAATCACTAAATCTCTACAATATGCATATATTGTGTATATATATATATATATATATATATGGTTGACTAAAATGAGGTGTGTTAGCTAGTCTAGCACGGGGAAAACATATAGACCATTACCAAAAATAGAACAAAACAGACCACACAGTTTGGTATGAACTTTAGATTATTAAGAAATAAGAATAGTTTGATCGGGTACTTGGTATGATCTATGATCTAGTCTAGACAGTGGTTTGTCGGAGTAGTCATAGACTCAACCAAGGGCGGACCTAGGCACAAGGGAGGTGTGTCATCTGACACACCGTCGCCCGAAAATTTTGTGAAAGACCTCTAATTCGTCGGTACTAAAATTTTGATCCCGGGATTTCCGACATACCTCTGATCATTGTATCCGACACAACTCCATTGTGTTTATGGAAATTTATTGTCATAAGTTATCAAAATATATAAATATAAGTTCAGGGTAGCGTACGTCCGGCCACCGTACGCCTATTGAGTTTTGCTATTTAGATAAATAATTAACCGGACTTTGGGGCATGATCCTATATCCTAACCTCTAATGGGTGAACCCCAATCCCTAATTTTCTAACCCAAACTGCAAAATTAGGTCAATCTTAAAATGAAACTCAACAATAATTTCGACGAATCAGAATCATTGATTTTCATTTCAAGATTAAATGAATCTTATGTTAGTTTAGTGAATTGGGGATTGCGGTTCACACATTATTGTTTAGTTGTGTATAATGAAAAACATTTGCTTTGCAACATAAGTGATGAATGTATTTTAGAGACATTTCAGCAGATGAAAAGTCGTCGTGATTCGTTGTAAAATGACATTGTGAACTTCGTAAATTAATTTCTTTTAATTTCTACTTAATTTTTTTATTTAATTATTATTCTATGTTAGCGGCGACACACCTCTCCAACAATCATAGATCCGCTACTGGACTCAACTCACTTCCCAATTCGAGTTAGAAGCACACTCGACCACCATCCTCACTCACCAACAACACCCAAGTCTCACATGCGTGCACTACAAGAAGATATATCTTCAGTTATGGGAACAACAATCTAGTGAGCTTCCCGTGACCATTGGTGGGCGGGAACGGAAACCGAAAATCTTCTATTGGCGCATTCACTTGGTGGTATCCAAAATATTTTGGCCCTTGAAAATTTTCAAGTGACCGACCCTTGTCTATTTGGATTTTATTTTTAAGTTGTTCTCATTTTCAATTTTTTCAAAACATCTCTTCTCAATTAAGGTTGATTTCTTACCTATAAATTTTGAATTTCTTCTATACTTTGTTAATATGCAATTTGCTTAAAGTGTTACACTTCCCTTTGAGCCCCATCAAAAGAGGGAAGGGAAAAAAAACACAAAAATTTCTCTTCGATCTTCCCTTCTCTCCATCTCTCTTAAATATCAATTTACCAATCTTCTTATTCCTCCTTCTCTATTCTGATACTCTAGATATTCCTTCTCGCAAGATTGGCGTAATATCGTACAATGTTTGGCTTTTTTTTTTAATATTGTATTATTTCCCTAGTGGAGCTCTGCATTAATATCTCTCTCATTGAGATGATTTCCTCCATTCTCTGTTTTATCTTCTCATATTTGGAGACTCTTTTGTCTTAGTGTCAAAGGGTTGATGTCTTCAGACTTCAACAGTCTTCATCTTTTTATTCCTTCTGTTTACCTCCTTGTTTCTCATAATCTGTCGTAAGATTTGGGGACTTTTAGTCATTTGTGTCTCGAATCAAACTCATAATGGATTCTTGATACTGGCTTAATCATACATGTTTTAACCCTTGTATCTGGAGAGTTTCTTGGTCATTTAGTTTGAAACACTCTTTCATATGCCCAGTTTATGCTAGGTTACGTTACATTTGCCATATTTTAAATCCTGGCACTTGGATGAAGGTTAGAAGCGAGTTTCAGGATATTTGGGAGTCAAAACAGGACAAAAAGTGGAGTCTACCCCAATGTCACGGTTTAAATGGTGACATCTGCTCGAATGTCACGGGCTGGAGTTGAATGTCATAGTTTAAGGGGGTCAAAATCTCTCATAGGTCGTGAAATTGATGAAAAAGGAAGAATCTTTTCCCCGTGTCACGACTGGACCTTTAATGTCATGACCTCAAGAATGACATAGACCATGACATGCTCGCACTTAATGAAATGACAGTTTTCGGATGTCGCAGCCTGAAGTTGAATGCCATGGCCATAACATTGGACATGACATGGCCTCTACCTTGTGTATAAGAGGATTGTTGCTATTCTAGAGAAAAAGAGCTGGGTTTTTGGATCTAAAATACCGAAAGGACAAACCCTAGAGGGGGAGAACGATTCAGGGTCGATCTTGGATCGAAATTGGAGGGTATTTTGGAATAGGAACTCTTGGAACAAGTCCGTACGTGGAGATTGATGATATAGAGCGGATTATTATATTCTCTCTCTTCTTTTCCCTTCACTTAGGTTTTGAGGAACCTTAGTCATATTTTGTTTGACTGGATGATTTTATGAGTACTCTTTCTTGTTAATCTTGAGTTCATATTCAATCTATGCATGATTTATGTTCAATTCAACTTTAATCAAGATTATTGTTTCTACTTTGATATAATAGAGAATACCTGATCAGTTCAATGAGGACCATCAAAATGAAAGTACTGGATCGATTGTGCGATAGTGAGTGAATTCATTGCTTTGTATTGAGTGAGAGTCTTGCACAAAAGAGAGAGTTCAGTGTAGAATTCCTTGATCGGTTGTATTAGAGAAAAATACGTCCCTCTAAGAAATCGTCTCAAGAAGGCCTTGAATGTTTTAATCTAACTTCAAGGCTTAGCCAAGGACTTTCTGCATTATGATTAAAGAGTGAAACAAACTTGAGAATAATCAATCATAAATCCAGCTAGTGGGTAGGGGGAATCAATACTTGAGTGAGTTTTCAACTTGTAAATAATCTAGTCGTAGTTTAGTTTGTTAGCATAGTTGTAGTTCTTTAAGTTGAATTTGATTTAGCTAGATAATAAACCAAATCTGACTAATAGTACATCTATAGATTTGTGGATTCAATATTTTATTAATTGTGCCACTCTACTGCGATCCTGTCTTTTGTTACACTTAGCCATTGATTAGAGTGGTGTTTTTAACGAGTCACTTCTTGAAGGATGGAGACGCTTGATCATGGTCGCTGTTGTTTGCCGTTTGCCTCTTTGGTGCTGATGTGTTGAGGATTTGCATGTAAGGAATGAAATTAGTATAAGGAAACAAAAATTTGTTAAATGACTTTGTATACAAATGGTAAATATTCCATAGTGGAATGAAAGCTATATTACTAAATAAATCTTGAAAGATTATCCAATTCAATTGTATTCCCAATGTGGTTCCTTCCAAATTATTTAAAATTTTCATATATATCCACATATTGTCATTTTACCAAAATTGTAAAAATATTTTCTCAATTGGATTACAACGTCATTATTAGTGTGCCAATTTTGCAATTTGCTGAAATGGTTAGTGTGCTAAATTAATCCCTATAAATACCATGATGATTTTTTTTCTTTCTTTCACCGAGCAATCAAGTTAGAAAAGTAAACACAAAAGGAATCGAGAAAAGAAAACAAGCAAGAGAGAAACTAGCCTATCTAGATCAGAAAAATGGCAAAGCTTGCAATGGTTGCCCTAATCTTGTGCGCCGTCCTATTCAACTTTGTTGTATCGAGCAGAGGTACAAAAGCTTTTACACTTACTTCAAAAATTCAATTGGGAAACACAATTTGTAGCTTAATTCAGATTTCACCCACGTACCAATATACTAATGTTTGTTTAATTTTGTTCATGTTGACTATTTAATTTAGATGTAGATCAGCAACTCAAGTATTGCCCAAGCACAGATGTGTTCCCAGGAGGATGCGGTGGGCAGCTACAAGAACAGTGCCTTCTCGACGTTCTGGGGAAGTATGGTGCCAGCAGCATGCCCAAAAACTGCTCCTGCACTCCTTCTGGCGCTCAACACATTTGCAACTGCCAAATTGTTTGCCGTGCCTGAAAACTTTTCGTGTTCTATATCTTTGATTACGATTATAATCACTACTAGCTAGTATAGTTGGAGTTTGAGTCATGCTTGAGATGTGTAATGCCTTGAAGGTTCAACGGTATACTTTATTTCCGTTATAATAACACAAGACACCAGTTTTGAATTACATTGAATTATAATTAATTACCTCATCAAAACCATAGAAGTGCAAACCAAAACCAGAGTGATTTCTGAGGTAAGTCGGATTGATAAGTAGGATCGCGATATTCCCAATCGAGAATTCGAAGCAAACAAATTAAAAAAAAAAAAACGTACTACATACATCTCCTCTAATTTTTGAGCCATTATATATGTAAGAATAATAAAGGTATTTTACCCGAACTATTTGTGAATTATTTCATTATATTACTGCTTTAGTGCAATGATGAGCAGAAGCAACGTTCCCATAGGCCATTTGATTTGAAGCCGGCCGGCGGCCGGCAATATAATATATCCTGCCGGTTCGAGTAGAAGACTGTTTGTCGAACTCTTTGGCTGATTTGTCTCTCCTACTGTTCGATTTCTTCGCCCCTCTGATTTTTGTGTTTGTTGAGATGTGATGTTTCCGGCGGCCGCGTTATACCTTTCGCTTTGAGGGGAAAGGCTAAGCTGCCGCACTTAAATGTCTCACTTTCTACAGATAAATAATATAGGTCATCACAAAATAAAACAAAAGGCAATAACAAGATAAAATGGAACACAATTCTTTTGCTTGGATGTATCTGGGGCTGGCTATTTGGTTCGGGGTTTTTTGTTTTACCCGAAATCGGACCGTATAACCCGGACCGAGACCGGATAGTAAACAATCCAATCCAATTTTTGGGCTTAGATTTGAGGTAAAAAACAGTTCGGGACCGGATCAAAAATTGGATAAAGACCGAAAAAGAGAGTCCAACACCCAAAATTTAAGAGTAATTAGCATAAACGGTCACAAACATTTGCACTTAGTACAAAACTTAACCAACTCCTCAGTCCTCACCCTTTCAGGCCTTAGGCCACTCAAATCCACACAAGCTCAATATAAAATCAAGACCGAATTGGGACCGGACCGGGTCAAGACCGGATCGGATCAAGACCAGACTGTATCAAATCCAATCTTTGGTCCTTATATTTTCGAAAAGACCGAACTGGACCGGATCAATTTGGGCCAATTTAACCGGACCGGACCGTATAGGTAGCCACCCCTAGATCCCTAGATGTATCCATTATTTCTCCAAAAATCTGAAGCAAATTTTTTAACTGAACGAACTTCTTTTTGTTGAAAAGCATATATATATCCCGTCACAAATCAACTTGTATCAATAATTCAAATTGTTGGTAGAGCCTCATATATGATACTTAACCATTTCTTTAGACGCCCCCTAAAATAAAAGTCAATTAATGGCTTGAAATTTGCACAGGTCCAACCATATCATGTGCTTTAAGACAACAGTTATATTGGAGGTTGTGAAAACCTGAACAGTATACTTGAGCTCAACTACAAATCAACTCTTATAACATATCATAAATTAATTAACGATTTTCAGAAACTCGAGTTACTAGAAGAGTTCAATGTATGGTATTAACCACATCCTTATACCCATCGATTTCAATTACAGTGAAATAATACATCCAAGTGATGGAATCATATAATGCTTCTGGAGCAACAGAGACAGAGCCAAAGATCCAGAAAGACTTTTACCATATTGGGCTCTCATATACATCCAACCACGACCTCTGCACATTTTTTTTTCCAACTATAAAAAAAAAAACCCATCATCACTCATCAGCATTCAACTAAAGGAAGAGGAAACAAACAATCTACAGATAGGGAAATAAAGAGAGTCTAAGAATTCCTACATACCCTTCATCATCAAAATTGATCGCCATATGTGGAGGCAGCAGCAGCTGCTCATCCCCTCCAAATTACGAGCGGCGGCAGCCGTTTTTGCAGCCTTGGTGATAACAATGGCACGTCCCTCGACCCAGGATCACCGGACGGTGTACGTTCAAAATGAGCTGAGCGGCAAGAAGGTGATAGTGCGTTGTCAATCCAAAGACGACAGTATTGGATCCCACGTCGTCGACGTAGGCTCCGATCTGCGCTGGGGTTTCGGCGGAACGGACAGCACAGTCTTTTGGTGCAATCTGGCGGTGGAAGATCGACGCCTTTCTTTCGAGGCATTTAATGGGATGGATGGCTGCATTTGTTGTCGTGATATTACCTGGGTGGTGAAGGATGATGGGGTTCATCTACTGACATCGGGCGACGAAGAATTCCGGCCATATCGACGGCGTTGGAACCATCTATAGCTCTAACATCCATACTTTGAGTTGATATGATTTAAATCGGATTATAGGGGTGGTTATAAGGTCCGGTCCGGTTAAATTAGATCTGATCCCGGTCCGGTTTTTTCGAGAATACGAGGATCGAAGATTGGATTGGATATAGTCCGATTTTGACCCTGTCCGGTCCCAATCCGGTCTTGATTTTAGATTGAGCTTGTGGGGGGTTTGAGTGGGCTGAGGCCTAAAAGAGTGAAGAATTGGTTAAGTTTTGGGTGTTGGACTCTCTTATCCAGTTTTTATCCGGTTTTCAGTCCGGTCCTGAACAATTTTTTACCTCAAATCTAAGACTGAAAACTGAATTAGATTGTTTAATATCTCATCCCGATCCGGTCTCGGTCCGGGTTATACATTTCGGTTTGAGGGTAAAATGCCGATCTCTTTTGGTTTGAGGGTCGCCATGTTGGGATCCAATGCCGATCTCTTTCGTTTGAGCGTGGCCCTGTTCGGATTCATCAGTAGTGCTGCTGATCTCTTGACAGACAGAGGAATTTTTATACGCACTCAGGGCGTTATGTAGTGCTTCGTCATTATTCCCTGCATCACCGGCAGGAGCCAGGAGGGACTCTCTACCCCACCTCGACAGCCCACTTTTTAAAAAAAATTTAATTATTAAATAAATAAATAATGTAATTACTTCTCTACTTTTCATTAAATGAAATTAATTGAAACCATAGATTAACATCTAGTTTGATATAAATGAATTTCACAAGTTTTGATAAATTCATTTTGAAATAAAAACTTTTTGTGTTTGGTATTTAAAAGAATTCATTTTCAATTCTAAAATTTGAATTCTACGGAATGAGAACTAGTTATAGCAATTTCGAGGAATTGAGATGAAATTTTCAAATGAATTCCACAAATATTTACTAATTATAATAAAATGACATAATTATCCTCATTTATTAACTAAATTACTTCTACATATATTATTTGAGACCAACTCATGCAGTATGAGGAACATCGACAAGAATTTGATTGCAATTCTAGTAGCATATGTTGGTTATTTGATATTTCTGCTTCGGTTGTATCATTTCGTTGAGAAACCACAACTAGAGTGTAGGGTTCATCGACAAAATATTAGAAAAGAACTAATAAATAGAATGGAAACACATAAGATCACTTTTGATATATTCTACTTATGGGACCAAAGGCGTTTTTTAGAAGATAGATTTCAATGAATATTGTTTCTGTCGGAATATAATCAAAGTGTAGTTGGAAACCTTTAGTTTGATTCAATTCTAAACGTATGCCAAACATGATTTGGGAATTCAATTAATTTTATTTATAAAGATTTGAACATGGCATACCAAACACAAGGAATTCATTTGAAAATGAAATGAATTCTCGGTTCGTTTGATACCAAACGGTCTGTAAATGAAATTCTAAAGTGTTTTGATTCACTTAGTCACATGACTAATGTAACCTAAGATCTAAAATGCTTTCTCCAAAACACTTTCATATACTCTAAGATCTAACCTAGCTAGCATGTGCAAATAGAGGTCTATTAGTTATAAACTCTTCTTCTTCATTAAATGTTTTGGCCTCAGGTGAATCCTCCTCTCCGTGGTCCACGATATCTCCATTTTCTTTCTCATCTAATGGGTTGGCTTTGAGATGATCTTTCTTCTCTCCATGGTCCACAAATTCTTCATGCTCCATATATAAGCCATTTGTGATTTTTTACCTCTCCAAAACATTCATGCATCTTAATGGAACGTCCTTTAATTTGTCGACTTCGGATGCTCCTCGATAATTTGAACACCTTCTAGAAGCCTCTTTAGTCCTTCACCATTGGGCAGCTCACTAGTCCCCTAGAGCATCATGTTAACTTGTTTACCATTTCCAGTGACGCTGAACAATTAAGTGGCCTAAGACTTGAAAGGGTGAGAAGGTTTTAGGTGTTGGGCTCTCTTATCCAGGTTTTAATCTGATTATCAGTCCGGTCCCAAATGGTTTTTTTTACCTCAAATCTAGACCCAAAGATTGGATTATATTGTTTGCTATCCGGTTCCGATCTGATCTCGATCCGGGTTATACGGTCCGGTTTCGAATAAAATAAAAAAACCCGGACCAAATAGCCAACCCTCGTTAATTGTGCCACTTTTAGCCACACGAGCCACAAAATTATTTATTTATCGCTATATGGTTTAGCTACATTATGTTGAAGGTTTAGCCACGAATTGTTACATAGCAACATATGCTTTTTCTTGTAGTGCCAATTCTTTGGAAGCTAGCTAACTCAAGTACTATTCTACAAAATTAATTATGGAAAAGGAATGACAAGCATTAAACAAAAATATCCTAACTACTCCTGCTATATTTGGAGAACTAAATCCATCCATACACTATACCTACCCATCATCTAAATATCATGATATTATGCCTTGTAATGTCGGCCGCTTACAATAAAATTCCAATCCTAAATCCATTACATTTCCGTTGTGCCCAACAGCAGAGAGATCGACTTCATATCAAGAACTAGTTGATCCTAATAATTCGAGTTGTTGGGAGAGGTTCAATCTTGAATCATATACCACACACTAACACTTCGATGGGCCTGAAAGTCGAAATCACCTGTACCGAATCGATCAAGCCGTCTTCTCCTACCCCTCACCACCTCCGAACCCACAACCTCACCATTCTCGATCAAACCGCACCGCCTTGCTACGTCCCGCTCTGCCTCTTCTACCCCAACACTTCTTCTTCTACGCAACAGCGCTCGCTGCTTACCGAGAGCCTCAAGGGTTCCCTCGCCAAAACCCTCAACGTCTACTACCCGCTCGCGGGCCGGTACAGAGACGCCTTCGCCGTCGACTGCAACGACGCCGGGGCCGAATTCGTCAACGCCCGCGTCGTCGTCGGCTCCATGTCCGACGTCGTCCGGCAGGCGCCGGACGACGACGTTTTGGTGCCGCTGCTCCCGTGCCGCCCGCGTGGCCGACACGTGGACTCGGAGGGCGAGCTGGTGCTCCTGGCCGTCCAGGTCAGCTTTTTCGACGGCTGCGGAGGGGTGAGCATCGGGGTGTGCGTGTGGCACGGGCTCGCCGATGCCTGCACGCTCGCCTGGTTTCTCGCCACGTGGAGCGGATTCGGCGGCGAAGGAAACGGCGGAGACGCCGTCGTGCATGATTGCACTGCCGTGTTTCCTCCCGCGGACCTTTCCGTACTCGGCGAGTGCATGGAGAGGCCTCGAGCGGCGGTGGCCAATACTCCCGGCACGAGAACCAAGAGGTTCGTGTTCGAGGGCGGCAAGATAGCGGCTCTCAAGAGGGGAATCGAGGAGAGCAGCTGGCGGCGGCAACAGCGAGTTGCGGAGCCAGGACTTGAAATCAGGTGTGTGTGTTTTTTTTTCTTTCTCGATAATTCAAAAAAGTGGTACCATAGGTTTTTTATCAATGGGACTTGATGAGATAGAACAGGGGAGGAAAAAAGAGCTATCACTATGCGGCCAGTTGTCCAATTTTTCTCCTGAAATTACTTCGGGCCTACATATGATAAACCTACCTTAACCTCTTTTTGACATTGATAGACGAGAGATGTAGGATATGGGGCTGACAAACTCGTTGTGGGCGTTAAAGTTGTACGAAGATTGAAGATCATAAAATGAACACAAATGTTTAAAACGTTTACAAATGGTCTTACAAGTATCACGGTTTGACAAGACAACTATTTCATATCTTTTTATCTGTATTTCCATCCACAATGACAAGTTAGCTTGCTCTGACAAAGACGTAGTTTATGGGTTGATTGGATGTCATATTTTTTTTATATTAATTTTTCACTGTGTCAACAAGCTCATGGATACTATTTTTTTATTTAAATATGGACAAAAGGAGACAAAATGATTATTTGTTAAACCGCGATACATGTGTAATCTTTGTGTTAACTTTTAAATGTTTGTGATGATTTTGTTATAGGTTCAAACGTACGTGTCCGTTTGATCATTGATGAATTACCCCATTTTTTCATTATATAATATCTAAATAAGTATTAAACATATATAATAATATCGGGGTTTTTTTTTTTTTTTTGCAGTGAAAAGATACCCTTGCGTCACTTTAAAATGGTGAGTTCCACGCCTTCAATATAACTATACATTTATTAATTTTCACCAAAATTTGACTGTGTTCCGCTAAACCCGGCCTCCGCCGCTGGCCGGAGCAGCAGCCGACGCGCGTGACGGCAGTAGCAGCGGTCATTTGGGCCGCGCGTATCAAGATAGCAAGAGACAACAAGAAGAAGAAGAAGAAGACACGACGCGATGACGTTCACATAGCTGCCATGACGACCAACTTGAGGTCGAGGATGAACCCGGGTTTCTCGGAGCACGTGATGGGCAACCTCGTACAGATCCCGGTCTTCGCGGAGTGGCCGCTAAACGACGAGGCGGTGGAGAATGCGGCCGAGCACGGCGGCGGTAGCTACTACTACGGGGCTCTGGCCGGGAAGCTGAGGGAGTCGGTGAGGAATGTGACCGGCGAGAGCGTGAGGAGGGCGGCGGTGGCGGGGAGCGGGCCGTCATCGTTTTTGGGCGGGTTGATGAGGCGTTTCGTGGAGGCGCACGACGGAGGGAATCTGCTGGTGATAAGCAGTTGGTGTCGTTTCCCGTTCTACGAGGTGGATTTTGGGCTTGGGAAGCCCGGCTGGATCTGTACCTTCACCATGAGTCATAACCTGGCGGTGCTGATGGATGCCAAGGACGGGGAAGGGATTGAAGCCTGGGTTACGCTGAGCGCCGACGAAATGTCGGAATTCGAGAACGATGATGGCATACGTCAATATGCCACCTCATCCTCCAATGGTGTCAATGCGATGTAAATATATACGGCAAAGGATAGCGTACATGTGATGTTTAATATATTGAATATTGCGAATAAGAGGTTGATAATATCTAGAGTATCGCATGTAAAACATGATAAGGAAGGTTTTATGGGGGCTTTTGCATGACATATAATGATATGATTTCATTTGATAACGCGGAAATCTCATTCTATTAAAGGTACGTAATAGTATATAGTTCTTTTATTCTATAGTAATTTATCTTTCTCGTTGGTATATTGCTCACACACTCTATTAGTTGTCTTAGAATGATAGTGGCACTCGACTCACTCATAGGGTTATGCAATGGTCCGGTCCGTGTTGGATCGCACCAGACCAAACCGAACTATATATAATGCGATTTGGTCATTGCTATTTGCTACCATGAATCTTCTAATCACTGAAGAAAATTGGACTGAATCGACCTTTGAACAGGACCAAAGCATTCCAAATGAGATCGAATGCAACAAGAGTATGGTCCTTGGGTATTAATATGTCTTTCATAAATGCACTATGGTTCATAGTGTGATGCAGATTAATAACGGAATCATATATGTTAAATATATATTCGATTAATTCAACATTAATATTGCAATATCGGCTTGGTGGAAAAGAAATATATTCCAACATACGATTCACCATGTTTGATCTCAACTCATGTACGTAGGCTTTTATTGTGCTATATGGCTTAATGCTTATCGATGTGGGTAATCAATCACAATCGGTTAAAAGTTTCACTATGTAGGTAAGTGCATTAATATTGGACTCTAGAATCCCCAAGTAAATGAAAAGCAAAATAAATATGAAAATTAAATGACGGGAGAAATAAAAAAATTATAAAAAATAAAAACTAACCTTTTTTTTTCTCCAATAACGACTATATATAACTTTCCACCAGTGAAAACCCTTAATCAAGGAGCAAATTTACTGTCATTGATGAATATTCATAAACTTCCCACAAAAATAAAAACATCTTTGAACTATAAAATGGCTAGCTATAGGCCAGCATAGCATCTCATCACACGAAGCATTTGCCAAAAAAAAAAACGTATTATCAAAAGAAAGAGATCCGACGAGAGAAAAACCATGGCGAGGTCTGGCTTTCTGGTATTCTGCCTCGTCTCTTCCCTCCTCATCATCGGAGCGATGTCGTCGGTCAGGCTGAGCCTGAGCGACACTCCATGGCAGCCTATAAGGAACTTGAAAGACGAGCATATTCTCGAGATTGCAGAGTTTGCGGTGAAGTACATCAACAAGGAAAACGGCTCCGGAGCTCAAGCGGTGCTGGCGAGCCTGGACAAAGCTGCGCTGCTACCGGATTGCGATGGCTTTCTGTACCGTGTCGCGGTGACGCTAGCTGAAGAGCAAACCACTGAATCTTACGAGGCGGTCATCTCTGAGAAGCCTGGGAATAAGTTTCTTGGAATTTCGAACACGGTTTTGCCACAGTGAAAACTCATAATCAAATCTGCGTGTGGATGTAATATGACATAATAAAACCAATCAGTTTGTGGTTCGAGGAAAAATTCAAACAATATTCTTTATATAATCTAAATTTTTGACATAGAATGTCGATGTTAATTGGAGCTTCTTTGTTTGGTTGTGTGTAAAATCGATAGAAATGAGCTTGAGTACTAAGAAATAATTAAAATATTTATGGGATAATGATGACCCAAGTGTTAAACTATATTTGGGAAGGAGTGCAAATGAAAGGGTTAAATACAGTTTAATTTTCAATGCATTTGCCCCATTTAGATGTTTGGCAATAGTAGAAAGGGTAGCAAATAGGGGGAATGAATGAGAGAGAAAGAGAGTGAGGAGGAATTAGAGATAAAAAAAATTTTATTTTTATTTTTTGTAGAAGATATTTATTTGCTACATAAATATTAGAGTTTGTATATGTATGTATATATGTGGCCGAGTAGGTGATGTACGAGACGCACAGTATTACTATCAGTAGCTCGAAGAGTCTTCAACACTCTCCCGTAAATTAATCCTGATTATTCAGGGATACTACGTAAATCGGTGGTTGTTATCGTTTTGCTATCCTTTTCCCTAGGGCTAACATCGGCCCTGTCTGGTTTATGACGTTGAATCCTTCAGCCCGACAAACTTCCAGAGGTTGGAAAGCTTCGGCCCAGCCTGATTTCAACTAGCCAGAATTTTTAGGCAAACAGATATGGGTAAGTAGTAGGTAGAAGTGTAATTACCCAAACAGGAAAAAGTTCACGAAATACCTAGAACCAGATCAATTAATAATGAGCACGTCTTAATCATGAATTACGGTTGAACAGTAACCACACAAGTCCTGTACATAGCTTAATTAACAATAACAGAACCATATAGGGGAAGCATTTCTGCATTCTTCTGAATATCCTGATCAGCACGTAGCAATTAGGCTTACTTAACAACAATCGCGCATTTTAATTATACCCACTAATAATTAAAATCCCACGTCAATATTCCAAGTCCCTAAACTCCCCGTTTTTCATTTTTTTTATTCTGCAGTCCATCGAAAACGCCGCCGTTTTAGTTAGTTGACCTGGTCGCACTTCCTTCGTATTTCTCCTGCGCGGCCCATTTTAACGCCCACATAGCCCAATTTGACCATAGAGGCTGCGAAGTCCGGCCCAAAATCGGCCTGATGACCACGTGCCGGCCCAGCATAGGACAGCAGAGCACGCCGGGTGTCGCTGTCGTCGGCGAGCCGCGCATCCGAGGCGAGCACGGCGGTCCCGTTGACGATGTTCCGAAGGCTGCTGTCGTCGAACTTGAACTCCGACGACCAGTCCAGCGGCACCCGTTCGAACCTTCTTCGGCCCAAAGGACATGCCGATTTTAGCTGTCGGAGGAAGCGGGAATTTATGGCCGGGTCGCTGTCCGACTTCCCCGTGAAATTGTACAGCCGCTTGGTCATGAACAGGCACGCCGCCGACCCTATGGTGTGCGCCCCTGAACCGTCCAAAGACCAACATTAATTTAATTAACGTAATCATAAATATATAAATATATAAATACCCTCAAGCCCTAACCATATATTATTTAATTTACCCGCGGTAAGGAGGACAAGGTCCTTGGCGTTGAGACCTTTCTCTTCGAATTTGGCTTTCAGAAGCTCGATGGAGTCGTCCACTTCAGGAAGGTTAGCAGCCAGTGAGGGCTTGGAAACCCTGCCGTCCCTTCTTCCCGTCGGAACCTCGTAGCGCGGTCCGTCGCTCTGCCACGTGTCAGTACGTCATCGACGTGACAATATTATTAATATTCAGAAAATCATCAGTGAAAATAATAGTGATTTGATTTAAGTGTTACAGGTAGGGGTGTGCAACGGCTCGGTTCGGTCCGGACTGGACCAAACTCATGAGAATCGTGGTCCATTAGTGAAAGACATGTTAGGATGAAGGTTCGTTGCAACCGCGTCCCGAGCCGCCAAGGCGACGATATCGGCGCAGGAGACGACTCCAGGGCAGGCGTTCTCCAGCTGTGTCTTAGCATCGTCGACGACATCAACTCCTCCAACACCCGCGTGCCCACGCGCCCTCCTCTCGCCGCCGCCGAAGAAGTCGAGCAGAATCGAGCCGTCGCATCCCTCGAGTAACGTACATTTTTTTTTACGTGCATAATTAATTAATAAATTGAAAATTAGTTTCTTCCAAAGTATGTAAATACGAAACGGGAACAAAGATTGAACTCTAAAAAAAATGTCTAACCTGCACGAAGCAATCGTGGAAGAAGAGCCTGAGAAGGCGGGCGGCAATGGACGGATCATCAGCCACCGCATTCCGAACCGTGGTTCGGACCAAGGATTCGGCGTCGGGGCAGGTACGGGCGTAGAACCCGACCCGGAGTCCATTTCCAGTAGCGTTGATGAAGAGGTTTGGGGACGACGACGTCGCCATGATGATGAGCACGAGAACAAGGAAGGAAGAAGGCAGCAGCAGGCTCGAGAATTTGAGATTCATGGTGTGATATTAAAAAGTATAAAACTAGGAGAAGAAAAGCTTTAGATGGATTGTGCGTGGTGAACCTTTTTTTTTTTCAACGCTGGTTCGCCCTCTTTAAATAGAGCGGGAGATTGGGTTAATTACCCAAATCATCACCATATTAGAAGGAAGTGCTGGAAAGGTGCACTGAATTTGTTTTTTTGCATCAACGAAGTGCAGCTTCGTGCGGGAAATAGTCTCCTGATCTCTCTTTTTTCCATTTTTACATTAGTAGTTGCACATGGGTTTTCTTAGTGTCTGTTTACAATATAAATAGATTGTTGTTGTGTGACGATATACGATGAACTCATTCTTCTTTGGAAAATGTATCCTTTCTAAATAAGTCTCGTGGATATGAATAGGTGATGGAATTTTTGGGGATGCATTAATACATGCACATGGCCGATCATATACTGCACGGTGTAAATATATTATCTTTGGTGTAGGTTATGCTTTTCTCTGGCACAAAAAGTTCTTTTACCAAAAAGAATTGGAGGTAGTAACTAACAGCAAAGGACCGGATTATATTAGATTGAATCTAAGGGTCTCCGTTACTGTTATTGAATTTTTAACGTCATCGGCCACAACAGCAGCCACGTCGGACTGCTTTTCATTTATAGCTTTAAAACATACAAGTTTGTCAGCATTACTAACGGAATTGTCAACAGAGAGTTAACGATGGACTAATAATTTGAATTTCCATAGTTGTGGCTATAATTCCCCACTTTATATTAGTTGTGGCTAGGGGTGGTTATACGGTTCGATTCGGTGAAATTGGCCCGAATTGATCCGGTCCCAGTCCAGTCTTTTCGAGAATATAAGGACCAAAGATTAGATTGGATCCAGTCCGGTCTTGATCCGGTCCGCTCTTGAACCGGTCCGGTCCCAATTTGGTCTTGATTTTAGATTGAGTATTTGGGGATTTGAGTTGCCTGAGGGGGGGATTTTGAGTGGCCTAAGGCCTGAAAGGGTGAGGAGGTTAAATTTTGGGTATTGGCTTCTCTTATCCGGTCTTTTTTCAATTTTTGGTCCGGTCCCAAACGATTTTTTACCTCAAATCTACACCTGAAGATTGGATTGGATTGTTTGCTGTCCGGTCTCGATCTGAGTTATACGATCCGATTTCGAGTAAAACCAAAAAGACCAAACCAAATAGCCAACTCTAGTTATGGCTAATATATTGTATTCACCCTAAATCTAACTTTACTTTGAAGAACAAAGTTTGCATGTATATATGATTAAAAAAACCGCGAAGCCTTGCTTGATCATTGCATGCCCTAATGCCTTCATTGCTTTTTTTAATTCCATTGCATAGTCTAGGACCTCAGAACACACTGCATCTCAACGTTTCCCAAATAAGACAATATTAATAAAGCAGATATTGGATTAATTACCAAAGCATCACTGAATTTGTTTTTACATCAACTAAGTGCAGCTGTGCAGGAAATAGTCTCCTGGCTTGTGTCTTATTTTTTAACCTTTCTTTGTTGGTTTCCCTGTTTTCCTACTTTCCCTGATCTCTCTTTTTTCCATTTTTGCATTAGCAGTTGCACATGGGTTTTCTTAAATGTACAAACATATATTTACTGTTTACAATATAAATAATTACTTCTTTGCGACGATACAAAATGAACTCATTAGCTTAGACTTGTAGCCTCCATAATTTCTCTGGAACAGTATCCTTTCTAATTAAGTCTCGTAGATATGAATAGCTGATGGATATTTTGGGGATGCATTAATACGTGCACATGGCCGATCTTATACTCTCCTTCCTTGCTGTAAATATATTATCTTTGGTGTAGGTTATGCTTTTCTCTGGCGCAAAAAAGTTTCTTTACCCAACGAATTGGAGGTAGCAATAAAGAAACCGCAAAGCTCTGCAAATTCCAAGAGCCGATTGTACTAATAGACCTCAGAACACTGCATCTCAACGTTGCCCAAATAAGATAACATATTGATGAAGAACCGTGTTTTCACATAATGGTAAAGGACCAACCTACAATCGGAGACAGGCCTATTTAAGGAATCTCGTTAATAAAAGGGGACGCAACTTAGTAAAAGGTAAGCATGCCCTAGTAAGAATAATAATACACTTTGTTCACTAAATTTTTTTTTAAAAAATTCTCTAATTCCTTCGTCTCAAGTCACTTCCCCAGAAGATGGGATCTTCAAGAAATTTGATAAACCGCGGGAGCGTAAAAGACACAGGGATTAGAGTGTTTTAGAGGTGTATAAATAATTCTTTTTGGGTGTTTGTTGGCATCAATGTTGGAACTCAGATGTGGTAGATATTCGCATCCCCACATTACTATGTACCAGGTCAAACTTTTAGAGTCATGTAGAAATAATTAGCACTTCTACATCTACACAATTTACAAGGGAAATTCAAGTAGGATGGTGCTTGTCCGCTCATAACTTGGGTATGTGTTCTATCACCCAGCCTGAATTAAGGAGCGTTGTGGAAGGACTTCAACTAGCCTGAGATATGAGATATCGACGAATCAAAGTTGAACGGGACTCGAGGCGTGTGATGCAACTTCTCCACAACACCAAGCACACGGACCACCAGCATGCTGAGATTATTACAGTTTCCAGGATCTTTTGAGCTAGGACTGCTGGGAGGTCCAGCTCCATATCTATCATGAGGCCAACAAGTGTGTTGAATTCCTCGCAGGATTAGGTCATAGCTTACCTTTGGGTATGCATTGTATCTCGAGCTCTTTTCCGGCTTTGTATCACTACATTTTGAATGACTGTGTCTGTTAGGGTCTCTCATAGACTAATTTGGTTATAAATGAAAGTTAGATGCATCTGCTTTGATTATAATAAAAAAAGATAAATTTAAAATAAAAGTTTCGACCAATAAAATTGTAGCACATATTGTTTTTCTCTCCACTTATTTTCCCCCCCATTAATAGCAAAAGATTTATTTCATTTTTTCCTTTCAACTAAAATTTTAATTTAACCAGATCTACAAGATGATATCCACTTTGTAGTATTTTGAAGGAAAAAAAAATGTTGTCATAGTATAGTCAGTATTATTTTTGTTTTATTGTGATATTATTTATGTTACCACCCAGTCAAGAAATATACTATAGTGTTACAAATTATTGCAGTGATATTTTAGGTTATACCACATGATATATTTTTGTACCTCATCACCATAAACACGTCTCCAAAGTAACAATTTATTTTGACAAAAAAGAGAAACAAATAGATATCATTCCTACGACGGGATTAACCGAAGTGTTCAAACAGGTACAGGTCAACTAAACGACATTCCTGTAGCAATTGGAGTTATGGATTTTCAATTTATGGGGGGTAGTATGGGATCGGTCGTAGGCGAGAAAATCACTCGTTTGATGGAGTATGCTGCCAAGAGATCTTTACCTCTTATTCTAGTGTGTGCTTACAAACCCAGATTGCATCATATGCGAGCCAAAATTATTTGACGAAGAAGCTACAGAAGTTGGGAAGAAGAAGGGCAGAATTTGGCTAAGTCAAAATCTGAGTTCATGATACCTACTTTGGAGGCATAGTTATCTCAATTGGCTCGGTGAAAGTTCAAGGTTAGATGTTTGTTTTGAAGATAAAGTTACCCTCTACACATTGGTATGGTTTTTGGATCCAGAGAAATCCATTAAGACCATTTTCCATACGCCCAAAGATGCTATATGGAAAGCTGAAAACTGCATGAAAATGGCTAAGGCAGAAAACAAGTTTGTGAAGCCTACTTTGGAGCTCAATTTGAGGAGCATGGATGTGATTCGAGTCCAAATGCTTCCACAACATGAAAATAGGTATGTTTTTCTACAAAGGGAAAGCATTGGATCAAAGATTGGATATCTGGAAGGCTTCGAACGAAAAGCACGAAGTTAGTACAAAATTTGTTTTCTGGCAACTTGTGCTTGAAGAAAGAGAGTTTGTTGCCAATTTTTGTGTTCTTTTTAGAGTTTGCTTTTTTACCTTATTGTTTCCTTGTTCCATTAGGTTTGTATTAGATTTTTCTTACTTTAAATACCTTTCAAATTCACGTTGTAAATCAAACAAGTTTGTTGAATAAAAATTACTCGGCATAGTTTTGTGTTCTTTGAGTTGTGTATCGAGAATCAAATCCTTGAGTTAGCTTTGTGTGGAATTTCATTGCTAATTCGAGAATTCTTGTCAAACTTTTTTGTGAGGATTCCAGATTCGTTTGACAAGTTTCTTATCAATCAAGTAAACACCTTGATTGTGGTGAAATTCTACCTTTCCATTTTATATTCGTACGATCAGTTTGGGTCGAGTTTGGGCTGCGTATTCTGATCAAACAAGCACCCCTTTGTGCTTGTATCAAAATGTTATTTTTCTGTGCAAACAATTATACAAATTTCGAAAGAAAATTTGATAAATGTGGAGGGAGAGGTTTGGGTTAAAATAAATGAAACTTGATTCAACTTAAACTCCGGTTATAAAAGAAAACTTGTGGATGTAAATTTTGAAATATCATCTAAGAAATTTTTGTAATTAGTTCAGGTTTTGGGTGTTTCAATTTGAAAAAATCTGCATTTAAACTTAGGTCTTTTAATGTAGATCACATAACCATTGTTTCGCTGATTATTTTGAAACCTAACAAATAGGTGGATGGATCATGGAGTTACCTAAGAGTAATAGAGAGAATGAATGAGTAAAGTATATTACGAATAAGTAATTTTATAGTTGGCTATCATCCTTCTAGAAAGTCTCCATAACAATGTGTTAAAGTCTATATGCTTTAAATATTGTTATTGTTGTGTGATGATCACATTATTTCAGATTAGATGTGAGTAGTTATGCATTAGAAGACGTCATGAAATACGATCCTAGACATTTTTAGGATTTATAGATTGATTGTATTTTATCTGAATTGCCAAAACTACTACACGAAGTGCACATCACACAGCTTGAACATCGAAGGGCCTTCCAGATGGACTCGACCACGACATTGTCCATCCTGCAAATGACGTTGCCCTGTCGCACCAACACATGAGCCTCGTGCTGCAGTTCCAAAACCTTATCAGTAGGGGTGAACAATGGGTGGTTTTATGCTGATTTGTATGAGTTTGGACCCACCCGTTACGTGGTGGATGAAAGAGAATATGACCCACAATCACCCAACATGTATTTGTGGGTGTGTTGGGTGATTGTGGATGGTGGACGGATGGACATTTTCGGTGGATTTGTATTTTATAACATATAAACTTTAGTCTATTTGCACTCACTCAAACTTTAGTGGGTCACTTATTTTAGGGTTCATACCCACACGAACCACTCACAACATAATGGGTAGGTCTTCAAATATTGATATTAGTTAGTAATATAAAAAGGGCTTATTAGATCATAATTCCATATTCCATAACAAAATGGACTAAGATCACTGAGTGAAACGACACCGCTCAGTCTGTGGATCTTCTGAATTCGCCTGTCCTTTATTAATGGACCGTCACCGTCAGTCCGTCACAGTAAATCCTAAATACAAACGAGAGAGACTTGAAAATTCTTCTAAAATAAACAGAGACGCCCGTAAGAGCTTCCTCGTCGCCGGCTGTCCACCGTCGGTCTTGGCCAGTCTCAATCCCGAGGCTTTTGAACTCGGCGATCATAAACGGAATAGTACAGGGAGTTGGAGTTCAACCTTTTGAAGCCGTCCTGCCGGTTATTTCTCTCTTCCTCTTGCCACCGCCATCGAACAATTTCAACTGCAATTGGCCTTTGTGTGTAAAACCTAGGTATTCTACTCTGTTCAGCCTGATTAAAGATTATCTCTGAAGGGTTTGAAGGGTTCGTTCTTGCTTGTATGAGAGACTGAAACTCTTCAATTATGTATTTCGATGGTGTAATTGCCCTAGTAGTATCTGAGATCTCTGTTTCGCTTTCTAAACTTGCAGTCAATTAGGGTTCTTTGAAGTGATAACTCGGTAAAGTTAAACGAGGGGCGAGGGAAGATGAGCAGCTCCGGTGCTGCAGGGCAATCGGCAAAACCTGCCAAGGCTGGTTCCTCACAGCCTTCAGAAACATCTGTTAAGAGGAAACGAGGAATGTTTCAGAAAGATTGTAAGCCCTGGCAGCCGCATATAACATAATTTCTGTTTTGGTTTTTTGTTTATTGAGTAGTGTTAAAAGTGATTGATATGTCTGTAATTTCTTCCTTGCCGCAGTACAGCACATGATGTATGGGTTTGGAGATGATCCTAATGTGAGTTTACCATCTCATTAGTACTTTAAATATCTCCCGTTTTGTTTTGCTTAGGTTTTCTCTGCATCGGGCATTAGCTTTCGGTTGAGGATCTTGTAGCGAAATAAGGTGTGAATTCATAGGTGGTCTTCCTACAAACTTTGCATCCTAAAAACATTGGAGGTTTTGGAGATAACCAATTAACCTTGGAACTGGGCACACCAATAGTTTACTAGGGGCGTTCAATTAGTGACTTGACAGGGATGTTTCATTCTGCTTCAATATCTTGCATTACTGTGAACCAAAAACCTAGTAGAATTTGGGAGAGTCTGCATTGCTTCCTGGTTATCTGTTAGACTAAGCTAAACGAAAAGCATATGTGATTTGGCCCTCAATAACAGATTAGGGATGTCCCATGATGAGTCCGAGTCCAAGTTTGTACTAAAGGTTCCCTTTCTAGATTGTTAGGTTCCCTAATCAGAGAGCTCTAAGTGCAAACTAAGGTTCCATCTTTGAAAATTCTGCTATGGTGTCATTACTCAGATGATATAACGAGTCTTCGAGAGAAGATTCAGTTGATTATCTGGATCCATAGAGTATGTGTATGTATGAGCTACAACTATTATACCGCGCCGTCCCTGGCCTCGTTTAAATGTTTAAGAGTATAATGAATGGGGTTTTTGACTATTTGATACGACTTCTGCGGCTCACTTACAAGCTTTCTAGTTCTGAGATTCTTCTTGTGTTTTGTTCTTACTTTGATTTTAATTCATTTGCTTTTTTTGTTTTCCTTTGTAATCAGCCGATTCCTGAAAGTGTGGCACTTGTGGAAGACATTGTTGTAGAGTATGTCACCGATATGGTAAGCATTCAGTTTTGCTTGTAACAGAAGCCTGGGAAATTTTCAATGCATATGCTAGCAATAGGGTCCTAATCTGGGTACTTCCGTTCCTTCAGGTACATAAAGCACAAGATATAGGATCCAAGAGAGGCAAAATATCAATTGAGGATTTCCTCTACTTGATTCGCAAGGTACTTTGTCTGCAGTCCTTTCCATCTTACCAATCTATGCTAACCATAGAAACTAGGCCTAGCAGAGCCACTTCTTCATAATGTATACGATCGTCTCGATCATGGCACTTCAAGTCATCAAGCTCTTTACCATGGTTGGTTTTTAGGGTGTGCAAGATGAAAGCAATGATTTACTGTTTAGATCCTTATGTTCCGACAGGTTTTTGGTTGTTTGTGACTTTAAGCTGAAATAGGAATATCTATGTTATGTAAGATGTCTATTCTCTGCCAAATAAAAGATGTATGCACAATTATGGTTCACCCCTTCTGCATTTGATAATTTTTTGTCCTGCTCTCAACGACAATGCAGGACACACCGAAGCTCAACCGGTGTACAGAACTGCTATCCATGCAAGAAGAGCTGAAGCAAGCTAGGAAAGCTTTTGACGTGGATGAGGAGAAACTGGCTTCACTGGAGTGATATCGAAGGGCTGGAAAATTGCAGTTGTCTTGCGTGTAATTGAAGCAAAGATGTGTAGTGACTTTTATTGAAGGAAATAACTCAATACTTGCTTGTAGATAAAGATTCTCTTTTATGAGTTTTCTCTCGCGGAGTAGTCTACTTGTCTCAGTCAAAGGGCAAAGGCAGAATCTCATCTTGCAGTTTCCACATCCAGAGTGTTGTTTTGTTCCACGAGAAGAAATCATTCAACTTTATTTTACTCCTTCCAACTTGTTTTCTTTTGTGCTCACAAATCACAATTGGTGGCTGATGGCTTTTTGGTCAATGTAAGTAACAGGTTTTGTTACACAAACTGGCCAGAGGAACCCGATATGAGATAGTAGTTAATACCGGTCAAAATTTGTCAATACCGACAAAATTAGGTGTCCAATCGGTATAACCAGTTTTCGATTTTAAACAAAATGATGTTGTTTGAAACTTTTAATAAATTTAAGTAACATAACTTGTATTTATATGTGATGTATCATGGTGTTCGTTATATTGTAATTTATTTAAATTTGAATGTTGGTCTTATTTATTGTATTTAAATATAAACAATTTTGATGTTGACGTTAAAACTTGCATTTAAATATGAAAATTTGTCATTACAAATGTTGCATTTTCTTCAAATACGAACGTGGATTGTAGAGAAATAGTATGAGATAATGTTATATATGTTTGATGCTAACAATTTTTACTTTTCAAATATAGTATATTGAAACCAGTATATTGAAACCAACATAAACAAATCAAACTCCAATCGAACCATGTCACTTACTAAATCGACAAATAACCATATTTGACAAACTTGCTTTTACGTACAAACAAAAACACTTATATATGAATAAGCTTGTAGAACCGATGAATATTCTTCCGACTAGCCCAGATGGATTTGGTTCTACTCGGATCGGAAATCCAAATGCCGCAGCAATAATTTCCAATAGGTGTTTTATTCACCAAGCATTGAAAGATGAAATCGACATAACGTCAAGGAACAGAGTTGAAACACATATTTTCTTTGACCAGATTTTACAAGAATAAAAAACATCTAAAAAGCACTATAAGGTGGAACAAAAAAAGAGACTTGCTGATGCTCAGGCTAACTTGGCTAGTATAACCATGTCTAGAATCACAACGTCAAGAGTGTCATCTAATTTTACAATTCCATCCGTACCATCCACCCCGATCAACTTCCCAGTCGATCCTCGATGTGCTCCCCCCATTATCTTCACCTTGTCCGATTTCCTCGGCCCCACGATCTCCACATCGCTTGCCATCGCCGTCACCATATCACCATTCCCTACTAACCCTATCTTGCACATTCCATCCTGCACACACCCACAATGGTAAAACCCATCATCATCTTCTTGGACAGAATTTGTACTCTGCCAGCATTAATGTAAATATGTAGCTTGTACTACAATCAACTTACCGGATGCACCTCTCGGACGACACCTACTAGGGATTCATCACCTCTATGTACATTCACCAATATCTCTGGCATCAAACTCCCTCCTTCGTTGTCTGCAGGTCATCATCAGATGAACTTAGCCACAGCATGCCACCACAAAGCACTACTATCCAGCAGGAACACCGCAAAATGACAAACTAATCACCAGCCGCTAACTCTTTACAGTTCAGTATCCAAACTTCTTACACTTTGAGCGACAACCTCTAGATCTAACAAATGACTGAAATATCCTCTCCAAACCTTGTCAGAATGGTGTCTGTCCTTATCAGTTATCACCAACCACGCATGAACTCAAAAACCCATTTAAACCAACCAACCCAACTCATTTGCCATCTCTAGATAAACTCAATAAGCATCGGTAAAATTGAGAGGGTAAGCTGAGTATCAAACCTAAAACAGGAGACATGATATCCAAACCACCAGTGCCAGGCGTCATTGGCTGCCCCCCAGGAGTCCCAGGAAGATAGGCTGTTGAGCCAGGTGTCATAGGCTGCCCAGGAGTCGAAGGCATGTACGGGCTAGGAGCATTGGCTACAAAATGAATAGCACAAAGTATGTTATCCACCACATTGCTCAAACTGCAAGAACTGCAACTGAGAAGACAAACAACAAACCATAAGCAGAACTGCTGTCTCTTGGCGTTCCAGTATCACTATAATTGCCACCAGGGGTAGGCGCTTCGTACACTCTCGACGGAGTGCTACCTCGCTGGAAGAAGAAAATAACTGTTATCTTTTTCTCATCAAATAGCAAGAGAAATAGAATTTCAGATTTACTAGAAACTATTCGATGAGCTAACCTGATACTGGGGACTAGTACCCCAAGATCCAGGATTTCCATCTTCCCAGTTATCCCTAGAATATAGCAATATTATATCATCAAAAAAGAAACAAGTGTCTGACGTTAAACACATATATGAAAGAATATTATACAGCTAAACGATAAAGGGTGTGTATGAAGTAACTTAAGAAGTTGCCTGTCAAGCTAAAAACAAGCACATTTCTACAATCTAACTTACTAACACGAACGCAGTTCTTTCATCCAACTCTTTAAAACAACAATTAACCCTAACTCCCACACATTAGTTAAAGTTATAGGCAACCTCGCTAATAAAATTTCATTCCCAACTTTGTCCTCCTTGAAATACCAAACATATTCTTAGAGCGTAGTAGTCTTACTAAAAACCTAGGTCATTATTGTTTTAGTAAACAAACTACCTATCATACAATCAATTACTTTTCCATTACAAAAACTTCAAAAAAAAAAACCTTCAATATAAATGCAGAAACACACCCAAACACATATTAAGACGGTATTACAAGACAGAAAAAAGTTAAAACCAAACCTCGGAGGACTCATTGGTGCATAAGGATTCCACGCCCGGTCGCGCATAGGTGTTCTCATGCCATCGTGAATAGGTGTAGCTGCAAACATAAACATGAACACATATATGCAACCGACACAACATTTAGTATCATTTGTTGAGATGATAGGATTAAGGGTGACTATCACCAAGTATAGTGACAACTGAGAAGATAAAGGAGTATATACAAAAGCAACTCTCACCACCAGAGTCTCTCATAGGCGTCATGTAAGGATGCAACGGAGTCCGAGAAGGATGCATGGGGGTTTCACTTCCCATGCCATATCGACTTGAATCACTGACACGGCATTCAAATTACAAGTTAGAGAAGATTGCAAATTTAAAAGCATTACAGGTTTTAGTAATACATGTTAGAACTTTTACCGGTATGGGGTGGAAACCACCACCACGTTGTCAGAAATACAACTGCGATCAACTGCACAGCAACAAAAACACAAGGTGAAACATAAGATTTTTCCAGAAATGTACAGAAACCAAAAAACCCATTACTAAGATGGACGCAGCTACTTGCCTGTCACCACCTTCATTTGAGACTCTAACTCAACTCGAACTGATTGACCTTTAATGTCTTTCACACGTCCACGGTAGCCTTTGAAAGGTCCCTGCCGTATCTTGATGGTGGTACCTATCAAGGCATCATGTCCTCCCCTACCACCTCTACCCCTTCCACCAACTGTACAGCATTCAAGAGTCAAACACAAGATTTCTCCCCAGTTGGCAATGATGCATCCGCAATGAAAATTATTTCACTTGCATAGGAGAATAGTCGGATTCACCAAAAAAAAAAAAACATAAAGTAGCAAGAGAGAAAGAGAGTTACATTGAACCCTCAACCATCTACTTACACTCAAAAGGAGGACCTCCTCGTTGAAATCTCCGAGGTGAAGGGGGTATTCGAGGAGTGTTTTTAAGATTACCATACCCTGAGTATGCATTACCCTGAGAAACAAGCAATCAAACTCAGCATTATAGAGTGAAATTACTGAAACCAACTTAATCAATTTGTAGCTTCCCTTATGAAATCAGTACGCCCATGTCAATCTTAAGCAGCAGAGAATGCCATATATTAATCAAGTATCAACCACAACAAAAACCTTATTTAACATAGGAGCAGTTGAACTCACATTTCTATCACCAATGGAACGTGATCCTCCAACAAGACCGCAAGTTTGGGATTTAACACAAATGAATCCGGCATGTTCAAGGTGGTGACGATCATGGATGAATAATATTCCCCTGTATATGTGCTCAACAGGACCCTGCTTCCCCTATTAAAAGAGGAAAAGATTCAGCTCGACTTGCAGAAAAATCATGCAACTCATACGCAAATGAAAAATATATACACTCACCTTGCAAGGACCATCAAGCACTTTAACAACATCTTTTACGGATATTGTACTTCCATATCTATCTTGTACATTCGACTTCCTTTCTATCTTGCTTTTGATCTCTCTCAATCTTACAAGCGACACTTCTGATCTCTCTGGAACTCCTTTGAGAACCTGAAGCAAACACCCAGAGAAATGAGATTATGGGAAGTATAATAAGAAGCGGTGGTTAACAAGAACCTCAGCTATATTCACCTGAAAGGCTTCACTTTCCACACGTATTATGACACCAAAACTCATATTACTGCAACACATAGAATAGATAAGTAAGACCTAACTAATTTTTTTCCAGAAAAAAAAAAGACAAATGATTAAAAGAACAAGAGAAAATCTATCCTTCCAAAACAAATAGCTTACTCCAGCAAAACAAGATCATGAAGCTCATAGTCTCCGATTTTGGTAACACCAGTAGTCACTTCTGAGCTTTCAACAACATCGTCAGCAAATACACGCATCTGAGCCAACAAAGAGTAATGTGTAGTTTCTCAAACAATTATGAAGAAGTATTTTGTACAACTGCTCAAGAACGGAAATAGTGCCAAGGAACTAGAGATGGACTTACATGTTCCTTGGTTGTATCCGACAGAATAATGAGCACATGTTGCTCAACCTTGACAACCATGCCAGTTGCACCTGTTTGACTGCCAGATACAACCTTAACATGATTACCCGGTTCAAAATACTTGCAGAGCTCCTTCTCATGTACTGTAAGTGTTTTCTGAAATAAGTGACATGCCAAGTCAATAAATTCAAATGAGAATCCCCAAAAGTAAAGCAAACCACAAGGAGTACTTTAAACAAAGAAAGCCTTTGATCTTCTTACAGGAAGACCCTTCTCCTCCGGTCTGATATGTACACTATCTTCCTCAACTTTCTCAACCCATCCTTTAAGGTTCTTTAAATCTCCTTTGACAATGATAACTGCATCACCCTTCAAGAAGTGTCCTTTCTTCCGGTTTGCAAATAAAGTTGACAAGCTGGCCATATCATCATCACCATGTTCTCCCGGTTTATGGAACTTCTCAAGTTCATCAAAACTTGGCTTAATGTTCGCAGCAGTAATGGATTTCATTGACACAGTTTTGTACAAGAAACCATCTTTGAACAACATGCCCTCGATACTCTCGAAATAGTCCCCCGTCATTGGATCTCTTCTCCGCTCTACGCGAATGTTAAGTTCCCTGACAACAGATTTAAGAGATATGAGGCCGAGAGTGCTTCGTTCTAAGACACAACAATGAAGAGATCCAGTATTCAGTGCTACCTAGCTTCATCATAATTCATAAAGCGAGGAGCAGGCTTAATTCCCTTCTTTTCTGCGACTGCTCGGCCGTCCTGTTAAAGAAAGATTACTGGTAATTACGCTAAACAAACACACTGCAGAACTTAATCGCACTGATTGCATAATGAAATACAAATCACAGTGTGCACAACAATGTAAAGAAACTCATTTTGTCCATAAACAGTGTTCATTCATAAAAAAACAGCAAAAAGTCAAGTGAACCCAGCAAATCTACATGGAGAACATCCTTTACCAGTTTACTTGCAAGAGCCTGCAAGTCAATTCTGGGAATTAACTTCACCGTGACTCTCTGCTTCACGTTATCCACATCAACTACCTTCGAGAGAAGACAATAAACGGTTATTTGATGATTTGAAAAAAAAAATAAGGCACGGATGAAGTAGAAACACGTACTTTGGCTAAGTCCCCCTTGTAATTTCCTATCTTCATTCTGACCCAAGTATCCCTTGCAAGGTCAATTGCTTTGCTTTCAACAGAAAGGACATCCGTCATTTCTTTGATTGGGACAAGCATAGGTTTCGAAGAAACAAATATATTCCGAAGTCCTTTGCATGCCTGAAACATAAGCCAAACCACCCAAAAGTGCATAATTAACAAAAAGTTACAATATGCGTTAAATCATCAAAATTGCTTGATGGAGAAAGATTGATAAGCTTTATATCACTAGCATACCTCCCTGACATGGGATTCTTTGTGGGCTTCAATATATATATAATTCTTGAGATGATCAAGGGCAACAACAGACGTAATTTGCATCTCAGGACCTCGATCAATGCACTTCTGCATGAGGCAGACTGCTGTCTCTCGTTCACGCCCAATCTAATATATTGAGCTCAACATTGTTATTTGATACACAAAAAGTCTTCATGCACAACATTCAGAAGACATACCATGCAACCGAAGAAAAAAATCAACAAAAAGCACAAAAAAGGACATAAAGCATACCGCACATTTCACCATCCAAAACTTTGTATCTCGTACAGAAGGCAAGAGAGCCTGTTGTTCTACATCTGTAGTCTCTTCATCATATTCACCCTGAGAAGTTCTTGAATATCTTTCCTGAATTCTTCTATAAATTTCATCCACATCTTCACCATCATCTTCCCGAGAGAGCAATGGCCTACGGTGAACTCGTCTACCATCATCCTCCTCAGGTAAATCAGCTCCACCATCAACAATGAAGTCTGTGTGCGAAAAGGTTGATATTAAATTTCTTGTACTAGCAGTCATCGTGTATATTAAAAATAATTCATAAGAGAGCCATCTTGGTCAACACATTTGTAGCACCCCAAAAATACTGTGCTGTGTACAAGAAGAGACTAGAAAAAAACAAAATGAAAAAATTGCACAAATAATAGAAGGTTATGCAGTGCTCTCAAGCATCCCACATCCAATAGACTTCCATAAGATATCATCTAGATCCAGCAGGGATATGTGGATGCTGAGATGTCATGCATCTGGTATTTTGTATAGTTCGAGAGAACTAGTTGGGGAAAAGATGAAGGAAAGTAGAAAACTATTTAAAGAAGGCTAAGATTGTCAACTTCGGAAACAGAAATATCTTCATCAGATGGTTGGACTGGTATAATTGATGTGAATTCAAACCAAGGCTAAAGTACAAAAATTCTCAAGCTAAATAACACTTGTATCACCAAAATAAATCACAGGTACAAAAAAAAAAAAAAAATCAGACTCAGTATTCCACAGCTGATTGTTATGACAAATGTGTCATCTGTAGTCATTTGTTATAGATTTTATATTAGAGTGCATAAATTTAGACTACTAATAGCTTCTGGGAACAGAAACAGCCAGCCAGTCTACGGTTAAAACTGAAGAAAGATAAAACGCAGGATTTAGAACGTGAAATTTCATGAAACTGAAATAGAATACGAGAGAGAGACTATTAATATAATGAATGTTCTGAGCAGAGCAGGAATGCTAATGAATTTACGAGCAGGGGCCTTCCTCATGAGTCTCAATAGGAAATAAGCAGCATAAGAATGACATGACAATTGCACATAGATTATTCAGTGGGCAACGCATCTGAGATCTCCAGTCTTTGACTTTGGTGCACAAGAGAAGTATAGATACTAAAGTTGTTTCCATCTAAAAGCAATACAACTTGACCAAAGATTGGCATTGAATTGACTAGCTGAACATAGAAGGTTTCAGGGTCACCGAAATCACAACTCTGATTGAGGCTCAATATGCGAATTCAGTAAAAGCAGAGTGGCCTTGTAAAAATTTCAGTCTCCATACTCCATAGCATATGGGGGGGGGGGGGGGGGGGGGGGGGGGGGGGGGGTTGATTCAACTCAATGACAGCTTGTACCATATTCATTTTAGCTTTCCTGAAGTCCAGGCCCATAGAACTCCTACACCTAAATCCCACTTGGTATTCAACAGAGATAAACAAAAAGAAAAACAATTCACAATAAGTTGCACGACGGATGATATTTCAACCAGTATTTTTCATAAGCATAGACTTGTTTAACCACACCAATAATGCACTATACTGCCATTGTCATCACCACAGAGAGAAGAGAGCATAAGCTGGGCGCTAACCATGCATGCATTCAATCAAAAAGCACAAGCATATCCATTGCGTACTAGTACCAAATAAATTCACACCCATCAACAACCCAAAACGTCAGAACTACTAGGAAGACAGATCGAAATCTTGAGAGTTGGCCAAGAACTTATGGGGTAAAATCTAACAAAGTCTTAGTTGTGCAGTGCTTCTTTTCTTATTCTCTGCTATAAGATAGCTAGTTTTGGGGCGCTTTCAACCTAAAAAAAGCCTATCCAGCTTGGCTTCGACTAGCGAAAGCAAAGGAGGCAGTAGTTCCTAATTAATGCCAGTTCAATAGCAATTTTTACTGAATCGCAAGTATGCTAGAGATTCCTGGAACTAACAAAGTCACCATAAACTGAAGGCTGATGCAAACAGTTGGTAATAAAACCTCAATTCAGCAGAGCCTAAAAATCCTAAATTCAAACCCGAACTGGAGAAAGAGATCAAATGTGAGGTGAAAGAAGGGGGGATAGAATTAAAAACGCAGGAAAACAGAAGCAGAAACAAGGGCATACCATCTTCTCCGCCGTCTTCATCATCTTCATCTTCGTCGGTATCCACTTGAGCCTCCAGATCAAAGAAAGAAGCGCCCTTTCTAGCAGTCTTGCGCTTCTTGCTCGCACCACCACCACCTCCATAGTCCTCATCGTCGTCGTCTTCCTCCTCCTCCTCCTCCTCGTCCTCCTCCGCCGCATCATCGATGAAACTCGATCGCGACCGCTTCCTGTTGCTCGAACTTCCCCGTTTCTCCATATCGTCGTCGTACTCTTCATCGTCAATCAGCTGATCGTCCTGGTCCTCGTACTCTTCATCCTCAATCTCGTCCTCATCTTCGTCATGTCTCCTCCGCGACATAGCTTCTTCGCCGATACAAAAAAAAAACCCTACCTCGCAGAATTTCGATTCCCCCTCGCCGAACTTTCTTATTCAAGCCAACGGCACTTCGTTCGCCCGGTGAATCCTAGATTGCCCTGGACCTCTGGTGCGCCCCCCTTTGAAACCCTAAAGCTTTGAAGAAACGAAGGAACCCGATTGGAATTGGGGAAATCCTTTTACGGGATGTGATTGAATTGGACCGACAATAACCTACAACAACGAAGGATGCCGACTGACGGGGATGAAGGAAGCGAGAGAGCAGTGCGTGAAACCTTCTTTCAGTACGACGCTGTTTTGCAGCTTCTCTGTGGTACTAGTAACTGGTAATGGAGTTCTCGCCAAGGACTGGAGGACGAGGTTAGGGATGGCAATGTGTCGGGTCGGGTCGGGGACGGATAGTGCATGTCCATTATCCTATCCAAAGTAGTTCGGGTTTTGTCCATACCCATACCCACATATGAAACGGGTAGAAAATTAAAACCATGCCCATACCCGTTCGGGTTTCGGGTATCCACGTTTATCCATGGGTAATGATTTATCGTCATAACTCCAACTAATATGTTAACATTCACACGTATTCTCACATTACGCAAAAGGAAAAGTATGAAAATAATTCACTAGAACGAAGAAAATTAGTTAAAACAACACAATTTCATGAAAATATTATATTTATATGCTAAATATAAAATATGTTAGAGAAAAATAATAACTATTTCTATACAAAATACATATGTATGTGTATAATCGGGCGGGTTCGGGTTGGATACTGAGAAACCCATGCCCACCCATTACCCGCAATATTCGGGTTCGGGTTTTACCCGTACCCACTAAAGGTCCTTCGGGTTTGGGTTTTACCCTACCCAATTAGGCCGGGTTCGGGCGGATATCCACGATTACGGATATTTTTGCCATTCCTAGACGAGGTTCCGGCGGCTAATTGAGAAGAAAGAAAAGGTGGGCGCGGCTTGGGCTTTGATGAGGGAAGATAAGCGGTGGGGCAGATTAGGCCGCAATTGGGCCAATAAGGTTAAGAGCCTGACCGGGCCTGTTTCAGAAAGTGGACTCAAGTCTAATCCGCCTCAATTGCTTGAATAACCAATTAAATTTTATTTGGTTAATTGATGAAAATTGCATGGTTCATGAAACCGTACCGGAAAAGTCAGCGATAGAGCATTTTATGATAAAACCGTTAATCGTAGTTCAACCGTTAGTACCGTTAAATACCGCCTATCAGTTTAGCCTCCGATACTGGTATTTTATAGTTGAATCGCCGGTACGGTACGGTTTCATGGACCATGCAAAATTGTCAGGTTTGTATGTAATAAAATGATCGCAAAAATTTAAAATGCAACAAAAAGCTTGTGTCAGTATCATGATATAACAAAATACTCTATATTTTTTATGGGTAAATACAATTTAATATCCAAACCTTTCATTTTAAACAATATAATAGTCAAACCTTTTCGAAAACAATTTAATATCCAAATCGTCAACTTTCCGTTCGTTTGACCGTTAGTTGACACTTCAAAAAAGCTTTGTTTAGGGAAATTGTCACAATACAACTTTGTTTTCTTGTTTTGGCATTGCAGATAACTGAATATTTAGATATTCTATACCATTATGGTGGAGTCATGGACTTCTCGAGTTTGGAACTACGATATGTTGGTGGTTTTTCAGAGAAGATATCAATGGAGATTGATGACGTGTCGTACTTCGAACTTTTTTGAAGTGTCAACTAACGGTCAAACAGACAAAAAGTTGACGATTTGGATATTAAATTGTTTTCGAAAAGGTTTGGCTATTATATTGTTTAAAATGAAAGGTTTGGATATTAAATTGTATTTACCTTTTTTTTATCTATATTTTCATCCAAAATGTCCAATTAACTTGCTATGTACGAGAGGTAGGTTTAAATGTTGGTTAGTCATATGATATTTTCTATTAATTTTTGCAGTGAGTCAACAAGTTAATTGGGTATTTTGAAAGAAATTATAGATGGAAAGAGACGAAATGATTGTTTTGTTATATCATGATACATACAGGATTCAAGAAAGCATAATTCCGAGTACGCCTAGGCACGACAAAACGCCCCACCTAGCCCCTCGACAGACTCTTAAGCATTCAAATGCTTAGACACTGCCTAACTCCGCTTAGTCACCCTCTAGGAGGAGTTAGACTCGATTAATGCGCTAGGCGGTCTAGCAATTAAACATAAATAATAAATATAAATGTATTAAAATGTCCCAAAATGACGTCATCTTTATGTTCGACTAGTTCATCCCAATGATTTGTTTTTCACATGTCTCCGTCCTCAATTAGAATATATATAAAAACTAGGTCAACAAAATTCTCTAAACTGCAATGACTTCTCCGCCTCAATGTTTCTGACTGCAGTGCTTCTTGTCTCTAGCTTTACCCGACCCCACACTCTGTCTTATTCTTCACTATCGTCGACTGATAAACAATCTAAACCATCTCATCATATGTACTACTTTAGTTCCTCTCCCTTAATATCCAACTTCGGTCGGCCCAACCTTCTTTCTTACTCTTCACCATTGTCGTATGTAAAATTATTATGATTGCTAAAAATGCCTAGGCGTCCTATGCGTTAGCAGGACCCCAATGTCTGCCTAGCATAGACCAGGAAACCGGATCGTACCGGCCGGTTCAACCGGAAATTGGACCAAAAGCGGTACGGTGGGTTGATTGTGCTGATTTTACCGTGCCGGTCGATTTTTTTGGTTTGACCGGTTGAACCGGCCGGTACGATCCAGTTTCCTGGTCTATGATTCAGCTTCATTTCTACGTATTCTCGTCCAACATGTGGAAAATACTTAAAAAAGAATATTATTTTGCTATTTTTCTATGTTGAAAATGGGTCACCGTGGTTGTATAATGCTCTATTTGGTTCTTTTTTTGATGGATTATATTTTTTATACTATCGCATTTCATTTCTCTATCAATAGTGAAAAACGGTATTTACCGGCACAAAACGGTTGAACCACGGTCGTACCACAAAATACCATACCAGAAAGGAATCCGGTATGATGTCTGGTACGGTTTCCTTTACCATGCTGCCTAGCACCTAGCGCCTTCTTGAACCTTGGTCACGTACATGACATTTTATTACATTGTAAATGTTTGTGGCAATTTAGTTACAGGCTCAAACCTTGAGTGACCATTTTTATCCAACACCTAATTTTATTTAGCCTATGTGTTGCTAAAGTAGCCTTCCTTTGTAATTTATGTTGTTACTACATCTTCTTGAATAAAAGAACAAAAGAAAGAATTAACAACGGTGTTTACATCTTCATATGCCACGGTTTTTCTCGTCGCTTCTAGCCCTCATCGTCGGTGACTCTCTGCTGGTATAAAACTTCTTTGCTAGTGGTTTTATTTGTCGTTTTCCTCTCTCTATGGTGGATTTGACGAAGTTCCTATAGCTATTGGTGGACTTCTAGTCAAGATCCTTTCTCTTCTTCCCCAATTAAGCGTTTTCTTTTACCGGCTGTTTCATTTTCCTTTTGCAAATTCTCTTATTTAATTAGGGTTCTCTAAGGTGGGCGAAGTGTTTGGTAGCCCGTTTATCTCTTATCCTCTATCACTTTTTGTAATTTGTTCATGAGCTAACAAACTATGGGGTCCAGATGGGTTGATTGGAGTATCTTGGTTTGGGGATGAGCTTCTTGTGTTCCAGTTTCCCAAATCTAGAGATGGCAATGGGGCGGGTTTGGGGCGGGTTTGCTTAAACCATCCCCATACCCATCTTCAAATACCCAAACCCATACCCGCCCCATACCCATGCGGGGGAATGTTTTGCAAACCCATCCCCATACCCGTGGGTTTCGGGTACCCATGGGTAATACCCATACCCGTACATCCAACATTATTATACCTAAAACTTACAAGAAAAGTTCTAATTATAATTCTAAACGAACATATTATATCATGAAGTCAATAAAACACGGTCATTTTTTAATATGGTTCAAAGATTATGATCCTAAAATCACCATTAATACATAATATAGAGTATAATATTTTTCAAATTATTATGTTCTAACTCTGATATATCTACTAAATAACAATTAACTAACATAATCTTGTTGACAAGGGGGAAAGTGAAAGAGTGAAATGAGAATTGAGAGAAATGAATTAGATTTTGATTAAGGTGGTCAATCAATTGCATTTCTACTATTTATTTTCTCAAGTTATCCTCATCATCATTGATAGATTATAATTTGATGCACATATTTTTTTTATATATGAAGAAATTATCTCGGTGGGGCGGGTATGGGGATGGGTATGGGGCGGGGGAGGCTAAAACCATACCCGCCCCATACCCATCAAACTTTTTGCGGGTTTTACCCATACCCGCCCCATACCCGGTCAAAGCGGGGATTCCCCGCGTTGACTGGGTCGGGGGCGGTCGGATACCCGCGGTCATGGGTTTGATTGCCATCCCTACCCAAATCCCAACACAAAAAACTTGTTCTTGGGTCTTTGGAGGGGTCCATGGCATCTGTGGGGAAGAAATAATCTTTTTCTTTTGTGAATGGGAGAAAGGATTGCTTTCGATTTTTTTAGAGAAGCTGGGGTTACCTATATGGATAGTCATGATGAAATATAAAATGAAACCTTCTAGAAGTTTAAGCAGTGGAAGACTTTGATGGAGAATCAGACCGGAAAGAAGACCAAGAGGCCTTGTAGTGACAATGCCTAGAGTTTTGTAGTTCTGAGTTCAATGAGTTTGAGGTTTGAAGGGATTGTTCGGCATAAGTCTGATAGAGACATACCTCAAGAAAATGGAATGGTAGAACGAATGAATTAGACATTGTTGGAGAGAGCAATGTGCATGTTCTCTAATGGAGGACTAGAAAGAAGGTTTTGGGCAGAGAAAGTAAATATGGCTTGCTATCTTATCAATAGTGGACCTCACACAGGTATCGAGTGTCAAAGTCCTTATGAGGTGTGGTCTGGTAAGCCTGCTAATTACTCGTTATTGAAAGTTTTTGGTTGTCATGTTTACTATCAAGTGGATGAGGTCAAATTGAATCAATCTAATATTTAACATGCACAATTCCGTTATTATCCTTCTAGTTAGACAATTAGCTAGTCTAGCAGTGTTTTTTCATTGAACTTTGAGGTTCTTATACTTATGCACAGCGGGTTGGTATCGTGCATGATCTAAAGATTACTGGAAATGTGATAGCAATGAAGGTTTTTCTACAAACTAACTCATTAATGACTCAGTATGTGAACTACTAGAATGACATGTCTGGACGTCCGGTGATCCACACTATTTGATAATAGTAGCGATTAGGTGCCTTTATTTCACAACCTTGGTAGTTTAGACTCGAGTACAATTATCGAGAGACTAAGTTTGTACTTGACTACCTTGTTACTCTAGGCCATTCCTTCCGTTTAGCGGGCACATTTTTATTTCTCATTATAACTCTACTACTATCGAATGTACCTTGATAGTTGAACTGAGTGGGTTGATTCATTCCATTTTTATCAATACATAATGATCGAGACATCCTTTAAACACTCCAGTTTATAAACACAAAAAACAATAAGTTCCTCTTAAAGTCTCCCAAGGTGGAGGGTGGAACGACACCAATACTGGCAAACCCAGGGACATCGTGAATTCGTGATGGGTATTTAACTATTTATGGTAAAGAAGGTTAATCAATGACACCAAAGCTAGGGTAAACAATAGACCACACTAACGTAACGTCCATCATATTCCTCACTTGATAATAGAAGTGATAAATGGATTGAATTCATAGTTTCATGGATTAGATTACTAGCTAAGCAATGTTGGCATATCTTTACCCAACCAAATTCTATTGATTTTCAGAATTTATAAAGGTTGATACTTCTCGAAGTGTTCATTTCTGGGGGCGTCGCTTCCTGCGCTCTTATCACTCGCAACTGCAAGTTCTCCGATGTGTGTGTCTCTTGTGGAGGATTTGGAAATCTCGTAACATTACGTATTTTTTGCTCACTCAATTACTCCTCAATATTCTTGCTCCTTAATATTCCTTTTAAGTCTGAGAATTTGCATCCTTACTCCTCCCCTCCCCTCTTTCTTTCGTCCGTCCTCCCCCAACCTGTTTGGTGACCTCGCCGAGAGGGTTATGAATATTAATTTTGATGTCGTTGTTCGACATGATGCTTATTCGAGACTCTGGTGGATTTTTACTTTTGATAAAAGATTTCTTCACCGTGGGATCATAGATCCCTATGCTACAGAGCTTCTTGTAGTCCGGACAATCATTTTCCTAGCAACGGCTCGCCAAATTGCCAAGGTGGTAATTGAAGACGACTCTGAAATAGTCATCATCAACTCAAGAAAGTTATTTCGTCTGATGTTTTAGATGGGCTCCTCTTGCGCGATTATCTCCACCTAAGGTCCTCCTTCTCCTTCGCTATAGTTTTTAGAGTTGTTTCTCAAGTTGTTAATTGAACTGCCGCTAGAGTAGCATCGTAAAGACGTTTGGGTTGTTTTATCTACTTATTTTGTTCTTTCTTGACATCTCTCTGGAAAACTCTCCTGATACAACATTAATTACTGCTGCTACTTAATGATAGATTCACATATCTAGACATCAAAGATCATTTCATTCTTTGAAAAGTAAGACCTTGAATGCCCTTAAGAGATTAACAGATTACCTAGATCCATTGAACTTGATTCGCCTAGCATTCGGATTTTGGACAGAATCCTCCACAACGTAACAAAACTAACAATCCCCTTGCGTGACGAAATCCTAAACATTCAGCTGGGGGCGGTAACTAAGAAACACTACACATTTAACACAGAACAGAGTGAGATCCTTACCATAGTTGGTTTAATGAAAGCAGAGAAGACAAAACCAATTGGACACATGGTGGCAGAGAAGAGCAAAAACAAACGGCATGCACATTTCTTATTGCCACATCGATTCCCTGTACCCGTAAAAAGTCATCACCGCCACCACCATCATCATCATCAGCATTCGCCTCCTTATTTAATCCGTTACAAAGTCAGAATATTCCCCCATCCCACTTTCCCCTTTCCCACACATTTCTTCATCGATCACAAAATGCTCTGTTTCAGACCCCAAACCTCTGCCCTCTTGATCTTTCACCTGCTTCTGTTCTTAATCGTTGCCTCCAATGGGCAGCAACAGCAGCAGCAGCTCCAATTGGGATTCTACTCTCAGAGTTGCCCTGTCGCCGAAGTTACAGTCCGTGTCGCGGTCAAACAAGCCGTGGAAGCTGACAAGTCCGCCGCCGCCCGATTGCTCCGCCTCTCCTTCCACGATTGCTTCGTCGAGGTTTGTTCATTCGTCTAACTGAACAACAAAGTTAATTTCTTTTCCAATTCTGAGTAATGGGTTCTTCTTCGGTTTTGGAAATTTTTGGCAGGGATGTGATGGGTCGATTTTGCTGGAGACCGGCGACGGCGAGAGGCAGGCGCCGGGGAATGCAGGGCTCGGCGGTTTCAATGTGATTGAAACGGCCAAATCGCGGCTGGAGTCGCTCTGCCCGGGTGTCGTCTCTTGCGCGGACATTCTGGCTTTAGCTGCCAGAGATGCTGTTGCATTGGTACTCTCAATCCTTCATCTTTTTCTTCCTTTCTGGTTCTGAAAATCTGGATGATAATTAATCATAATAAATGTAGGCCGATTGATTTTTAAAAAATGACAGAGCAACGGACCGAACTATGACGTGCCGACGGGGAGAAGGGACGGCAGAGTTTCCAGCCGGAGCCTCGCCAACAATTTGCCAGATGTCAATGACCCAATTGAAGTTCTCACATCGAAATTCCGTGCCAAGGGAGTGTCCATCAAGGATTTCGTGCTTCTCAGCGCAGGTATACGAAATCGGACTAACCATTATACGACGAATTATTTTAGCTATTAAGTTGACGCTGGAGATAATCACACATGGGTTTGATTTTTAGTTACTTCTTACTTATAGATCACCGGTATTAGCACCGGACCAAATTCTTATTTGCTAATGCTATGCTCCTACATGTTGCTGGCCGTTGGATTAGAGAATAACATTAATCAAAATTAGAAATGTCAGTGTTTATACTTTTATTTGGGTAATTGACCCAATTGTCATAATCCATATGAGTATTGGACCGGACGTTAGGGGTGACTATACGGTCCGGTCCGGTTAAATTGGACCAAATTGATCCAGTCCCAGTCCGGTCTTTGACCAAAGATTGGATTGGATACAGTCCGGTCTTGATCTGGTCCGGTCTTGACCCGGTGCGGTCCCAAATTCATCTTGATTTTAGGTGTTGGGGGTCTCTTATCCGGTCTTTATCCGGTTTTTTACCTCAAATCTAAGCCCGAATATGAGATTGCATTGTTTGCTATCCGGTCCCAGTCCGGTCCCGGTCCAGGTTATACGGTCCGGTTTCGGGTAAAACCAAACAGTCCGGAACCAAATAGCCAGCCCTACCGGACGTGCATTTTTAATGATTTTGAGTTTGGGTTGAGTCTGAATTGGGTTCTATTTGACTCAATTTTTAGGCTTAGCCTCAAATGGGTCTAAATGAACATATAAAAAAAATATGTTGCATTTCATTAACTACATTCAGACCAATTATAAACCTTTAATTAGGTGGTTTCACCTTTTTTTCACAAAAAATAATAATAATACAAAAATTGCATTATAATTGGGTAGATATCTTCATTTGGACGTTTCAATTTGAATCTAAACAAAAAAATTGAATATATGAATGTTCAAAATAAAATTATCCAAACTTGATTTGACCCATAATAATAAGTTTGGTTTGGAAAATATTTGATTTTTTAAGAGGAAAATATTTGATCTTTTTGTCTTTAGGAATGTTCAAAATTAAATTATCCAAACTTGATTAGACATATAATTATTTGAATCTGTACAATACCCAAATATTTGATTTTTTTTTTGTCATCCCTGGTCCAAATTATGTCATCGGTCGAATCAACGGCGTAGATACTCTCCTCACTCCTCAGCATGCTAAATCTACTGTCGCACCTTTAGAAAAAAAGAAAAAAAATTTACTGTCGCACATTATTTCAGGGGGGCACACAATTGGGACGACGGCCTGCTTCTTCATGCCCAAAAGGCTCTACAACTTCACCGGCCGCAGCGATTCTGACCCGGCCCTAAATCCACAGTTCCTGCCGCAGCTTAAGTCGAAGTGTCCTCCCGGCGGCAACGTCAACGACAGGCTGGCTCTCGATTGGTCGTCGGAGTTCGCATTTGACGACCACATCCTTGGCAACATCCTGAACGGGTCCGCCGTCCTGGCGTCGGACGCGCGGCTGGTGGACGATCGGGGAGCCAAGCAAGTGCTGGAGTCCTACGTCGGAGGAAGCGAGAAGAAGACGACGACGTCGTTTGGGGCGGATTTTGCTGAGGCGATGGTTAGGATGGGGAATATCGAGGTCAAAACGGGATCGCAGGGAGAAATCAGAAAAATATGTAGCAAAGTCAATTAATCTATTTAAGAACAAAAAATTCATTTCATGACGTCTGTATAAGTAATTTGTCTACAGATAGGTAGCTGCTGGTAGGGTGTCAAGATTTTAGTGCGGGCCAAGACGGTTGGGTGAACCGAATTTGGGGTTCGATTTGTGGAAAGTAAACATTGTAGTCATACTTCGTGAATTATACAATTTAAAAAGAGAAAAGGACAATCAAGGTCGTTAAAATTGGTTTATGTTGATATGCCGATTTCGCAAGTGAAATGGTTCAACCATAGTACTAGCTTTAACAAAAATTTGTATGAGAATTGAGAACCATTTATTAAAAAAATTCTGAAAAACTTCTCCGTGTCCGGAGTGATTAGGACATATTCAAGACCCTACTTTCTTGCTTCTGTGACCGGTATAATTGACTCATTGGGTGATTAATATGTGGTACAAGGATAGTTGTACGCAGTAGTCTGGCGGTGGAAATCCAATTGGGTTTCATGGGTAGACAAAATAGGGGAAGTTCTCCATTGAAACAGAGAAGGAGAAGAATAGTAATTCTAGCCCAAATCGACCAGAAGAGGAAGAGAGAAACAAATCTAAGTAATGGAAAGAAAACCCAACTGTAACACCCTACTACTTCTTGTAACATCCTACTACTTCTTCTCGTATTAATTGAACCATCATCACATTATATACTCATTGATTCTTAGGTTTTAACTTCACATTAAGACTTGGACATAACACTAGCATACGGGTTACATCACTTGCTTAGGAAATTCAAGCTAGTTTTCCCAAAGCATCCAAAAGCATAACACCGAACGATGCGAAGTTTGAGTTTAAAACAAAGTACAAACCCAACATAGTAGTTTAACATTCAGTGGGTACACAACTTAAAAGCGTTAAAACATTTAGTTCGACTTCAAAAGTGAAAACATGTGGAGAGTTCAGTTCCACCGCACACCTTTCAACCATCCGGCTGACTTCACTGGTTCGACCGAGGCTTCTGTTGTTGCTTTGGCTCTGAAAGGGAAAAATATTGGCGGGGGTGAGACGCCACTCAATGAGTAATTAATAACCCAACATATACTCCAGTTGCGCACGGTGATCAGGTGCACCAAGGGCTTAAGTGAGCTAGTAGCTTAAATGGTACTTAACCCAACTATGTATGCAAGGTTCATTAACCAATCTAAGCAGTTCTCATATCATACACACTGGCCCTTGAGTTACTCATATCAAATCCTATCCAGATAAAAACATTCACTAACACATCATTTGGGTATCACCATATAATCGACAACATAAGGAGGGAGGCATGTAACAACTACACAATCTCATAATGAATCATCGCATGAACACATCACAGTAAAGCCTTCACATAAATACGTCAATCTCAAGAACAATCTATTGAACTCATCGTAGGAAACATCACGTAGCCACATCACAGAAAATCCTTGTACCAAGGCTCAACCACAAGCATAGTTAGCTAGGTTATGTACATTTTATTTTTAATGCCAAGTTATGCACTCCCCGGGATCTCATGAACTCGTGATCGCGTAGGCACAAAATGCCAAATCTCATAAACTCGTGGGCACAAAGTGCCATATCTCGTGAACTCGTAATCTCGTGGGCACGAAGTGCCATATCTCGTGAACTCATAATCTCGTGGGCACGAAGTGCCATATCTCGTGAACTCGTAGCCAGGCCTGGCGATACTCCTTATAGGGAGTTCTCATATAACTATTTTCTTCTCTTTTTCTTTTCATGAGTGCATAACAAGGCGCCATTATGTTTTAATTAGGTGATCACGTAGTTCATGGGTTAGACAATACTCATGTAAAGCATCTCGTCATAAGATACTCATTGATGCTATACACAATCATCTCAATTGCACATCAATACATTCTTCACATAGCTCATTCATCAATGCACGTTGAAAATAGCAAACTCATACACATCCACGTTACCAATTCTCATCATATAAGTTTTTACTCATTCATAGTTCATTTATCGATCTATCACAAGTCCACGTATCCGGGCCGCTTCATGACCCGAATACCATGCCCATACTAAAATATATATTAGGTTAAGAATTACTCACAGTACGATTTTTATTCAGCTACTCCCTTTTGCTTCGATGATTCTCCTGGTTGTTGCATTCCTTTACACAAAATCAATTAATCACGTTTAATAGGCTAGCAACTCACCCATATCACTTAAATAATTTACTCAATTAAATATCATATCGTTAAAGCAACATGATTAGCATACATCGAAGATTCAAAATAAATTACTTAACTAACCTAATCCATCAAGGATTCCCAAAAACATCTCCATTACTCCACTCCCACTCCGTATATACTTGATTGCTTAATTATCTTTATACTTTCTTTAATTCAATATCATATGGGACAAACAACTCCCAATCCCAATCAATCAAGGTCTCGTACCACACATAAACAACCATGTATAAGTAATATACTTCTATTTATATATATTTCCATCCCACCAAAGTTTATGTTTCCCACAAACTAAAACCCATTTTCTCTGACTTAATGACCACCCACCAATTGAGATTCGTTTAAATCTCTAGCTTTCCCATGCAACTCATTCCTTCTCATCTTCCCAATTAATCTCTTCTTACCCACACTTTTCAGGATAAGTCCCATGACCAATTCATAAAATACCCCAAATCTCCTCTACTTTAACATAGGTGGGTAATCACGCCTACTAACACCATTTCCCCACTCTCGTTACCCATTTGGACCCCAAAATGACCACATGTACTGATGTACATGCATATGACTACTCGGTTCTTTACTGGCCATGGGATGCATTTTAGAATCCCTACAAATGCTTATTTAATCCAAGTAAAGAATCATGCATGCAAACTTTGGGATGGTTTCAGCATGCATAACAAGATTCAAGGACAAATTATAGTTAGTTTCCCTCAAGAAAATGATCTCTAAGCACCAGTATCATCTCTTCATCATCCACCTTAAATAAATTAACTAAGAAAAGGGATCACCATACCTTATATGACCACCAACCCCTTGTTATTCCCCTTGCCTAGCTAAGCTCTAAAAGAAACGATGGTGGTGATATTGATGAGAGGGACTCATTATTGGTGGCTCTCTCTCAAGAAGGAACTGGTTACTCTCCCCTTTTAGAATCGGTCACCTAGCTGCATGTACTTTCTCCAAAGCAATTGTAGAGATAAAGGTGGTGATGGTGAGGAGGCTGGTTGATAATGGCGGTGTAGTGATGGGAATGGTTTTGGTTCTTTTATCCTCACTTGCCTCCAGAGATATGAAGTGGTGGAAAGTCTCTTTATCTCCTCGGTTCCTAGGGAAAGCATTTATCCCATACCATTTATTTCCCAAGCCAAAGAAAACCCTCTAACCACGTGTGCTCTACTGCTCATGTGTGGGAAATATAACTTCTCATTTAAAGATACAAGTCAAAACAGCTACTCAAAGGTTCATGAACCTAGTGGTATCGGTTCCTTTGCTCAACCGCCAGGAGTGGCGGGTTTGGCTAACTTGGATGGGTTTGGAATTATAGAACTTATCATGCTGAGTTTAGCTATATGAAGATGTACTCTACATGTTTTACATTCATCTCATTAAACCTATGAACGAATAGAAACTGTGACCAACACTTGAATTATAACCAACAAGATTTACGTATTAAGCGATTCGTGAGGGTGGGATATTACACCAACTCCACCAAATCATCCCAATTAACCCCTCTATTAAACTAATCCCCAATCATTCATTGATGTCCTTTATCCCCAGCATAACCAAAATTCTTAGCTTCAATCTTGGTTGGAAGCAGAAGCTCCAACCAACCAGCCACGTATCACTTTTATATTGGTGATTTCATCATTTTTTAATGTTTTAATTCTTGATTTACTTAGCATAATTAAATATTAGAAAAAAGGAAGGTGAATCCACCAATAACAAACTGACACCTTGAATGGTTAGAGCTTCTGCGTCAAACCAAGGTTGGAGCTAAGAATTTTCCCCCTTCCACTATTAATGAGAAGTGGTGATGCGACATCTCACTTGGATTGGTGAGCTTTCCTTCTTCTCCCAATCCTGGTTTGAAATTTAGGATACTAGACATACTCCGAGTAAGAAAATGCTATTTAGATATCGAATTAATCGAAACGTTGGGTATGATACTATACTCTAACCCTTGATGCATGAGTGAACTCATGTATTAATTATCTAAATCATAGAGACTAACCCCTTAGATTATGTTTGTCGCATATATTCTGACATGACCGTCGATTTTTGTTTCTAATTAAATTAATTTTAGTGTATGAGATTTACAAAATTAAGAACTAGATTTTGATCTTTAAGGGTTTGGGAATGGTACCAGATGCCAAACTCTGGTCAATTCAAAGTCTAAATATGATTTTCTTATTCAATGTATGTCATACCTTTGATTTTACTCAAACTACAATAGAACCACTATATATAAATATATATATATATATAACTTGTTTGGAGGAATAAGATCGGTATGAAAAAGAAACCCCCTAATTACTTGTGTTAATTTAATTTTATCTCTCATTTATCCCGATGCCAATGCATCAGGAGTCTTACTTTGGGGACCATGCGACGTAATTGTTTCAGGCAAATTTCGGCGAAGCCATTAGGGCTGGGAAACGGTGCGGTCTGGTCCAGATCAGACCATATATGCGGTCTACGGTCCAGACCAAGGCGTTAGAACACAGATTATAGACTAGACCAAATACTATACGGTCTGGTCCAGACCACGCCTGTGCGGTCTGGTCCGAAAAAATCGTGTTGACGGTTAAGTTAAAAATAAATAATTCATTTTAGCTCAAAATCGAATCAATAACTAGAGGAAAAAAAGAGTTAAACACACCATACCGTCTACCAAATCATCAAACAACCACTACAAGGCAACATAACATGTTCTAAACTCCATGATATAGCAATAAACAAAGTCCAAAATTTAATAACTAATAAGTCCTATAAACTACAAAGTGCAACTTCAAATGCCAGCATCTCCTTGTCCTTCGTATGTCCTAGTCCCAGCCTTCAATGTTGAGGAAATATCATCACTTCCTCTAATATCTTTGTTAACAGTAGAATCTTGAACTCTTCCTCTCTCACCCACCTACTCCTCCATAATGGCATTGTAAACTAAGCAAAGACAAAATAAAAATAAATAGTTAGCAAACCCAACATTTATAATTCACAATGAATAGTTGAAAAATTAAGCAATGAAAAACTAAAATAATAAGCATTACCATTAACAAACGCTTCTTCATCCTCATAATCACCATCATTGTCATCATCCAACGGCAGAAATGAACTTGATCTAAGCCAATCCTCACTACAGATTAGTGCTTGAACAATCTTAGGATGTAATGAACTTCTAAAGTCATCTAGAATTCTTCCACCAGTGCTAAATGCAGATTCTGAAGGCACTGTAGACATAGGAATAGCAAAGATATCCTTGGCCATCTCAGATAGGATAGGATACCTCGAATGATTTGCCATCCACCGCTTCAATACATCAAATTCAGATTGGGTTCCTCCAGATCCACTACCTTCACAAGGATGACCAAGATACATGTCTAGCTCAGTTTTGAATTGACAAACTTCAGGTGGTATGAAATCTGAATCAAATCCAAGATATACTTCACCACCATCTTCAAAAACCGGCCTCAAAGAACTAGAACTAGAAGCATGCACAACCTCATTTTCTGTATGTGGTGGTGGAGGAGGCGGCCCCACCCTTCCTGCATAATACTCAAACAATTCAACAAGTTCACCATTTATATCTTTTACCATTTCCTTTCCCCTTGTCTCCCCATACAACTTCTTCAAAAAATGTCCTGGATAGCTCATTTTGTACCTTGGATCAAGCACAACAGCTATGTAAATCAATCGATTCAATTTATGATTCTCCCCCTCCCTCTCAGACCAATACTTATCAAACTTCTCTTTCATTTTCTTTCCCATCCTTGCCACATCATCATCATTGCTACAACTCATTCTACCAATGTGGTAGAATACATCACCAGCTTTGAAAAAGCTCCGAAGTTGCTGCTGCTACTTTTACTTGTAGTGGCGGCATCACTAGCTTTGTCCTCAGGACGAGCTCTTTTATTAACCTAATATAAAATTATTAAATTGAAACAGTAAAGCAACACATGAAATCAAATATTGCATGGACACTGGAACTTAGAAAACTCACGTGGATGATGGTGATTGTGCTGTCAATTGCAGTTGAAACATATATATACATGCACGTATGGCTCTAGTTAATATTAAAATAGATGCATGGAGACTAGAAAAGCTCATGTGAATGATTGTGACTATGCTCTCAGATGGAAATTCTTTTAAAGGATGTTCACAACTTGACAGTTTGTATTTATGAATCTTCTGTTTATCGAGAGACACAAACAACCCAGACAAAAATTTTGAGGAAGAGAGACTTCGGGTTTGAATTGCATACCCTAGTTTCGTCTTCTCCTTGCATCGGGAATTGAGTGCGGATGGAAGCCTAAGGGATGCAGGATGCTGCTACTGCTACACGCCTGAAGCAGGACTCGACCGAGAGGAAGAGACAGGAGACGCTGCTGAGGACTGGGGAGTCGGGATCGTACTGGAGACGCTGCCGTCGTTGGGGAGTGGAACTGGTGTTTGCTGGTGGAGCTGAGATGTTCGTGGGACCCGAAGAGAATTAGGTTAGGATTTCTTAGAATGAGAAAGGCGGGCGAAATGGAAGACAAAGTCAGAACTGAGAAGGAATTGCTTGACTGGGCCTGGACTTGCGTGTTTGTCTAGGTTAGGTACAAGGTTTGGTCTGGTAAACCGCGGTCTAGACCACACCAGACCAAGAGATCAAAACTTCATATAATACAGACCATGGACCGGACCAGACCAGACCATTCTTCACGGTCTACGGTCTGGACCAAACTGTGCGGTCCGGTTTGGTCCACGGTTTTTCAAACGGTCTGGTCTATTTTCCCAGCCCTAGAAGCCATGGTGAAGATGGGGCGCGTTGGGGTCAAAACGGGGTCGTAGGGAGAGTGTGGTAGAGTAAATTGAGATCAGTACTAGCCATAAATTGTCATTTTCTTTACAAAGCTTAGGCACCTCTTAAACACTGCCTAGACGTCCTAGACACTAGGCATGACCTAGCGCCAGGGTTTTCAACCCGCGGGTCAACCCACTTTAACTCTGACCCGGTGAGAAAAATGGGCCGCACGCACCTGCCGGGTGACCGCTACAAGGTACCGAGTTGGAGGTCAAATTGTGTCATTTTTTTCTTTGTTTTGCAAAATGCGCCTATTTTCCGATTTTTCTTTTCGCCTAACTCAATTTTTGGAATCCTAAGTTGAACATTTGAATATTAATGTTATATAAGTGTGTGTGAATTTTCACTATATGTTGAATCTAAGTACGAAATGTTATTTTGGTGTAATATTATATTTTATAACTCATATGTTAGATGAGATTTGATATAATTTATCAGGATAAGTAAAATATAATGACGCTTTCCATATTTTCGGGCTAAAACAGGTGACCCATTAACCTTTGACCCACTAGCTCAACCGGGTCCGGGTCAACCCGCGGGTTGACAACCTTGCCTGGCGCCAATTGATTTCTTGAAATTTTATCAAGATAAGCATGAAAATAAAGGGAAAGAAGGCTAGCAATAAAATGTGAATTTCATAATGATAGATTTTCATATTGTTCTTTTAACAAGTAGATAAATGTCAATAATAATATAAGCAATAAATATTATACTTTAGTATGGTTAGTACAAATGGTAGTTTAATGACTTTAAGATTTTTTTTTTCCAGAAAACAATTATAATATTCAATTATTCGTCAACTATAAATACCAATGTACACCGGAATTCGAATTTCACATTATCCATCACATATTTTCATAAGAAAATCACACTCAGCAAATATATATCAAAACAAAATATGAAGCCAATAATCTTCTTATTCGTTTATCTCATCTTTCTCCTTCTCGCCAGAGGAGCAATATCGGACGATGCATGGCATCCTGTACCGGATTTACAAGACAAGTTTATCACCGGGATTGTACAACTCACAGTCAACTTGATGAATGAGGACCCTGGGTTCGGCATAAAGCTGATAAATGTGGAAAAGTGCGAGTTCCAAGATACCGTTGATGGTCGTTATTATCACTTCTTTTTTAACGCCATCCAATCAAGAACAAACATAATGCACACGTTTGAGGGATCAGTTTTAAAGGAGCTTAATGGTCATTTGAGAGTTATGTGGTTTAAATGGGACAAGACAAGGTTAATACGGTAGGTGATGTATTTTTCTTCAAGATTTCGCAATAAAATATGTAAAAGTTGTTAGGGATTTTTTAAATGTTGTGAATGGAAATGAAAGGGGAAATGTTTAAGAGAATCTCTTGAAATACCATGTTAGTATGATGTGTGAAGGCGTGCACTCGAATTCGATCGATTTGATGCAATATGTGGGTAATCGGTTAAATGGGGTTGTGTAACCAACCGCACCAAATCGAACCAAGTTAAACCAAATCAAATTGAACCGATATGGCGGTTGGAATAACCAAATCAGTCCAACTTCCATAGGCCGAACCGATGCAATATTTGAAATTTTTTGAACTAACAAATGTAATGGTTAGAGTGTAACCACCCATATGAAGAGTTGCATCCCTTCATATGCAACCGTTCATTCTCTATAAATAAGCATCTACCCCTCTGGTTTTGTGATGAATTTTTCTGGTACCGAAATTCTGCTAAAATCCAAAAGTTGGTTTTTCTGCATTCGAAAAGAAAAAAATTGAGTCAAGTTTGGTCTCGCCGTCTTGTTGCGTTCGTTGATTTTCAGGGTTTTCGGTACCGCTACACCGGAAAGGTACGTCATTTCTATTCTGGAAGGAATCATTCCGTAACCGTGGGTACTAGAGGGGAATAAGATTCTTTTAAGGAAAGACATTGAATTATAGTCGACTATAACGTTGCATATGTCTTTGCATGTTTTTCATGATCATATATATTTGTTTGTGTTGCAAGAAATTAGTATACATGAACAATTTTCAAAACCATACTACCAAAATTATAATCGTCATCATCTTCATTTCTGTGATCGCAGCTCGTTTTCGTTAAACATTGTAGTAGATAATGAGATGCCCAACAATGGGTAAGATGTAGATTGTACCCTTCCATCTGACATGGAAAGGAGCTTGAATTCCATGCTAGGGAATTCGACGAGGGAAATTTGCTATCTCCATATAGCAAGCGAGAGTTTGAGGATATGGTACGTGATTTTCACACCAATGTTTACGAGTCACCTACGACTCCTAACCTTGCATCTAATCCATCACTCGACTCACCTGGCCTAGATGATCACTTTAGGGAATGACCCCTTGACCTCATTGGTCTAAACCATGAAGGGGGCACTAGCGATGCCTAGATAAAAGGCATTAAAGAGAAGGCACTACCTATGAGGCAACCCATAGATTGTCTGACTTAAAGACATTAAAGATAAGTACTTCCGAGAGATAACTCGTCTTCGTTTTTCGGCTATTTTCCCAATAAAGTTGGTTGAACCTAGGTTTATGGATCGCACCTAGTCTCACGAATCATGGAATGACTTGGAGATGAAACATTACCCACTTATCCACATAAGGGTGATCCTCAAACCTCATATCCATCAACTTTGTGCTTCAACAAAACAAGATGTTGCAACCCTCTTCGTGCGGAAGCGATTTTGTCGCGAAAACAATAGCCACCTATCTTAAACAGTGTTAGGACAATATCTCGAGGAAATTGTGACAACGTTAGACCCTAACACGGGGTAAGGTTTTACAACAAACATTCTACATTCTACCATTATTTACCCATTCTTGACCATGATTGCGTGCCTAGGGTTTTCCCTATGTCGACCATTGCAAAAGCTATTTGTTTACTCTACCGTCATCATCGGATTTTCACCCACACCACCCACCCGTGTTCTTACTCCTTCAGTTCAACTTGCTAATACCTTTTCGTTTGAATCCTTGTGGATGCATGAGTGCTATCTTGTATCTGCTTTCTTTTCAAACCTTTGAGCTTCATATGTACATTCAATGTTGACTAGTGACAATTTAGCTCTTATGCTTCCCACGTCATATCTTTAGAGCTTACCTTGATTGGTTTATGTTAATATGTATTGGGACAGGAAAACATAGGAGAATGATGTCTCGTGGAGTGGATGATTGTTGTGTGCCCATGGATTGAGGTTGTAGTGCCCTCTACTTGTGCCATGACACATATTAAGCATACATATATGTCTTTTTTTACTTTGGTTTTGACTTTCAAATCTAAGCGTCTTCGTCGCTGTGACACGGAAAATACTTAAGTGTGGGGTGATTGGGAATCACCCAATGTAACTCTCTTCACGAACGCCTCACGATAATACATGACTGACGATATTGTCTCATTTAAACTGTGGGGTAAGGTTTAGGTAGAATGGTTTTCATTCGATATACCATTTTCTAATTGTTCATGCACATGGGAAAGGGTGCTTCCTATCCAAACATGTAAAAATTGCACAAACCTCACTATGGAGGAAATTATTGCGGGTTCCTGTCATCTCACGCCTGTGAGAGTGTTCACAACCCTGTTCACGACAGTGGCTTATGTCGTGAACTGCTCGACAATTATTTTCTCAATTCTTCAAATTGGGAATTCACCTCCTACTTTTTGCGGTTTGGCTCACGCCCGTGAAGCGGCCCGTGAGAAGGACGGAGGAGTCCTCAAAAGCCAGTCGCATGCGAGTAATGTGTGCATTCGCACATAAAATTCAAATTTTGGGTAATGCCACGCACCCAAAGCAACTTCTAAGATCATCATACTTTGAATTTCTAGTCTTTGCGTTAACACGTAATCTAAGGGAGACTATATTGTAGGGGCTATGACTATGAAGGATGTCATTGTCATGAAACTTGGATCCATCTTAAAAGGAAAACGTATGGATGGGTACCATTCCTTGTGATTTCTCGAACTCCTCCTCAAACGAATGAGTCTTCTGCGCTTAAAGCAAAATTGGGGTAGATATGTAGCTTCGTACAATCGATATACTACCACATCAAGTCTACATCAATATATGATGCCACCACAAATAAAGAGTGGGGTAAAAACCAAGTGTGAGACATTCTATCCTTTTAAAAAACCGGTTTTTGGAAGAGATACTAGTTGAATCTTGGTGGCTAAGGCCTACAAAGATGATGCAAGATCCTCTCTAGTACAAGAACAATTTCACCGGGATGATAGGATCGCCAACTTGAGAATTTTGAAGAGCATAATTTATATGATTGACATGTGCAACTTTCTGTGAGATATAAAAGTTAACAATTCTTGGTCTGTTTGAATACATTTCGAATGCCTCCTACATTCCATCTTCTCATCCACCAAAACATTCTTTGAACTTGAACTTCTTGAAAACTCAAATTCATTGTCTTCAAAATGTGAAATACCACAATATGCATGCTTTTGATTCACATACCATATGAGTTGGACTAAAATGGTACATGAAACACATTTAATGAAGTTGATAAACCACAACAATTACACATAACTGCAAGCCTGAAACTTTGACTCGTAGAAAACAATACAACAATAACAACGACCAGAAAGCACGAGAAAGATAAGTAAAGCATAATGGAATTGTCTGCCACAAGCAAAGCACGAGAAGGATAAGTAAAGCTAATACACTCTCAAGCTTTTTATTTTATTTTACAAAGAACACACTCTCAAGCTGGAAGTGAAGCAAATGAAACACACGCGTGCTTGCATTTTGCTGTGGAGTCGATCCTATGGTGCAATGGGGAGTGGGACGACAAGCAAAGCAGTGAGCATATCCTTGGTCGTAGTATCGGAATGCGTGTAGCCATCAGAGTACTTGTAAAGAACATCCATCACTTGTTCAAAGCCCAGAAACAAGGACAGAACTTCCTTAGGGATGTGCCTGCAGGGTGGGTCAAGCAATTCCCCCTCCTCCACCATTTCATTCAGAGCGTCCACTGCTTCCTCGTTCGAAACTCCGTATTGCAACATGTAGCATTCGACTGAAGAAGCCACATGTCCTCTTTCTTGCTCGAACTGCAACAACATGAAATCAACTCATCGTGCCCTCTTTTTGAAAGAACATGCACAGACAGATAGATGGGCCGGGCGATGGTAAGAAAGGAAAAGACATGCACGTACGTACGACGCTTACCTTGTGGGACATGATATCATCCATGAGACGGCAATGGTCGGAGGAAACTACTAAAATGTTGGGTTCGGCGAATAACCAATCAAAGACTTCCTTTGGAGCAACTTCAGTACCCAAGCCGCAGAGCGTGGCACACACAATGGACTGGTAAGTTGTGCTTAGTGAAGAAATGAGCCTGTACTCTTCTAAAGTTGGAACATAGGCTTTGGCCAACCACCTGGCTTCTTCCATGTATAACTTGGTCATATTCTTCAACTACACTCGAAATGGTAAAATTAAGAAATGTACGTATTGGAAGCCCAGAAAACAGTTGCGGTTCGGGTGCATAATCTTTAATTACACGCAAACTAACTATACAATCCTTTTTTTGTAATTTTTTGCTTCTATTTCTACTCTCCCTAGCAAGAAAACTGCACGTTGAATAATCCACGATACTGTAACATTCTTACCGACAATTTCGCATATTCCAAACAATAGGGCCGTCCCTCTTGTGAAGTGATAATATCGATTTCATCGAACCCAGTAATCATCGCCTCAAAAAGTACCTTCATTTTCCCATTTAGACTGTTCATGCTAGGATCCCACCTGTGGCATAGCTGATACATAGAACAAGTCATCATCATCATCAATAATATATCAAATGTCATCAATTAAAATGAAGGGGAAAAAAAAAAAATATGTTTGTACATTAGACGAGATATATTATGGTGAGTACACTTAGGGGTAGGGGTGGCTATACGGTCCGGTCCGATTAAATTGGACCAAATTGATCTAATCCCAGTCCGGTCTTTTCGGGAATATAAGGACCAAAGATTGGATTGGATACAGTCCGGTCTTGACCCAGTCCGGTCCCAATTTTATCTTGATTTTAGGAGTTGGGGGTCTCTTATCCGGGTTTTTATCTCAAATCTAAGCCCGAATATGAGATTGCATTGTTTGTTATCCGGTCTCAGTCCGGTCCCGGTCCGAGTTATACGGTCCGGTTTCGGGTAAAACCAAACAGTCCGGAACCAAATAGCCAACCCTACCGTACACTGCTATACCTTTCAATTGCAGCAGTAAACAACTCGAGTTCGTCGAGTGAACCGTAAGCATCATATGTGTCGTCAAACACAGATCCAATAGTTATTATTGTGGTGAAGGTGTATCTAGCCAGCTCAAATTTGGGCTCCCACAAACATCCCACGGCCCAAAAGTAAACCTCAACCAGCTTATCTCGCGCATAGTCGTTCCTTCTTATCAAATCCAAATCAATCCACCATCTGTACAATAACAATTCATTAAGAAATAGAATTATTGTGTTAGTAAAACATATATAAATTAATATAGTCTGTACAGTGAAAATTATTAATTTATACTAATTGTTAATTAATTGACAATTTGACACCTTACTCCAAACTCAGTTTAATTCATGATCTAGATGAGGATATCGAGGAGTAAAAATAGAGATTTCCTGTAGTGTATATATTCGAGTAGTACACCGGTCTGACATATATATATATATAGGGTAAGGAATGGTGTACTCTTGGAGGAGTAGTAGTAAATAATAACTAGATTTTTTTTTTGTTTATTCAAAAAATAGATGAAGTTTTGCTTACTTTGTAAGCACTTTAAGCTCCTTTTGGTACATGTTTTGCAGGACGTTGAAGCTCAGTTTGGCCAGCCTGAGGAGAGTCCCGTCGTGGCCTGCCATTTTCTCATAAACCGATATGAAAAAGAGATGCTCCAGTATTGCCACGCCTTTGCGTAGCGGCCTCTCCAGTGCATGCGCGATTCGTTCAACAACCACTGCTTCTGGCAGTGGTAATTCTGATGAGTCGGGAGATTCCGCCATTGATGCAGCACTGGTGAGATGCGACTTGGTGAATTGAACTGCATCGTCGAGTATGCTCTCGCCTTGGTTTCTTAGATATGCAGCTTCGTATAAGCTTAGCATGCCTTCAATGTCACTCACCAAACTTTCCTTGAACTGATCTCCTTCCTCTGTCCTGAACTTGCTGAATATATCTGTGTTTAAAACATAACAAACAATTTGTTTACATTGACAACGGACTAGCCATATGTTTGGCTGATCAAGTTTTGAGAGTATTTTTTGTACTTCGAAAATTGAATCCGAGCCAACTACTTGCACTGCGAGCGCTAGAAGCCAAATTTTGTAACACATGCAAAGGTAGGCAGGGCTACCCCTTTCACGTTTTGTCTTACAATTGGGAACATTATTGTGGTGCTGTTGTGTGATGTAAACCATGTGAAATGAACCAACACATAATTGTTGGTTTAGAATAGGAAAAGGGTTTTTTTTCCCTTTCCCTGAACATGAAATGAACTAAAAATCCTACGTGTATAGGGAATTTTCAAAAAAAAAAAAAAAATTAACAATTTCCTCTGACTAGAACCAAATTGGAGCAAGATACAAACTAGATTTAACAATTTCGTAAGTTGGGGATTCAGTTTATAGTGCAAATGATGATGATCACCATGTTTGTTAACAACTTCCTTGTTGTAAATCAAAGGCCGTAGTTCCCCCTCAATGAGATCCTTGTTAGTCAAGTGGTAGCTTCTTGTTGTTCTGTTAGTTTTGGAATAATACTGGGGCGACTAGTCATGGCGATTTACCACCTCAACTACTGAAGAAGAAATGATGTTGGGACTCTGAATGTGCTCTCCTTAATCCCTCCAAACAAGCTACACAACCAATCTTTTTTTCTGTTATCTTTTCTTTTTTAAATTTAGCAATAATCATAGTTTTGGAACTTTCGTCGAACCTCATAAAGTTAAGACTCAAGATTACCATCCTCACGCAAAGACAATTATAACCAAACTGAGTAATTCATATAGAGAAAACATATATAAACCACCAACAGTACGTAATTAATGGTCACAGAAATTAATAGAGACTAGCTAGAAAAAAAAAAAAATCCATGCATGCATTTATAACATATTAGTAGGATCGGCCAAGAGATTCCAAGGCAGCCTTGAGAGAAACCACCTCCTTCTCCTTCTCTTCCAGCGACTTCGTCAGCAGCGACTCCGTCTTCTCCATGAGCTTCTCCTTCTCCTCGATCACCTGTAGAGAAATGTGAATAGTACGTACTTTGTAAAACCTAAAGGAAATTAAAGTCCTTAGAAAAAAAGTTAAATGAGATTAATTCTTCAATCTAATTATTAGCATGCACCTTGTTCTTCTCCTCCACCAACTTGTTCCAGCAGCTGTGCATCACCGATTTCCCACCAGCCGTACCATCCTGGAGCTGATCCACCGGGACCAAAACGGCGCCGTTGCTCATGTCACATATGCTCCACAACATAGCACGGCTGCTAAGCTGTGGCTTCACCCCGTACCTCGACCAGCCGAAACGGTCGTTGATCCTCAGCCGCACGATCGGCTGACTGTACACGATCAAGAAGCAGAGGCCCTGACGGTTGACAGAGAAGTGGAAAGTTTGACCAGCCGAGTTGCTGAAGCTCAGATCTTTGACCAGCTCCTTCAACTGGTCGCCTCCGATCGTCACGCCGAAAACCTCCAGGGCTTTGAACTGCGCCCTGGTGGAAAGGCCGACGATGGTTGGCTGGCGCCAACGCGAGCCGCTGTGGCGAACCATGTCGAAGTCGGTGTGCTGGTCCGTGTAGTCGTAGACCTGAAGGTCCGTGGGCTGGCCTACGAAGTCGCGGATGAAGTATGTGTCGGAATCCATTTTGAAAACCGACATCGTTCGTTTTTTTGGGCTTCTGATTTGCTTGGAAGAGATCGATGGCTTTCATTACTGCATTTTATCGAGGTAGGAAGTACCGCTGTGCCGATAAAGCTAAGTGAGTGAATTTCACTTTCCCCGTTGTTCACGTTTCGGATCTATCTAACTGTAAACAAATTTTGAGTGAGCGCCAAAACATCTCCGAGATTGTATCAGAAAAATTAGCAATAGGATATTTTGGACTGAAATCATAGTTCAACCGTGGTTCAATCATTTCATACAACTAAAATTGCCTTCTGATAGACTACTTTTATGCGGTAGAACTGCTACGATAAGGTTTCGCAAGCAAATTAATGAATTTAGGAGGTATATATATAGAGCCCATCAGTCTAAGCAAAACCTCCAACCTACAAGTCAGTGCCCTATTTTCATATTTTATAAACATTATAAGATATTTTCTCAATCAGCCTAATTAATAAATCACGTATATAAATTCCTACCAAAAAAATCAACCACGTAAATTAACATTTTTCACATGTTTAGCCTATTTTTTTCTCATAATCCGAATAACCTAATTCGATCTTTCACGTGATCTCATCAACAATTACTTCTTGTTATATATTTTTTATACCCGGCCACTTCAAAGCCAACAAAATCTTTTTTCATTATATTCTCATGATTCAGTGCAAACTAAAACAAAAGTGAAAGAATCTTGAAATTGGCGTTGGAGTGTAATCGAAGCAAAGGCAAATCAAAACAACAACATGATGATATTTTGTGGAAAGCAAAAATATAAGCAAATCTTTCTTCGTAAAGTTATTTAGCCCAGTATGTGCGCGATAGCACGAGCTGAGCAAAACTAACGAAATCTAACTCATCTCGTGTAGCCGGGCGCTTGCTCTTGCTAAAAAAGATCATTTATGCTCAAAATTAAAAAGATAAATGATAATAGGTAGAAAAAATTAAATTTTTTAAGTGGTATGTGTTGACTTGGTAGTGACGTGGCATTTGATGGTTAGTCAACGCGTTTAACCTTTCAAAATAATGGTCAAATCTTGGGTTTGATCAATTTCATAAGTTTGATGCATAGTTTTTTTTTTTTGCCATAGTTAAAGTTTGATGTATAGTTAAGGCCACGAAATTATAGATCGAAAAGATTGACCAAAATATTTAATATGTAAAAAATTCGCGCCACACAAATATATTAACCGTTCTTAGTATCCAATCAAAAGATATTTTAAAATAATAATAATAAAACATTAAGTACTGGTCGTCAGTTTGTACCCTTAAATTAAACTAATTTTTTTTCTTCCTGGTCTCTTCTCCTTTCTATCCACCAACTCTACCGAGATTCCCCTTCCTATGACAATTTCAAACCCCTCTCCATTCTTCTAATCTTGAATTGTGAATTTTATGGACTTTTATTCAAATTTCATTATTAGCTTCATGTATATAGGGCAACAAAACTATTGTATCCACCGACTATTTGAAAGTCCGAATCCATAAGGAAGACTATATTGGGTTCCCTTTCTTTGAGAAGCTTCACCAATCTTCTTACAGTCGTGAGATTTTCCAAACCATAATATTTTTGTAGTTTAGAATACTCGTTGGACTAGGTGACCTTCCTTCCTTTACTATAAGGTGGCTATACGGTCCGGTTAAATTGGCCCGAATTGATCCGGTCCCAGTTCGGTCTTTTTGAGAATATAAGACCAAAGATTGGATTGGATATAGTTCGGTCTTAATCCAGTCCGGTCCCTATTCGGTCTTGATTTTAGATTGAGTTTGTGGGGATTTGAGTGGTCTGATGGGGGAATTTGAGTGGCCTAAGGCCTGAAAGGGTGAGGAGGATAAATTTTGAGTGTTAGGCTCTCTTATTCGGTCTTTATCCGGTTTTCGGTCCGATCCCAAACAGTTTTTTACCTTAAATCTAGGCCCGAAAATTAGATTGGATTATTTGCTATCCGGTCCCAGTCCGATCTCGATCCGAGTTATACGATCCAGTTTTGGGTAAAACCAAAAAGCCCGGACCAAATAATCAGCCCTCCTTTGCAAGGTCCGCCGCACCGTTATATTTCTTTTCTTGAGTGTTTTGGGGAATTGCCCTTTCAGGTGGATTATGTATGTTCCCCATCCAGACCACCATTTTCAGTCATAACTTCAAAACTTTATTAAAAAAAATTATATCCACTTTGATATATTTTCGGAAAAAAAATTTTAAGTCATAACTTCAAAAAAAAATTTTAAGTCATAACTTCAAAAAAAAATTGCACTCCTCAATCATATAAATTATGCTCTTCAAAATGATATTCACTTTGATATATTTTCGGAACAATTTTTTTTTAGAAATTTAGTACCAGTCTATACCAAGGTGATAATGCTTGGTACTACATAAAATCATACCATATGGTATAGGAATGTACCATGATGGTATGGACATACCAGAGGGTATAATGGTTAAATACATGATAGTAGGAATTTACGAATTGTCATTTACCACATTCATCATTGTGTACCACTAGTTACCATCCCAATACCAGGGTGGTATGGAGTGGTACATTTTGGTCCAATCTTTTTTCTTCAGAAATTTGTAGAACCAATAGATTACGAAGATTTCGTTTCATCTGTGTAAAAAAATCAAAATTCGAGTTAAAAACGAAGGTGCTACCAAGTGGCATGAAATGGTTTTCTTGAAATATATTGATAATAGATATAATTTTGTAGATCGCAACTAACTCATCCATATGTGCAAAAAAAAAAGTTGAATTCTATATTAGAACGAAGAAGATAGGAGTCAGTTAAAAAAAATAAAAAAAATAAAAAGTCATTAATTCTCACCCTTTATATCTAGATTTTCTCACTCTACTCAAATCTATTCAAATCTATGAATCCAAATTTAGCTATGTAAGGTGCACAACCCCTAGACCCAAATAAGTAAATAACACATCCCATAATAAGTGCTTCGATCAAGATAAGTAGATAACCAATAGATTAAATAAGAAACTAATGGCGGCCAATAAAATGTCAAATTATTAAATCTCCGTTTTCATGGTCAAGTGCATTCATCTTCATAATAATATAAGCAATACATTATACCTATCATACTTTAATTTGAATCACACAAATGGTAAGAGTATCGAAATCTATGTTTTCCAAAATAAAATTGATATTCTTCAACTATAAATATCGATTTACATTGAAACTCTCAATTCATTCAGATTAACATTCCGAGCATATATATCAAATGCAAATATGAAGCCAATCGTTTTATTTTCTTTTCTCTTTTTCATCTTCTTTGTCACAGGAGCTACATCAGCAACTAGGATGAACAGCGAATGGCATCCTGTAGCGAATCTAAAAGACAATCACACAATTGAGATTGTGGAATTCGCAATAAAGTATATCGATAAAGCACTCGATGGAGCTAACTTAAAGCTCGTGCAGGTTGATAAAGGCATATTTCAAAAAGTTGGAGATGGTGTTATTTATCGCTTTGTTTTTATGGCCTTCGAAATTACCACTCAATTTTACGAAGCAACCATTCTAGAGGGGCGCAATGGTGACTTGAAGGTTCTCTCATATGCTAAATGATTGCATGTTGCTGAGTGTAATTTTCTAAATGGATGGTATTGTATTGTGAATGCGATTCCCTACCATAATCTTACAATAAAATAATGAAAATTGCCCAAAAAATATATTTGTCTTTACTGTTAGTGGTTGTGTCGTATCGATTCAGTATTGTAGCACGTAACAATTCCCCTTTTAATTTGTTGATGTCTGGATAAAGGATTATTAAGGTGGGTTTACGACCTTGGATATATTCCATATGTTTGGCCCGACTTTTATAAGTCCTTTTCGGGTTCAAAAGCTGAAGCAGGGCCAAATACCTATAAAAGCTCGGCTTTTGAAAAGCCGAAAAGCGCTTTTTGTATAACATAAAAGCAGAAGCTCCGATTTGGAGCTTCTGCGAAAAGCTGTTTTGAAAATACAAGATTATCCTTACTAGTGGCGGATCTATAAAATTTTAACAGGGGTGTCCTCTTCAAAAAATATTAAAATAAAATAAATAATTCATAAATAAAAAAATATCGGACCAGTAAAAATTTTAACATACGGCCACGACGTATTTTTATATTCTGAAAAAGAATAAAAAATAGGCTTGGTAAATTTCTCAACAAATCTGTATATCCTACTAGACAATAGTTCACGAACTGATCGCATATGGATTTCTAACCTTGTTTTTTATGTAACTCAAAGTTGAAAAGACTCTTCCAACACTTGTTGTGTAATCATAAAATTAATTCCAATTAAGGTTAGTTAATTGTAGGTTTTGGAAATAGTCGGTGATAAGGAATAACTTTTTACTATTATGTAGTGTTTAAAATAGAACAACAAATGAGTTGCAATTTAATGGAGGACAATGTTTAAAAAATATAGTATATCCTAAGTTTGAATAACACAGACTATCACTTATTTTTTTAAAGTATACGCAAACTACTACTGAGGATAGGATTATCGTTGTAGGGGTGTCCCGAATCACTAATTATAATTTTTTATCCATACAAAACTACTACCGGGGGTTGAATAATCGTATTCTCAAATTTAAGGGGTGTCCCGGGACACCCCTAAACCCTCATGTTTCCGCCCCTGATCCTTACTAAATTTTAATTTTATTTCAGAAAATATAATTTTCCTTCATATATATCATTTTAAAAATAAAATAAATTATAAAATCATATTATTTCATATTAAAGAAATTTAACAAGATCGATTTTGACTACTTTTTATTGTTTAGATTTTTTTTTATATTATGTCCTTTATAGTCGTTTTACACAATCTCTCACATTAAAAAGCACTTCTAATAGTTTTACAGCCAAACACTCAACTGTTTTTTTTTTAAGTATTTATCTAAAAGCTCCAGCCAGAAGCTTCTTCTGCAAAAGCTACAGCAGGGCCAAACTAAACTATTAATAGAGGAATGGGAAAATTGCAACTCTCATTTCAAATTTTGTGTTTTGAGAGTGTGTCTATGAACGCCATTTTCATAATTGCTCAATTTGTCTTTTATATATTAAAAATGAGATTATTGAGATTTGAAACTGATCACTTATATGAAGGAAGAGTTCTACAACCAACTAGGTTATATTGTATTTAATGCAATTGCTTTTTTTTAACTCTAAACACATATTTTTTGTTTGCGGTTTCGTATTTATATTTTACTTGAAGTCTATATTTTATAAAAAGAGAATAAGTTTGAAGTCGAAGCTCGGCCAAAATCTCATAAACTGACTAGAAAAGGGTTTCCAAGTTCTTGTAAACCACGTAACTTCTTGAACAATACTTCTAGAAGATTAAAGTTGGAACGACAATAAAGCAATGGTTAAGACTATGTAAATAATAACTTAATCGAAATCGGCACAGAGGTTTACACGATTTCCTCCTAGACCATGGATGAAACTATTGTTTCTCTTATTCTACCGCGTATACATTCTACACTAGCGTGGCCCCGGCCAATTGACCGGAGAAAGATGAGGTATGAAATTTGATAATATAATGGGAGTATAGTTTATTATTGTATAATTTTTTTGGGAAATACATGATAAAAATAATGAATTTTAGTAGGATAGAGATATGAATGATGCAACGAATCAAAAATCAGCCTTATGAACCAAAATCATGTACCTGTTACCTTGTGAAACAATATTGTTTCTCGTAATATGATGAGGTGCAGTAAGTTTTATAGAAACTGAGTTCCAGAAAATCGAATAAAAAATCGCCTATCCCGCCGGTTTTCGGGAAATGAGCATCTCACAATCGTTGCTAGCTTTTACTCGGCCTGTTGGCCAATTAATTTGCTTTATAAAACTTTCATCTTGTCGTCATTGTGCTTTCTGGTTTTTGCCAAGCCATGATAAAATCTAAATAAATCAAGAATGAACAACACGATTTGAGATAGGAATCGTCGTCCCTGTATCCCTAAAAAATGGTGGTAAACACGGACTCACCTGGCAAACTGGTTTGGATTGAGATTTTTATCGGGTATCAGGGAACCATGTGATTATAAATTAGACTTTATCAAAACGGGTCAAAACTTGAAATTCAGCCTGTTTGACCGACCCATGCCAAACTCTAATTATTCTTTACTTTTAAACTTTCTATTTGAAAATAAAAAATAATGAAAGAAAAGAGATGACTGCAATTCACCATTTGCACATCACTAATTCAGGAATAAAACTATAGAATTTCGAAAGAAAACTGAAAATGTTTAGGATCGTTTTAATGTTAAAAATAACCAAATAGATCTTTCTGTTTATTTTTTTTACTAATAAATACCAAACGATTCCCTATAAAAATACACTATAATTAATAATTATGATATCAAATAAATTACATAATATATATTTGAAATGATAAAAATTGGACTAATTGGGTTGGTCGAGGTTGAACCATTGAATAACTTTAAAATACATTATATTTTAGCCACTAAAATATAAAATAATAGCATAATATATATTATGCTAGAGAAAATAACTTGTTTTAGAATGGCAAACCCATGATGTTCATTTGTTTTACTTGATGGGCAAATCTCGTGTAGGTCAGGCCCATTTAACTCTTTTATTTTATGGTTAGCGGTTAGCCCATAAAAAGGAGTATTGTTTTCCCATTTTCATATATATTTTACCACCATGGAGAAATAAAAGGACTTAAAGAAAAAAAAATTGACACTCCTGGACCCGTTTAAATCCACATGTGTACGGTAAGATGACCCGTTCCACAGAGGAAAAAGAAAAAAAATTGACACTCCCTATTCTACCTTTCCTACAAACGCTACTGGAGCAGGGAATTTGAAATGGGGGAATGGTTTTTTCCTCTCTGTTATTATATGTTTTTAATTTAAAAAGATACAACAAATGTACTTAGTGTGATTGTTTATGATGTTTGCTTTTCTTTATTTGGGGTCATCGTTCGAATCCTAGTACGTGTCTTTTTAATGAATAAAAAAAGTAATTGTGAAGACCAAATTGTCCTTTCTACTTTCACTCTGAATGCAGGAAATTTGAAATGGGGCTTCAAGTTTTCTCATTTGGCTTTTATTTATGGGTTAATAGCATTTTGTACCCCTCTATTATGGCAAATTAACAAATGTACCCCTTTAAAAAATTTTCGCACAAACATATCCTTCTAATATTGAAACGTAACAAGTTTACCCTTTATCCATTTTTCTATTAAGTGCCTGTTAAATCGTCTGAGAAATGACTTAATTGCCCTCGTTTACTTTTTGATGCTCCTAATTTTGATTTTAATTATTTTATCTCAATTAATTAATTAAAAAAAATCAAAACCCTAAACTAATTGTCTAATTCACTCTGAAACCCTCTGCCTCCTTTTCTTCTTCTTTGTGGCGGCAAAGAGATTCGGTCCCCGCAGCTCCAATTGCCTAAAGGGACATAGTTGCAGCCTGCAAGCCCAGCGGTGGAGTTTGGTGGAGTTGAAGATGAGAAAGGAGATAATCGGGGATCAGAATCGCTAGTAAAAATCACTGCTGCTAGCCGTCTTTCTCCCACGTTTTACCTCGATTCTTCCCAACATTCGTCGTCGGTCGCCGCCGAGAAAAAGAAGTTTCCTCAGAAGGTTTTCCTCTTAATTGTTGCTCGTTGTTGCCTTCGCAATTGAAACGATGCTTCCGATCGTCTCTTCCCTCCGCTATCCTCTCTCCATTCAGCCGGTGGCAGCAGTTTCCATCGAGAAGGTGACGATGGAGGCGGAGCGCCCCGACACATTTCTCAGAGAATTGGAGACTGGAGAAGTGAGGGCTCGTTTTGAGAAGATGATTATGGAGCATCTCCGATTTTGACTGGTGAGTCTTGTTCATGAGAATAAGAGAATTGGGAGCACGCGCCGCTGCCGAGAGGGACTAATCCCATGGAGACGGAGGGTTTCAAAGTGATTAGTTTAGGGTTTTAATTTTAATCAATTACTTGATATATAAAATAATTAAAATCAAAATTAGGAGTATTTAAGAGTAAATGAGGGGCAATTGAGTCATTTTACAGTCCATTTATCGGTCACGTAACAGAAAATTGGATGGAAGGGTAAACTTGTTATGTTTCAATATTAGAGGGTTATGTTTGTGTGAAAATTTTACAGTCCATTTAACGGTCACGTAACAGCAAATTGGATGAAAGGGTAAACTTGTTATGTTTCAATTAAAGGGGTATGTTTGTGTGAAAATTTTGTAGAGAGGTACGTTTGTTAATTTGTTATAATAGAGGGGTACAAAATGCTATTAACCCTTTATTTATTGGATAGATGTAGATGTATACAGTATATGTATATTTCTCTACTAAGAACCCTAGCTCGCCCTATACTCTTGGACATCCGAAGTATATATACATATGGGCTTCGGCCCATTATCACACATCCTTTGTTTAATGAAAAATTGGCTACAGATAATATAACAACACTAGAATTGTTGTTATAGTAACAACAGGGTAAAAGGGTAAATTGACAAATATCAAAAAATTAAAAATTGAATTAAAATACAAAAAGAAACGAATTAAACTTTGTTCCCCCACTCTCTGCTTCCTCTAACAACTCTGCTTCATCGGAGCTCTCTCTTCTTCACAACAATTGCAAAAGCGGCGGCGACAGTGCCAAATCGAGTTCATTGCGTTCACCTCATCTTTCGCCGGCCGGAGCTCTCCGCCAGAACTTGTGTCCCCCCCTCCTCCTCGTTTTTCTGTTGCCGTTGTTCTTCATTGACAACTGTTCAAGATGGTGACAGAGAGGGCAGTGGTGGTTGGCGCTAGAATCATAGTGTTGAGCACCGTCGCGGCTTCGTCGTCGACGTCTCCAGCCTGGCCGATTACATGTCCGATGGCCGCATATCCGCTCCCTTCCATGACTGCCTCTCCAACTTCTGGATCTGGATTTCAGATCTGGTGGTCAAGGAATCGAAGAAGATTTTGCCGCCGCCGTGGATGGAGCAGGCTGGACGAATTGCCGCAAAACCTTCCCGCCGACGCTCTCGGTGATTATCGCGGCGCCCGGGATGTCGGTCTCCGACATGACCACGCCTTCTGTGCTCACCGCATCGGTGGCCTGGCGGTGACCGACGAGGCCGCCCTCTCGTTGAACGTGGCGGTGGATTGCATCGCCGTGGCCGGGCCGCCCTTCTGGCTCTGTCCGAACACCATGGTCTCGGCGGTCTGCATCATGTTGGCGTCTTCAGGGGCGATGGGCTTGGAGGCGAGGTCCCCCGAGACGTCAAAAACGTCGCCGTATCTGATTGGATCGAGTTCCTCCTGCCCCGCCGCACCAAATTGCTGCTGCGGCTGTTGTTCCGGCCTTCTTGGTTGTCCCTGACTCATCCTGTTGCGAAAGGCTGTCGCTATCTTTTTCAAGAAAACTCTGCTGACAGACTAGTTGAGGATTGAGATTTTGATGGTTTGGATTCTAGTGCGGACATTAGGAACAGAGCTATTTAGGATAGAGAGTAGAGGCACACACTCTGTTCCTGGTGGAATGAAAGTTGGCTCTTCCAGGTTAAGTGTCGAGAGAAGGAGCGAGGTCGTGGGCCTTGTAATGCTTACAGGTGGTATATATCCTTATGAGCTTATAAAGTCGTTTTCAGAAAGTGGAGTTACAGAGAAGGGAGTTCCATATAGCATTTCCATCTAGAACGGCGAATGCCTTCTTTGTTGTGTTTTGGGAGTTGTTTGAGAATAAGAAGACTTGGAAAATGGGTCTGTTGGGTTGGGTTTGGAGTGCTACTTGGTACCTTTTTAGGTCTTTTGAGTAGTTGAAACTTTTGGTTTAATTTGGTTGGCAAGGTTTATCATTTGCCTAATAACTGCACAGGCTTAGTATATAGGGCAATATGCCTGTGTTCCCCCAGTTTAGTTTTTGGATTTCAAATGTAACAAACCACAAATATTGCATAAGTATACCATAAACTTTTTAATACAAACCACAAACACATTAAGATAAACAAAAAAGAAACATACCATAAACCTTCTAATGCATACAATAAATCTCCTAAAACATACAAAAAAACAACTCAAAGCAAACCACAAACATTTCTAAAGCAAACCAGAAACACAATAAAGCAAACCAGAAACCTCCTAATGCATACCAAAAATCTCCTAAAACAAACCACAAATCTCACAAAGCAAACCACAACATTTGCGAAAGCACAACCGAAACCTCCTAATGTAAACAAAAAACGTCCTAATGCAGACCACAAATATATTAAAACAAACAAGAAACCTCGCAAAGCAAACCACAAAAGTTTCAAAAGCACACCAGAAACATCTTAATGCAAACCAGAAACCTCCGAATGCATACCACAAATCTCTTAAAACAAACCACAAACCTTACAAAGCAAACCACAACATTTGCGAAGCACACCAGAAACCTCCTAATGCAAACCACAAACACAGTAAATCAAACCACAAAAAAACAAACCACAAAAAAACAAACCACAAAAAAACAAACCATAAACGTCCTAATGCAGACCACAAATATATTAAAACAAACCAGAAACCCCTCAATGCAAACCACAAAATTCTTGAAAGCAAACCAGAAACTTCTCAATGCAAACCAGAAATACGATAAAGCAAACCACAAAAGGCATAAAAAAATATGAGAAACCAAACCATAAACCTCACAATGCTAACCATAACATCCGGTGATCGTTGACCGTTGACCGAACTCCGGTGACCGTCAGTGAGCAGATTCCGACGCCGATAGGCATATTCCGGTCCCGGTAAGCATATTCCGGCGACAAAATAGCATATTCCAGTGACCGGCGACCAGATTTTTGGACAGAAAATAAAAAAATTATTTTTTATTTTTTAAATATATTTTTAATAATGACAATTATACCCCTGTTTTGATTTTACACTAGGTCAACTAAACTAATAAAAAGTCATCACAACCCTAGCTTCCTATTGGTTGGAGACTAGTGTTGTTACAATAACAACACAAGGGGTGTTGTCACCATATCCGCTCCATGAAAAATTATACCTATTATATAAATATCTATCTAATTAGATAATAGATATTTGTGTGGTATATTTGGAGAATTCACCCATTACTGAGGGTCACGATGCTTGTTTACTTTACTCAGATTAGTAGAGGTGGTCAATTAATTTCAGATACGAAAAGCTAATGTGCTATTATACTATTTTTGTAGGACAAAATCCATTAATATATATTATTATTCAAGATCGAAGCATATGATCATTACAATCAGTCAATCGTGGTAGTTTTTCAGAAATCCGATTCTAATTCCCTTCATCATATCAAGTATTGATCTCAATTCACTTTCCCGCAGATCTTCCTGATCTCCCCCTGGGAACCCGTTTTGACCCCGATTCGCCCCATCTTCACCATTGCTTCGGCGAAATCAGCCCCAAACGACGACGTCGCATGGCCCCCAACGTAAGACTCCAGAACCTGCTTCGTCTTCCGATCTTCTGTGAGCTAAGCGTCGGAGGCCAAGACGGCGAATCCCTTCATGATGTTGCTCAAGATGTGGTCGTCGAATTCGAACTCTGACGCCCAATCCAGGGGAATTCGTCCGATGAAGTCGCTGTTGAGTGGGCAGAAGGATTTCAGCTTCGGCAGGAAACGAGGGTTGATTGTCGGGTCAGGGTCGCTTCTGCCGCTGAAGTTGTACAGGCGCTTCGACGTGAAGAAGCACGCCGCCGTGCCTAGCGTGTGCGCTCCTGCAGTCAGGATTGAAATTTAGTGTGTGATCCCATTTATTTATATGAATTGAATGAACTTGTAAGTAGTAGTGCACTTGGCATTTTTTTCACCAAAAAAATTATAATTCGATTTTAAAGTAACATTTTCTTCAATATATCCAATCAAAGTAGTCGCTCATGATGAGATTATCAGTTATTTGACTATATAACTTACTTTTCGTATAAAGTATAGTTGAAAGTCGACCTTTTGATCACTAGGTAAACTACACAAGTAAAATAAATTGACACATATTAGTTTAGTTTGGCCCTGCGGTAGATTTTGCAGAATCAGTTTCTGGCTGGAGCTTTTATAGATATATAGTACCTGCGGTGAGAAGGACAAGGTCGTTGTCACTTAGTCCCTTGGCGTGAAACTTAGCCTTGAGGACTTTAATCGGATCGTTGACATCCGGCAGATGGGAGGCAAGGGCTAAGCTGGAAACTCGGCCGTCCCTTCTCCCCGTCGGCAGCTCGTAATCCGGTCCATCGCTCTGCCCATGCAGATATATAGTCAAATTGGTCTAGTTAATCAGCGCGCCACGTACGGTTATTAGCAGAGCAGAATCATTAATGATTATTTCAAATTGAATAGAACCAACGAACCAAGGCAACAGCGTCTCGGGCAGCCAACATCACTATGTCAGCGCATGACACGACGCCGGGGCAGAGTGACTCGACCCTCTTTTTGGCCGCGCCTATCACTTCGAATCCGCCGACCCCTGCATTCCCCGGCGCCTCTATCTCTCCACCCTCGGCTTCCAGCAAAATCGACGCGTCGCAACCCTGAAAATTACAAGTGCAAAAAAAGATACAAATTACGGACCACGTACTCATATACATATATGTACGTGCACCATTGTTTGACGACACCGGTACCTGGACAAAACAATCGTGAAACGACAGCCTGAGCAGTCTAGCGGCTGAAGACATGTCTTCGTGCATTGCTTCTTTGACGGCGGCACGGACAGTTTCTTCGGCAGACGGGCAAGTTTCGGAGTAGAAACCGACTCGCAGCTGCGCATTGCAGGCCGCCACAAACAGAAGAAGAAGATACAGTGGAGCAGCAGCAGCAGCAGCCTGAATAATCATGGTGTTGAGACTAGAGAAAGCACGTCAAGAAAGAAAACAGACTTTAATTACCACGAAGAAAGAAAACAGAGAGAACGGGTGAATGAAGGGGTGATCGAGAAATCTTTTGAGTACGTGGCAGCGCCCGGCTTATATATAGAGATGATTGAATAATTAATGTCGATGGTGATTTCAGGCCTAATTAAGAAGATTAGATGTAGCAGTGATTAACAAATTACGGGCCCAATTGTTTTGTCCTTTCTAATAAGAAAAACAACAGAGGATGAATGTACGAAGCGATGAGAAAATATTCTGACAATGATTAAATAGAGAATTAGAGATGAATGATTGAATAATTAATATCGGGCCATAAGCATTAGCGTTGACACGTACTACCCATGTGCTCACACGTTCAATATCTAAAGTAATCCATTACAAGAAAAACATTTGATCAGCTCATATTGTCTATTTTCATAAATTTATCAAATCCTCATGAACTAAGATAACTTCAAACCATATCATTAAATAATTTTGCCATTTTTTCCTCAATGTATACCGCCTATAAAAAAGTGTCTCTCACTCTGTTAGATACCGTCGTCCGTCCCCCGTTGCAACGGATTCAATCTATTTCTCAGAATTTGGTTAAGCACATAGGAATAAAGTAAAAGACAACACAAGAAACTGTCGACTGTGTCTTAGGTAGGGAACAGATCAGACAGTTCTTTCTAGGCCCACAGTCGGGTAAAATATAGAAAATATATAATACTGCCAAATGTGGGCCTAATATCTACTTAGCTAGCAAGTTACCACTTACCACTGATTGAATTATGATTCATTTAAACGTACGGCTAATAAGTAAATAAGTTAGGACAGAATTATGGACTTAATTACTGCTGCCGCGGCCATGCACGTGCAACCAGGTTGTCACTGATTCAGTGATTCATGCATGCATGCATGGGTGTACATAGGAACTTGAACACTTAATACGTAACCTATATATAGCAAGGATAATCCCATGGTTGTTAAAACACTACAATTGAACCTGGTTCGACCATGCTACGTACTGAATTCTATGTGATCGTTTTTAATTTCAACCAAACTTGGTCAAACTGAATCAAAGATGGTAAAAATGATTAGCTTTAACAGTTCGACCGAGCGATCCATTCAATCGAATCCTTGTTTGGCAGTTTAACTTTGTCAAACTTTGAATCACTTGTTTATACGATCGAGGCCAGACAACGACTGATAACGTCTTTCCAACCAGAAGTGCTGTATATTATTGTCTGTTTATCGGATTTTCATATATATGAAAAGTGGGTCGTCCAAAAATAACGGTCTTTAAACCTACCTATGGAAGTTATGTCGGTCTTTTTATTTTATTTTTTATCAGTATGTCGGCCCATATTCGAGAAAATTTTGGAATAAGAAATCAATGTTGTAGGCCGCAAAGCATAAAATTTAACCTAGTGGTAACTGTCATGAACCAGTTGATCCCAATAACTCGAGTTGTTGGGAGAAGTTCAATCGTGGATCATATACCACAACACTAACACGCCCCCTCAAACGAAAGCCACTCACAAGGGCTTGAAGTTTGCACAGGTCTGAAGACAAGAATACCATGTGCTTAACAAATGGGGGTCATCGGGAATCGAACACAAGACCTTTCGGTCACAGAAGGCTCTGATACCATGTCATGAACCAGTTGATCCCAATAACTCAAGTTGTTGGAAGAAGTTCAATCGTGGATCATATACCACTACACTAACAGTAACTTCAATTAACCCGAGGAAGACGCACAACTTTAGGGCGAGGTTGGAATTTGATCTTGACAATTGACATATGCATGACCTCTCTCAACGGTACCCAACCCCAAACAAGGAACTCAATAAGACTAATGTAACATCGACATAGATCTATCTCGCGAACCTAACCTAAACCTTGAGAGAAAACCCATCATTCAATCCAATTGCTGTAGTATATTTTAATTGATCATATGTTGGTAACAAGTGGCTCTTGTGCTAGAACAATGATTGGATGTGTTCATCATGACTAGCGTTATGTTCGATTGGTCTTTTTGGATGGAAATACGGGGTGACTCGTAATCTACACTTTGATGATCAGGGTGGTTTCATTCTGAAGTGTATATGCAGTAAAAATATTTTAGAGAAAGAACTAAAAATTTGACATGTAATGTACGTAGAGGTCGAGTCCCTTCCTTTGGAGGACTGGAGAGTGTTTATATATGCGCGCACTACTTGATCACTTGTACCACATAAATTGTATTAGACATCTTTATGTGCCTCAGCTCGCTCATGCCACCCCAATATTATATGGTATCTTGACATCAATGCAGTCAAAATCGCGTTTTAAAACTTACGATTTTACGCTTTTAGGTCACCAAAACGCTTTCGTTTCCATATAAAAACTTAAGTGTATAAAATCGGACTAAATTGCGCAATAAAGCTTTAAAGCTTACGCTTTTACGCTTCTAGTTCACCAAAACGCTTTACGTTTTTACGCTTTTAAATCACTAAATGAGTATTCTTTTCATGAAATTAATTATAAAAATTATATTTTAAAAGTAAATCACCAACAATAAGATACATTTGAGATTAAAAGATACATATCATGTACTTGGATGCATTCTCAACTTTAATAGAGTAATCTAATTCAATAGCTAGGCTCTTCCCGAATGCATTAGCATAGAGGAAGAAATGGCTTATTGTTAAAATTTATATTAAGAACTTATTATTAAGCATATTCAAAGTAATTTGAGTATTGGACTAGAAAGTTCATTGTCAAGTACCAAACAAAAGACACATCATTAGTGTAAATGACACGTACAAATTATATAACCATCAAATTATGTTAGCCAACAGGCTGGGCCTTGTAATAGTGTGTGTGTGTGTGTGCATATACATATATAGCAAAGATTCGCTTACATTCGACATACGCTATACGCCTAGTGTTAGTCTAAATTTAAGGGTTATAAATAATAGAGAGCGGTTCACGTCAATAACATTATGGTCAATAACCATGCATAACTGTCACATCACTACTAGATCACCATGAATGGAAGGCCCGTAACCCTTTCCTATATAAATTTTAACGGGCTATATCTCTTTTATTTTAAGTCCTAACTTGAATTTTTTTTATAAATAAATCAGAAAAATTATGCTTTTCAGAATGATATCCTCTTTGATATATTTTTGGAATAAAAAAATTCAGACACGGTACCTGTCTATACCATGGTAATAATGCTTGGTACTGCATATAAAGTCATACCATGTGGTACTGAAGTGTACTAGGTGGTATGAACATACCAGAGTGTATAATGATTGAATACATAATAGTAGAAATACACAAACTGTCATTTACCACATTCATCATTGTGTACCACTAGTTACCACCCCTATATTAGGGTGGTATTGAGTGGCACGTTATAGTCGAGTTCTCTCCCCTCCCCCACCCAACCCCCCAAATAAATTTGTAGATCCAATAAATCACAAAAAAAAAATTTGTTCCATCTATGCAAAGAATTTGAAAATTTGAGTTAGAAACGAAGATGGTACCAACTAATGAGTGGTATGAAATATTTTTTATCAAAATATACTGAAAATGGATATCATTTTGTTGATCACAACAAACTCGTTTAATCTATGTAACAAAATTGAATTCTATGTTAACAAAAAGATAAGAGTCTATTAATAAAATTAGAGAAAATAAAAATTATTAATTATCACTTATTAAATCTGGATTTTCTTACCCCATCAAATCTAAGAGTCCAAATCTAGTAATGGAAGGGTGCATAACCCCCGGGCTCAAATAAGTGAATAACACATCCCAAAATAAGTGCTTCGATCAAGATAACCACTAGATTAAATAAGAAAAGGAGGGCGGCCAATAAAATGTCAAATTATTAAATCTCCGTTTTCATGGTTCTTTCTTTCAGCAAGTGCATAAATCTTCATAATAGTATAAGCAATACATTATACGTATCATACTTTATTTGAATCACACAAATGGTAAGAGTATCGAATCAATGTTTTCCATTTTTTTTTATATTCTTCAACTATAAATATCGATTTACATTGAAACTCTCAATTCATTCAGATTAATATTTTGAGCATATATATCAAAAGTAAATATGAAGCCAATCGTTTCATTTTCGTCTTCTTTGTCACAGGAGTAGCAACAGCAACTAGGATGAACAACGAATGGCATTCTGTAGCGAATCTAAAAGACAATCACACAATTGAGATTGTGAAATTCGCAATAAAATACATCGATAAAGCACTTGGTGGAGCTAACTTAAAGCTAGTGCATGTCGATAAAGGCTTATTTCAAAACGTTGAAGATGGTGTTATCTATCGCTTTATTTTTAGGGCCTTTGAAATTACCACTCAATTTTACGAAGCAACCATTTTAGAGAGGCACAATGGTGACTTGAAGGTTCTCTCATATGCTAAATGATTGCATGTTGCTGAGTGTAATTTTCTAAATGGATGATATTGTGGATGTGATTCCCTTCAATAATTTTACAATAAAATAATGAAAATTCCCCAAAAAATATAATTGTCTTTACCGTTAGTGGTTGTGTTGTATTTCCATTCAATATTGTAGCACGTAACAATTTCAATTTGTTGATGTCTGGATAAAGGATTGTTAAGGTGGTTTGAGAGTGAATGAACTATCTATCTCTATCTCTACACATATTGGAATGGGAAAACTGCAATTCCTATTTCAAATTTTGTGGCTTGAGAGTGTGTCTATGAACGTCATTTTCGTAATTGTGCCCAATTTCTTTTTATATGTTAAAATATTATTATTGGGATATGAAACTACACTTATATGAAAGAAGAGCACTACAACCAACTAGGCTATATTGTATTTAACGTGATTTTTATTGAACTCTAGAAACATATTTGTTGTTGACGACTTCATATTTATATTTTATTTGAAGTTATCTATATCTTATAAAAAGAGAATAATTCTGATATCGAAGCTAAAATAACAATGATTTGAACATGAAACTTTAAATTGTATGTGTGATTTAGTTTAAACAAAATACAGACAATAACAAATATAATAAAGTATGTTGATCCAACATTTTTGTGTGGACTTGCCAACTAGCGAATTTCAGCATTTTTATTCTAATTAACTTATAAATAGGTTTGAATAATAAAAAAAATTGAAAAATATTTGACTAGTAAATAAAAAAGAGAAGAAAGATGCAATATATTTCTTTTAAGAAAAAAGAAAAATTAAGATAACAAATGAATGGTCGGTTGGTCGCACTCACATAACCTCTCACTCCAACCCTTTTTATCTTTGTATAAAAAAACTAATACATATTTTGGGAGTTTTTATTTAAGAACATGCGTATTTAGTGGGGGAAAAATTCATTTTACAATTTACACTGAGCCCTTTTTCTCAGCCCAACCCAGCACCCCCACGTTCATTCATCAACGAAACTCGTCAGCTCCATCATAACAAAACAGCAAATCTGCCTCGAGATCCTCTTGGATTCTCTCATCAGTCCCGCTCGATGCCACCGTTCCTTCTCCCCGTTGAAAATCACTAGCAGCAAATCTGCCTTCTTGTGTGCAATAATTTGGACTAAAATGTAAATTAATATAAATTAGGGTAGTGATAGGGAGTGGTAATAAAGAATAGGTTAGCGGAATCTTATGTAATAGGTCAAAACTTAGCTTATCGATTCGTGGAGCGGGAGCGAGAGCGAGAAAGCATCTATTTTGCGAGAATTGTATTTCGAGAGTATAAAGAGAGTGTTCATATTATATTATTTTAATTAATATATTATATAATATACTGACACAACTTGGACAAAAGAACAAAGTTGTAATTGCTACTTGTACTAAACTACTAATTAATTTTATACATAGGGTAAGATAATGTCCTAGAGCCAACTTTTGGGCTTTCCAGTTCGTTTAGTTAGATTGGTTTTCTATAAAAGTGGGCTTTAGTTTTAGGTTTTAACTATGGCTTAGAGTATCCATTTGAAGCCCATATCTATTTGGAGCCCATAAGTAAGTTAACTGATGAGAAGAGTAAGGATTTATTCTCCCTGCATTCCGTCATCTTCTTCGTTTCTTTCTTCTTCAACTCTTTGCTGACGACACCGTCATATTTGGCCTAGCAACCACAGATGAGGCCACAAGAATTCTTGACATCATCAATCAGTACGGAGCAATCACGGGGCAAGAAGTTAATGCAACAAAGTCGTCAATTTTCTTCAGCCATAATGTCACAAACGAGGAGAAAAAGGAGATCATTGACACTATTGGCTTTGCGCCAACCAATTGCCACTCACAATATCTTGGAGTCCCAACAGAGTGGGAAAGATCTAAGAAGGAAACGTTTAAGTTCCTGTTACAAAGAATGGAGAAAACAGGTGAGGGGTGGAATAGCCTCATTCTCTCCCTCAGGGGAAAGGAAACTTTGCTGAAAGCGATCTTTCAAGCCATAGCCACATTCACAATGTGCCTTTTTCTCCTGCCTATCGCTACCATTAATAAGATGGATGCTCTTCTCCGAAGGTTCTTCTGGTCATGTTCCCTTAACAAAAAATCTATCCACTAGATTAAGGGGCAGTTTCTTTGTGACCCCAAGAAGGAGGGCGGCCTCGGCTTCCGCTCGTTTAGAGAGTTCAACTTATTCCTCCTGGCAAAACAATCGTGGAGACTTCTCACGAACCCGAACTCTCTGTGGGGTAGACTTCTCAAAGGGTTGTACTTCCCCCAAACGGACTTCCTTTCAGCTAAAAAAGGATCCCGTCCATCTTGGATATGGGCAAGCCTCTGGGAAGCAAGAAATTTGATGAGGAAAGGGACAATCAGAGTTATTGGGAATGGCCAGAGCACTAGAGCGTTCAAAGACCCATGAATTCCTGGGATGAATGGGGAGGCCATCTCGACAGGGACAAATGAAAACACTCTGGTGGCTGATTGGATCGATGGCCAAAGTCGTTCATGGAACTCCCACATCTTCCCGCCATCGATTGATCCTGTTTTCTCTCAACGGATTGAAAGCATCCCGATTGGCACGGAGGAAGCAGAGGATTTCTGGGTCTGGGGCCCCCACCCAAATGGCACTTCTAGGTTAGCTCTGCCTACCACTTCTTCTATGAGCATAAAAAGGAATGCTACAAGTACTGAGCCCCCACCCTCCCAGATGGAAAGGGATCGTTGGAAATGGCTATGGAGCTTCTCACTCCCTCAGAAGATAAAATTTTTTATCTGGAAATGTTCGCGGGGAGCTATTGCAACAAAAAGTAAGTTGTACTCAAGGAAATGCTCCTCATCTCCGATGTGCCCACTCTGCACCGTACACACTGAAACCATCAATCACTTCCTCTTCCAATGCCAACATGCACAACAATCATGGATGGCAATGTTCCCTTCTTTTCCTGCTCCCCCGGAGAGTGTTTCAATTTTGGAGTAGCTGTCCAGCGTTCTTCCAAACACTCCTGTCAATTCCATCCAGACCATCAACTTCCTTACGTGGCATATTTGGAAGGGCATGAAATGAGAAGATTTTCAGAGGGGCCACTCTTTGGCCACCGGCCACCTGTGATAAGGCGTCCAAAGATGCAGTCTCCTGGGCGGCATGTCCTCACCGTCCCATGATCCGGAATTCATCACACCACCAGCCTAGGACATCCCTGATCCAATAATCTTCACCGTCGAGTTCTCATTTGTTTGAGATACACTGTGATGGGTCCTTTATTTATGACCCCCAGAAGGCAACTTATGGTGTCATTGTTCTTGACAACCCTGGAGAAATTTGTGATGGGAGGGCTGGACCAGTCTTGTGTTCACCCCCCATTGAAGCAGAAGCCAGAGCTCTCTTGGAAGCTGTCCGTCTGGCAGAGTCTCTCCAGGTCCCTTGCATGATCAAAATGGATTGTTTGGCCCTTGTGTTGGCACTATCCTCAGACCCTCCTGTTTGGCCATGGCGATTCACGGCTTGGCTTGGGATCATCTCTAGTCTCACTCATCATTCCAGTTGCATCAGGATTTCCTTTTTCCGACGTAAGCTCAACTTGAAAGCTGACTGAGTTGCTCGAGCTTTTGTTAGAGATGAACTCCCTACTGATTGGATTACTGTACTTAATCTCATCTCCCACCTGATGTAATCCTCTTTGTACTGCTTCTTGGCTCGGGATGAATATATTGAAAGGATCTTCACCATAAAAAAAACTCTCCCCTTCACCCCTTTCTCTGTAAAAGGTGAAATCCCTAAAATTAAGTCCGGTAGAATTTTAACACTGAGTTTCACCATCGCAGAGATCTCTCTCTCATCTCTTCTTTCTACTCCACCACCCGATCTCTCACGGTAGTGTAGCGACGGAGACTTCCAAACCCGTCGCCGCCGTCTCCCTCTCTCTCCCACTGAACATTCTAGGAGGTCTCTTATCCGCATAATCCCCACATATTTCACGATCTCCTCAATTGGTAAAATCTTTTCGGATGCATGCAGAGACTCCGGCCTCTTCCCACCTTCATTCGTCAACCCAACCACCGATTTCATCTCATCCACCATCTCGCCAGTCACTAATGCTGGTGGTTCCTCTTATGCTGTTTTTGAGAAATAAAGTCGCGAATTAGTTTACAAAAATCGTGCTCCAACATAAAGTAATTTATGAATTTTGTGCGAACACCTAATTTGCATTTCAGCGCTCCAAGTCGGGATCGTCGACCCATTCCTGGCGAATTGTGTGACCTAAGTCAGAACGCAACATATAAATAGTTCCACACTATGATAATTGCTGCGTGTGCTAATAACAAACATAATGATCTCTCTTTCCCTCTCTCTTCCTTCTTCTCAGCTTTTTCCCTCCCTTTTCTAACGTCTCTCTCTCGGAGCTCATTCCTCTACTTCATTCGCCATTCCAATTTCTTCATCGAAAGCACAATTCCAAGATGGGACGTTGGAAGGTGGTATCAGAGCCTGGTTCTTGACAGGATGACAAAGAAACATCTAAAGGAGAATTTAGTTTCCTCCATAAATCATACAAAAATAGTGGAGATGAGGCTTCATGAAATTGGTATGCATATGAACAAGCATATTAATTCAATGGAGGAGCCAAGGAAATGGGAAACAAGTAAGCCAACTTAGAAAAAAACCTACTACTCCAAATACCAATGCTCAAAGTAATATGATCAAGGGTGCTTGTTATAAATGTGGGATTCATACTACTATGGTCATGTTGGTGAGCAGAAAGACCAGCTCAATGCCCTCCACAATGAAGATGAGTTTGTGATTGCTGAAGAACTAGGAGAGTATAGATGAAGAGACATCTGATGTCATTATTAGCAATGAAGAACTTGTGGAGGTCTCGATACATGCCTTAAGCAGTGGTGTAGTGGCTAATTCATTAGCGATAAAAAAATATAATAAGAAATAATTAATATGCATGGGGTTTGTTGGGAAAATAAAAAAAATTGGTTTTGGTGGATACTAAAAATATCCACCCGTTTCCCAATGAGAGGAAGGCCAATGAGTTGTGCAATGAAGGAAGCTACACCACTAAGGGTTAAATTGTTAGATGATATTGTGTTGCTTATTGACAAGGTGTGCATCTCTTTCACTTGGGAGATGCATGGTTATTAGTTCACCTATGATGTGAGAATTTTGTAGTTGGGATTCAATGACTTGGTCCTTGAATTGGACTGGTTGAAGATCATTAGTTCTTTCAAATTTGATTTTGTCAACCTCTATATGTACTTTGATAGGAATGGTAAGGAAATGATGTTCGAAGGTATGCAGGATGTGGGGAATTGGAAGGCAATGTTAGGAAAGCCGTTGCAGAAATTCTTCTAACATAAAGATCAGTGTTGGTAAGAATAATTATTCACCATGAGCATTAAGTGCATCCAAACTCCAGGTACTCCTCTGATGTGATCCTGGGTTGTGATCCAAAATCATTTACATTGATGTTCAAACAAGAAACTAAGTCAAGGGAAGAAGGAGCTGGAAATTTGGCTTATAAGTTTGGGAAAAAGTCCATGATTACTATTTTGGAGGCTTACTCGTTTTGATTGGGAGGCATTCGAAGGAAGTTAGGAGTTGGAAATGAAAGTACAAGTCCTGCTAACATCGTGAAGGCATCGGATGAGAAGAACGAAGCTTCTGGGGGCACCGAACGAGCAACCAAAAGATCGTATGGTGACCAGTAAAAAATCCACGACCGTGGAATTCAAGTTTAGATAGTGGATGATCAGAAAAATTCCATGTCCAAGACACCTAAATCCACGACCGTGGAATTCAAGTTTAGATAGTGGATTTTGATCAGAACAATTCCATGTCCAAGACACCTAAATCAACGACCGTGGAATCTTGAGGGCAGACTGTGGAATTTCACATGACGAGTTAATTACCTTTTTGTGTTAGGATTCTTTTTCCTTTTCTGTGTTTTCATTAGTTTTATTTTGCTGGACCTATTTAAAAGGTTGTAAACGCGAATTTTAGGGTTAGACTTTGTTGAATAAGAATTTTACACAGAGGTGTGTTTTTCCCCTATGGAGCCAGCGTGCTTATGGGTTATTGGTTTAGCTATTGGTGAATTCCATAGCTAGGGCAAGATCCTTGTTTGAGTTTTTCTGTTGAAGATTCCAGAAGAGATTGACAAGATTCTCATCAATCAAGCGATCACACTTGATTGTGACGAGTATCTATCTCCACGTATCCCTTTATATTTATGTTTGTTTGACAGTCGGTTCGAGCTATCCAATCTTTAGTTGAAGCTGCGCGACTTTGACAAAAAAACCTAAACTTTTACTAGTTCGGGTTCTTATCATCCTCCCTCTTTTGTACAACCAATTATTCTAGAATTCAAGTTTTGTACAACCAATTCTTCTAAAATTCAAGGATGTGTTTGGAACACCCAGCTCGCTACACCCATCTCGACCCTGATTACAAAACACCTCTCAAACCCAACTCTAGACCTATTAATCTAAGACCATATCGTTAGCTAGGGCTGATAAACGAACCAAAATCGACGAGCATCGGTTTAACTGATAAGAGATTAGCATCTAAACGGTCGGTTAAAAAGGTCTGGAAGTTCTAGAAGCGGTTTGCGACTTTTCTCGGCCATAACCGACAGCTAATCGGGTACCCGATTGGAATTTTCCTCTGCCCTCGACCTAATCCCCAAAATGCAGACCCAAGCCACTGGCTGCAAAGCGGAAGTCATGACCCTACATGCAACAACGTAACTCCTGGAGGCTGAACGGTGAACACCAATCGTGATATGATTTTGGTAGTTTAGAAGCGGAGGAACTTGTAGAATTGGATGAAACGAGGGTGCCATCGGCAACATAGCCGTGCCAGATATTAGCAGGCGTCGGTGTAAGACTGCAGGCGGAAGGAAAGGCCGGCGAAAGAGGCGGAACCAGAGTATTAGTGGAGTTGACACTTGACAATAGGACTGGGGTTAACGATCGAGTGTTGTGGCGGTGTCGGAGATGGGGTGGGGTGGGAGCTCTTGAATGGTAATTTGCACCCTATCACTAAACATCTCACATGGACATGATAGATCTCTAATCTCTATGTTCCTTATCTCTGCCACCAACTCATGAGAAAGAGAGACCAAATGATGATCCACGTTAAAAAGAGATGAAGACAACTATATTAAAGCATGGGCCAATGAGTTAAGATCATGGATATGAATTATGATGTGTTGCATGTTTGGTCAATCGTTTTACTAAAAAGTGTCATGTTTAGTCAAATGTGAACTGTTTGACTAATTGGAGTAGCTAACATTGAAATCATATATTTCTAGAGACTAAACTTTAGTAATCTAGTGACCAAACTTGCAATTTTTCCTAAAATATTCATTACGAAAACAAACGAGCCATAACGAAAGGGCCTGGGTTCCGGTATAATACCTCGGCTTACAACTGAAATTTACAGAGTTTTGCAGGTCGGGTTTTGTATGCTATCCACTCCCTAACAAAAGTAAAAACAAAAGGGTAAATGCCACATTTGGTCACTGAGATTACTATATTGTGTGATGTTTAGTCACTAGAAAAAATTAATATCAATTTTGGTCACTCGAATTACTGAAACATGTCACATTTAGTCACTCTCCCGTTAGCCTCCGTCCAACTCCGGTCACTCGAATTACCGAAACATGTCACATTTAGTCACTCGAATTACTAAAACACGTCAAATTTAGTCACTCTACCGTTAGTTTTCGTCCAACTCCATTAATAGATTTGGACGAAAACTAACGAGAGAGTGACTAAATGTGACCTGTTTCAGTAATTCGAGCGACCAAAATTGTATTAAATTTTTCTAGTGACTAAACATGACACGATTTAGTAATCTTAGTGACCAAATGTGCATTACCCAAAAACAAAAGCATACGCTTACACTATGTTTTTTAAGGAGAGAAATGGAGGGAAAGGGAGGAAGGAAAGTGAGATTCCCAATGAGTTTTCCCTTATTGTTCAGAGGAAGGAAAGTATGGAAGGAGGGAAAACTTTCCACCTTTTGTATTGTTGAACCCTCCCCTCCAATTTGGAGAGAAAGGAGAGGGACGCATTTGTGGTTTTTTTTAAATATATTTTCTAATAATTAAGTCCATCAAATACTTGTTTTTAAATACTTATATTTCATAAACTTCCACTTCTCTCTCCCACACAAAATAACATTGATTATTATTTCAATTACTATCGTAGCATTTGTGGTTCTTTTTTTTCTTTCTTTTTTACTATTTTCTAATAATTAAGTCCATCAAATACTTGTTTTTAAGTATATTTCATAAACTTTCACTTCTCTCTCCCACACAAAATAACATTGATTATTATTTCAATTACTATCGTAGTGTAAAACATGTTTGTTAGATCAGTCGAGTCAAATTGGAATTACCCGACTAGTTTTGGTTTTTTTGCTGTATCGTCTATCATCATCCAAGTAGATATGGTAGAAGACTAAAACATATTTGATGGTCATATGTTCATGGTAATAAAATATACCATAATGGTAGAAGACTAAAAACGACTCAAATAGGTCGGACACCAATCAGACCAATAAACTTCAAATCATTTATTTGATCGGCTCTATAACTTAAACCGGTTTGACAACCTTGTTATTCATAAGTAATGAAACTAACATTAACACATAATTAAACTATTTTACAATTTCATAACCAATAAAATAATATATTTATCACATTTCCCAATATACTTTTTAGTTTTCCCCGTACTTTCCTTTATAAAACAACATTTTCTCTTCACTCCAAATTTTCTCTCCCCCATTTTCTTCCCTTCCATTTTCCTTTCCCCCATTTTCTTCCCTTCCTTCGTAGTTCGTAAACAAGTGTTAAACGACGGCGTCTATGTATAATTCCTTCCTTCTACCTTTTCATTTCTTCCTCACCAGTTGCCATTCCGGGCCGCCATTTTCCAGTCCAACAGAAAGCGGCCAGAAAACAAGAGCAGTGGCCGGAGAAGGAAAAACATGGGGAGCTTGACCAACAAGCAGCCGAGAATCTTCAGTGCGCACCACGGCAACGCTCTGCCGCCGTGCACTCGGACTCACCAGATCGGCGCTCTTCTCCTCGTCTCCGTCACCTTCTTCCTCACTCGCCTCTTTCACCAGTCATTCTCTCCCTGCACCGCCACTTCCTTCGGAGGCGATCTCGGCTCCTCCGATTCCCAGACCCTCGTCCGTGTCTCTGACGCCGGCTACCTGTCGTGGCCTAACCGTGGCTACGGTTCATTCCTCTCCCTCAAGATCTATGTATATGAAGAGACCGAGATTGATGGCTTGAAAGAGCTGATGCGCGGTCGAGATGGCAAAATATCCGCCGAAGCTTGCGTGAAAGGCCAATGGGGAACTCAGGTCTGTTAATTCTGCCATTGAATTTTTGCCACATTCGAATTGCAATGTTCCTATGTTTGATTAGAGCTTCGGCGAAGCAAACCGGGAATTGAAATTGAAGTTACATTTTGCGGATTGGATTGATTTTCTAGGTTAAGATACACAAATTGCTGTTGAAATCAAGGTTTCGGACTAGGCGGAAAGAGGAGGCCAATTTCTTCTTTGTGCCGACGTATGTCAAATGTGTGCGGATGATGGGAGGTCTCAATGATAAGGAGATCAACCAAACCTTTGTTAAAGTAAGCACATTTGCTTTCTGGATTATGATTTTTATCTACAGATGTTTTCTGGCTAAACCTTAGGGATTTCAAATTTTGTATTGTGGTTACCCCCACCTTTAATGGCTGAATCGCAGGTCTTAAGCCAAATGCCTTACTTTAGAAGATCTGGAGGTCGAGACCACATTTTCGTCTTCCCAAGGTAACTTTCTGTTCCTTTCAAGGAGAACATTTGAAACATGATTAAAGAGGACTGGCCGTTGGTTTCTTGAACATTAGTCCTGGCAAGTAGGGTGTGTTAAGATGTTCCAATTTATCGCATGACCTCGAAGGGACCGGGTGTGTTAAGTTGCAGAAAGTAATGATTATTCATCTTTTACGTGCTTAGCATTCCCTTTAATGTTGCTAATCTATGTGCATAATTTTCCTTGACTTTAGTGGGGCAGGAGCTCACTTGTTTCGATCGTGGGTTACGTTCATAAATCGTTCAATTATACTTTCTCCTGAGGTATAAATCGTGTTTCTTGAACAATCCCTTGTCTTTGGACTAGTTGATGCCGTGTTATCCATTAAGTGACAGTACACATTCATGTTTATGATTCCAAGTGTTTGGTGTTTGACTGCATATGTGAATTTCAGAGATAGTGGTTCATTTTGTTGTGTGTTCTTTTCCCCTTTACTGCAAAGCATGTTAACAGGCCTGGAACATTTGTGTTAGTGCAGGGCGACCGAACTGATAAAAAGGATATAACTGCTTTCAATACTTGGAAAGATATCATCATCCCTGGTAATGTTGAAGATGGAATGACCGTGAAAAAACCTACTACAGTTGAGCCTTTACATTTGTCAAAAAGGAAGTACTTAGCAAATTATTTAGGGAGGGCACAAGGCAAAGCTGGTCGCCTTAAGCTCATTGAGATGTCAAAGAAATTTCCAGATAAGGTAAGCTGTTCTCTCGGTGTGACACTATGATAGCCTTGAATGGCTGCTCTTCTTTTCATGTTCAATCTTTAACTGTACATTTTTATCTTGGACTTGAGCTCAACTGACTAGATTGCTTTGTTTTTTTATTTTTTATTTTTTTAATGTTTTTTGCTCTGCTTATGTTTCTCTTTCTTGTGCATGCTTCTACATATGTGTCGGGCAGGTTAGTCATTCTGTTTGTCGAAGTGCTGTAGACTGGATAAGGCTGTTTATCGTTTTTTTCTGGTTGTATGTGATTGGCCTTTCAACAACTAAAAGATGATCTGCATAAAATGGCTGAAAAGAAGATGCTTGGTTAAGCAGCTTGCTGCAACTAAACTGCATGATTCCACCTCTCTTAATTGTGGTGGTTGTCATGCTAGTCCTTATTCCTTGTTCTTGGTTATATGGCTAACATATGAAGCACATAATGACATCCGGAAACAGTTGGAATGCCCAGACTTGAAGTTCAGTGGTCCTGAGAAATTGGGAAGGGCTGAATACTTTGAACATCTCCGCAATGCAAAGTTCTGTCTTGCACCACGGGGAGAATCTTCCTGGACCCTTCGGTTTTATGAATCTTTTTTTGTGGTTGGTCTCTTTCTACCTTTTTTCTCCTCTTTTGGGTATGCCCAAAGTTGTGCCTACAAAGTAATTGCATGGCCATGTGTTTTGCAGGAGTGTGTTCCTGTTATTTTGTCAGATCAAGCAGAGTTTCCATTCCAAAATGTGATCGACTATTCCCAGATATCAATCAAATGGCCATCTAGTCGAATTGGCCCTGAACTTTTGGATTACCTTGAGTCTATACCAGGTAAAAATTGTACAAACTGAAGCCTTTTGTTCAAGTAGGGTTATTGTACGATCTTGATTTATTTCGTTTTTTCTTTTCTTTTACCCTAGAAAGAGACATAGAGAAGATGATAGCTAACGGGAGGCAAATAAGATGTCTGTGGGTATATGGTTCCGAATCTCAGCCCTGTTCTACAATGCAAGGAATAATGTGGGAACTTCAGAGGAAAGTGAGGCAGTTCCACCAATCACACGAAACATTCTGGCTTCACAATCAAACGATAGTGAACAAGAATTTAGTTGAGTTCTCCAAATGGGAACCTCCCATGCCTCTCCCATGATAATGTGTCCTTGGAATAGAAAACACCATCAGCTTACTTGTGCTTTTCCTCGCCACGATCTACTCGTTGGTCGAGTTGCAGCTGGAGTTGCCTCATGCTGCTACTTCAGCAGCCTACCCGAATTTTGCTTGCTCAACAAACTTCCCCTGCCTTTTCAGCACATTCGCAAGTAAAGTTTTCAGCATCTCGACTTCAGTATAGAGAAATTGTTGTAGTTTCATAGGATTCGAAGCTGGGGAATGTATAGTGGATCCAAACTAAATGTAGATGGCAGAAACTGAAGAACATGTAGATTACTTTATCTGAGTCTACTGTACTATTTGTTGAAGTGATGCATTTGTATGGTCTTCTAATATTGCAGGCGTTTCTGTTGGGCATGCACTGTTTAGATGGCTAATATTGCAATCTTGACAAAACAAGGGTAATAAATCTGAATCATTTCAGTGACATTTTTTAATCTGTTGCAGAAATAGAGACATTAGCCTTGTTTTTCACGTACAAATACTTTGATATTTTGAAAATTTTCCTGCTTCATCAGGCTTCAAAATCACAAAAATTTGTTTACACGTCTTTAGAATGATAAACCAATAAAGTATAGATTATTTATAGGGCTTCTGTTCCATTTAACTCGGGTTAAATGATCTCAAAGTCCTTATTTAAACTGAAACCTTTCTAGTGGTGGAATCTTGTTCCAATTCTAATGACATAATAGTTAACTAGTCAACCGTTCAATTGTAGCGGCAACCATTATTTTCTTTCTAATAGCGGAGTCCCATTGCAATACTGATAAGGTAATGACCAATCAATCTATTGAAGTTATAGATCATTATTTTCCTTGTAATGATGGAGAATCGTTGGAACAAACAAAGCAGGGGTGTAAGTTTGATCATAAAAACCCACTGACTCATCCCGACATCAGTTTAGGGTTGGATCAACTTTTGACCCTATGGGACAACATAGGGACGAGTCACTTTTTGACCTGTGGCCTTTAGACTAACTCCAACCCAAGGATGCGAATTTGGAGAAGGATGTTTTTCCACTTTTTCCTCTCCAACCCACATAAAAATTGGCTTGCAAATTTGGAGAATTGGCTTGTGAGCAAGGAGAAGGTGGAGGATCCCGCGGTAGCCGAAGCCCACATGTCGGGAGAGGGGGGGGGGGGGGGGGGGGGGTCGGGGCCTCCACTTTTTTTTTTCTTCTTAATTTGTGATTGGTTGGTTTTGAGTTGGGAAGGCAAATTTAGAAAGTTTATGGTTGGAGCAAAAGAGTGTTTTTGGGAGGTAAAAATGCACATTTGAGAGCTTGAGAGGCTAAATATAGCCTTTTGGGTTGGAGTTAGTCTTAGCAACAACAAATTTCTCATTCCACATTGGACCTCTTGTAAAGTTTTAAAAGTTTAGATACTAAATTGTAAGCATAAAATTTTTTGGGTACCAAAATGTAATTTTAGCATCAAAATTTATGGATTTATTTGTAAAAACAAAATTTAGGTACCAAATTGCAAGAAAAATAAATTTGGGTACCAAATTATAATTTAAAATAGTGTGTTGATTAGGCCCGGCCCATTGGCCCGGCCCTTCCAGACCCGTCGAAACCCTTGTGGGTCAAACAAAATCAAGAAGAAGACAGTGACTGGACGAATTAGTTATACATCTTGACTTTTAAAAAATTAGTCAGACAGGGTTAGTGACAGAATCAGGGACAGGTCACAAACCGTTCATAGCAATTTTCAACCCTAAAGCAACATATACGTTGATTTTTGTCCAGAAGACTGCTATATGTTGTTGCTGGATAAAAAGAATTGGCACCCAATTCTTGATGCCGCGCGTTTAAAGGCCCTATGAAATGACTGTTTAATAACTTTGTTTGCTTTGTCAATCACTAATCCGATGTAGCAAATTGGCGAATTTCTACTTCCTTGAAATCCGGGTTCAAATCCCGGCAGCGGAATTTTTCTTTTTTTACTTACCCCTTCTTCGCCGTAGGTTACTTGATCGCAATCGAGTCTACTACTGGTTAAAAATACTTAAAATTGTAGGTTACTCGATCGCAGTCGAGTCTACTATTGGTTAAAAATACTTAAAATTGAGAAATTTGTACGGTACACAATTGCCTACATTTTTGTTGGTCATACCGCCATAGTCATGTTTTATTCCTCAGATTGCAGGCTTGAGAAACCATTGGTTCGGTTAATCGAACCAAAAAGCCATCGGGAATAAAAAAAATTGAATCAATGAATTTTTTAAACCAAAACCTTTAAAAGTTTATTTGTTTTCGGTTGACAATTATATATATATATCGCAAGGAGGAGAATTATATTATTCTCTAATTATACACACTCTCCAAGTTCACCTACACAGTACAACAGTAACTTGAAAATCATAGTAAATGGAGTGAGTAATGTAACATGATAAACATAATATTCAAATTGCACTCAATGGCTTAGTAACTCGGCGTATAATCGATAACTCGTCTTTGTATTACGATCCTACCTTAAGATCGAGGTGAACTCCAAGAGTTTATATAGTCTTTCAGTCTTCTTTTCTCTATCAATCATTCAATCTTCTGATGGTGCAATAAAAATTATAATTTTATTCAGGATCAATGCAATAAAAAATTATAATTTTAAATAAAATAAAGGTTCATATTGAAAGTAACACTCAACAAACTAATAGTATTAACAAGGCATATCACGAAGAATACTCAAATATATAAATGGTGAATAAGTACAAATAATTTATCATATACACTCGAAATTCACAATTTGCATTGCCGAGAAGGTAAACTGCTCCCGGAGTTCATTCCAAGTACACTACTGAAGCTGCGAATATCTTTGATAGGTTGGTTGCTTGATTTGATAGGTTAGTTAACATCTTCTAGGGTTAGGCTACTAATTTTCCCTTAATTCCCTTGTTGATTTTGACAGGTTACGAGATCCATCGACTTTCCCCAGTTGTTTGAAGTGTACTTAATTTATCAGTGGTTGAACTGACTCACTCCATATTAATTAGTTTATCACCTGCTCCAGAACCAAATGCTCGCAGTGACAACCTTTTGGAGGTGTAAGGACGGACCACGACGTCTAGTTTTGGCTTGGCTATATCAAGTAACTTCTGTTCTACACAATTCTTCCACCCAAGGAGATTAGCTACACGTATCCAATATTCTTGAATTAATGGTTTGACGTAAAACCTCATAAATTGAGTTGTACGTCTTTAGGATGGCCATGCACTATATAAACGTACGTACGTGCATTGGGAATGCTCATTACAAAACACCGAAGTCAAGTAAACTAAATTCCTAATCTTCCTCTCCACAACACCAAATTAGAATCACCCGCGCCATTACTAATCAGCTCCAGTTATTGTTCGTTACTCTGAAGCTGCTTCATAGACAGTGATTAAGGAGAAGATGTCCAACAGATCAGTCGACGACGATGGCCGCTCGATGCGAACTGGTAAGTAATTAACCCACTTAATGTCTGTTCTAACCGACGGTTAGTTATGAGGGTTGGAGAATCTGTCGACATTAGTGTCGGTTTGAAAAACCGCCGGTAAATTGTAGTAACTGTCGGCAAATTCAACGATTGAATAACTGAAAGTGACCGACACAAAAGAAAATTAAACCGACGGTTAATGAACCCACCTAGCTACTATTATGTATCATGATTAGCTAGTTTAACTTTCTCACTTAGCTAATCAGCTTTAGGTTAATACAATTGCTTTGATTAATTACTTATTTTCCCAACCAATGTTGAACATCATTTATTCACTTGTACGTGTATGCAATGCAGGTACGTGGGTGACGGCGAGCGCCCACATCATCACGGCGGTGATTGGGTCAGGGGTTCTGTCCCTGGCTTGGGCAATCGCCCAGCTGGGTTGGGTGGCCGGACCGGCCGCTCTCATCGTCTTCTCTCTCATCACCCTTTTCACCTCCACCCTGCTCGCCGACGCCTACCGCCACCCGGACCCCGTCACGGGCCAGCGCAACTACACCTATATGGACGCGGTCGGGGCCCATTTAGGTGGGGTCAAGGTCCGGCTTTGCGGCCTGGCCCAGTATGCAAACCTTGTCGGCGTCACCGTCGGTTACACCATCACCGCGTCCATCAGCATGGCGTACGTATGCTATCTAATTAACTTTTTACTTGTTCAATTGATGCAACTTTCATTTCTTTCCTGAACTAATTAAATATATATATATACATATAGGTCGGTTCGGAGATGGAGTTGTTTCCACGAGGGGGACAAGTGCCACGTGTCCACGACGCCGTACATGATCATCTTTGGCAGCATCCAGCTCATCCTTTGCCAGGTGGCCAACTTCCACAAGCTGTCGTGGCTCTCCATCCTGGCCGCCGTCATGTCCTTCACGTATTCCCTTATTGGCTTGGGTCTCTCCATAGCCAAACTGGTTACAGGTTAGAAATTAAGATATTGGCAATCTTATGTTACGTAAAAATATATATTAATGAATCAACTTAATTGAATGAAGGAGTTGAGGCGTTTGGAAAAGACGCGCCAGGGGATTTACTCTCCGGGTCCGGATTCGATCATCCGGTGTGGCTCCTCAACGTAGCCAATGTCTGCGTGGCTATCCACCTCATCGGCGCCTACCAAGTCAGTTCAATTAAATTAAATTATAGTCTGATATGAATTGCCTTTTAGATATTCGTTGAACTAATAATTATATATATATATACATACGTGTGACCACAAGTGTTTGCACAGCCGATTTTCAGCTTCGTGGAGACGAGCTGTCGTCAGAGGTGGCCAGAGGTCAAGTTCGTGACAACGGACCACCAGATTACCATTCCAATTCTGGGTGGAACGAGCTTTCACGTCAACGGGTTCAGAGTGGTTTGGAGGTCTGCATACGTGGCGGTGACCACAGTCTTGGCCACATTCATCCCGTTCTTCAACATCTTTCTGGCACTTATCGGGGCAGTTTCCTTTTGGCCGCTGACCGTATACTTTCCGATCGAGATGTACATCGCCCGATCGAAAGTTCCCAAGTTCTCCTTCTCCTGGATTGGCCTGCAAGCCTTGAGCCTCGTCTGTCTGCTAGTTTCACTCGTCGCAACAGCGGGATCGGTGGAGGGTCTGATACAGTCTCTAAAAATGTACCACCCTTTTAAGAATGAAGTATAAGTAATTAACAAGTATCACCTTAATTATGCTCAGTTGCTACATGCTATTTGTACATTTTGATTCCCAGAAGTTAAGTACGATTGAGAATGATGTTAATTCTAATATAGTACACAAGAGTTAATCAATTATGTTGGAATTGATAGAAGGTGCAACAAATATATACAGTACAGAAAAGCAATGATATTAATAATTAGCCTAACTCGTTGCATTGGGAAAGTAGGAGCACTGAGCAACATCCAACAGTTCCAGTGCTTCTGGTTTGCACTAAAATGGCTTAAGTAGTTTACACGGGAGATAAACATCTTTAAAAGAGAAATTAAGAAAAGGTGAAATGTGTACATTTCATTCAAATTTATAGGTTGAACTTAATATATTAAAATTGAGTCATTCCTTACCCGAACTCATAGGGTTCAAGTATTTAATAATTAGGTTTGGGTCATCTTTTATTTGACCCGTGACCCAATGGAATGGGTGGCTATGAGGGGTCCAATTAAAACTGGGCCACCTCGTCCATGTACTGTCCTAAAACCTAATTCTACTTGTCCAACCCAATTTATCACTGATCAGGCCAACCGTGGTGAGATCCGACATGCCATGCACAAGGAGCGGCCCAAATGGTGCAATCATATATCCATGAGAGTCCATGGGAGACCTTGGTGGGCTAGGATTATTCCTTTCCACTGAACTATATCTCCCTCTAAGTCCCCACTTCTTCCCTAGCTTTAGTTTCACTCAAGTGTGGGGAACCTTAGAGAATTGATGATAAGAGTTATTTAGAATTTTTTTTTTTATGGTACGTGATGTTTGGATTGATTGTTTGTACATATTGTACTACTTGTTTTGAAGGATACCTTACAAGACTAAGGGAATGACGCGTGGAGAGAGTTCTTCCAACATGGAAAGTTCTCAAACTTCTCATCCTCACCACAACCATTGGAAGCAGAAAAGCAAATCCGGATCAAAAGAAATAGTTGTTGAAGAACCGAATCCACCATCACTCTCTCCATCTAACAAGGGAAAGAAATTAATCAAGAAAGTCAAGCCAATGTTAGAGCGGCATGGAGTATCTTACTCATTTTTATTTGGGCAGTGTCCCCGATCAATTTAAGACCAACCTTTTTTGGCTTCAAGTATTCAGCTGGATACTCTTTGCACAGCTTGGGATCGAGGATGCAATTCGTTCCAAGATTCAGAAGTTGGAGCGGCTTAAATTGTCATTCATTCAAGAGAACATCTACAAGATACTTGTTCTGGAATTCATTACCACTCTTATTATTCAAGATATGCGAGGTGTTGCCGACCTTCAAGACAACATCCAATTCAAACTAGGAGGAGAACACCGTCAAATGTCGATTTGGGAGTTTACAAGAGCCATGGATATTTACCTAGCAAACTTCGTTGACTCACCGGAAGCTTTTGCCACCGTGGCAAGGGAATTCGACTTCCCATGTTTCAAGGCTTTCTATGAATCTGAAGTCAAGAAGTTCAACAATCGACCTTGGGATGTCAAGATATCGAAGGCTAGTGAGGTGAAACCGGAGTGGCGATTAATCCACCATGTGATTGCTAGGTCCGTGGGTGGAAATAATCGAAGCAAGGGCAATTTGACTGGCCGAGACTTCATTTTATTCCAAAGCATGCATCTTCCTCAATCGCTTCACCTCGTTTTGGCAATTCTATCCATCTTCAAGCGATATGAAACGAACCGTCGACTCACTACCCTTCATGGAGGAGCTTATGTCACTCGACTTGCAAAGTATTTTGATGTCGACTTCTTGGTCGTGCAATTTCGGCTGGATAGTAGGACTACTCCTATATCCTTTGATATCTTAAAATCCAGAATTATAGTGTTACATTTGAGTGACAATGGCATTTGGGGAGTGCGTGGACTTCCATTTCCAACCACTAACACATTGGATATGGATGGTATGGTGTTCCGTCTTCTGGAAGCCACGACGGTAAGAGGATGAAGAGGGCTAGTCAATGAGGAAAAAAAGTTTGAAAGCATGTACGAGGGAGGAGAGGTACATATATCCAATTCTCATCCGGTTCCCCCACCACTCTACCCTGCAAGGGATCTATTCGAAGTGATGATAGCGGCAATCCTTAACAATCAAACGAGGGAGAGGAAGAGTGGCTCCATATCATGGCATGCATCCATGCTATAATGAAGAAGATGGATATTCCGATTGCGGATGTATTGCCCCAATTTGTTCACTCACCTTCCCCTTTGCCATTCTAAGAAGAAGAAGAAGAAGAAGAAGAAGAAGGCATCCAAGGCCTAAGTTCTATCTTTTCTTTTTCTTTGCTCTTCTTTTCTTTTCTTTTCTTTAAACAAAGTTTAATTATTGCTTTCTTTTCATTTTAATTTTCGTACTTTTAATATTATATTAGTAGTAGTAACCTTAATTATATTATCTACTTATCGTACCTATGTCTTATAATCGTCTTCCTCTCTTTCTTATACGGTTTATTGTTGTGAAAACCACTAGGAAGACAAAGAACTACACTTGTGTACCTTCACAAACCCACAACCCAACCTATGGTAACCTTCATGATCTTCTCTTTTGAATCTCCCACATTGAGGACAATGTGTCGCTCAAGTGTGGGGGGATGTGTGTGAATGCTTGAGTGATTATCATGATTGATAGAGCCACAAATCACTATTATCCTCCTCACATGTTAAAGTGTATTCGGTTGCCACACATGTTAGGGTGCTTTAGACGATACATGTTAATTAGGTACAAAAATGGCACAAGTGTAGTCAAATGGGCAGGAAGCTGATGATCACAGTTTGGAAGGGAAAGATCTCAGTCGAGACAGCAAACCACGAAGCAGGAGAGAAGATCGCGGCCCACAAAAAGGAGCCCTTGGGCGTGAACTTCATGAGGAAACCACCCAAGAGAAGATACGAAGTTTTGATAGTCAAATCACGGTTACCGTCTTCCGTGATCGCGAGAAAGTTCATGGCCGTGACTCACAGATCGCGACTGTCAAGTCAGCCCGCAAACTCTCGGAAGATGAAGAACAAAATGATGACGCCTAAAGATCGCGAGCTCATATGGAAAGATTACTACGACGAATTCCCCCCTGATCGGCCGTGAACTTGTCTACCCTCCTGAAGTCTATAAATAGAGGACCTCTTCCCCAATTTTAGGAGAGCTGATTTTGAGATAGAAATGTATGGTTTAGAGAGAGAGGAGAGAGAGAAGCTTAAGGAAGGAGAAGAGGAGAAGCTAGAGGAGAGGAGCCATCTTCTTCGACATCGAGTCTTCCCCAAAATTTTCTATATATCTTCTTCCCTCCTTTATGGAGTAGTCTCTTAAGGTACTAGGGGTTTTAACCTCCAAATCCTAGTTTTAGGGCTATTAAGTAATGAATGAATATGATAGGGTTTTGAACGAATGTGTTTGTCTAGTTGATTTTAATGCTTCATCTAGCTTTAATAGTGCTTGGGTAAGCCGCCTTAATCTTCTCTACTAGCCTACTTGAGCTTCTACGCTGGGTATGGAGTTTTAGGGTTAGACAGGTATGCGTCGTCTGTCAATTTAGGGTTAGAAGAATGAATAGGGTCTTGTGATGGACGAGGCGATCGAACCCTTGCCACAAGAATGTCTTCCTAGATGGAACCGGAGATAAAACCTAGGTGTGGACGGTGGGTAGTACCCATTGAAAGGAGCTATGTTCTTAATGCCCAAGATATGTGAGCCTATACCGAGGTGACAATGGGGTAGTTATGGCGTACTCGAAAGCATGTGGATAATCACGAAGGCCTATGGAAAAGAGCTCACTCACCGCATTCGCGTAACCCAACATGTTTAGACATTTGCATGATAGACCTAGGCTAGGGCGAGGGTTAGTTCCCCGATGCACCTGCTTTTATCCTTGTTTATTCTCCCTACTAGTTATTTTACTCAAATCCTCCAACACAACCCCTTAAACTAGCCGATCAGATAACAATAACGTAGTAAGTAGGCTATGGTACCGGGACCCGAGTGAATACGACATTGATTGCCACTATAAGACAACTCCATTATAGGTTAAACTTGGCCTAGAAGGAGATAGTTATCGATATGTGCAAAGTACTGACAATTACCTGCATGGAATGAATCGATCATATTTTTTAACACACTTGTGGTGTGTGTTTATGAGACTTGTAGTATGCTTACTTGTGGTGTGCTTCATGCATGTGACTTGTGGTTTGCTGCAACAAACTTGTGTATGGGACTTATGGTATACTTACTTGTAGTGTGTTCCATGTGATTTGTGGTTTGCTTCATGAGTTTATGGTGTGGTAAGGTTCTGGTTTCCTTTCTAACGTGTGTGGTTTTTTGTGATATATATTTAGTGGTCCCCATCTCCTACCCTAATTAATGCATCACTTCCCCAAATTAATACATGTGAGTTTCATTCCCCGAATTTTTAATTAATGACCAGCGTGCCCCTTAGTGGCTTTCAGCCTTATTAATTATGGTCAACTTATTAAAATTGAAAAGTCATATGAACGAAATATTTCTATTGGTTGAAACTAGTATTACCATCATGTTAACAAAAAAAGTATTAGCAGCCTAACCTTTTTTGTTATGATGTTTCCTTATCTGCATTATTTTACATTAATATCTTGCCTTATTTCTTTTTCTTTCTCCATCTTTTTTGTGTGGTCAAAATTTTCCATATTTTCTTTAAGCAATTATGATGTTGCCTTATGTCCTCTTACTTTCCATGTCAATATATCTATTGAGACGTTGAATAGTATACAAAAATTTTCTTATAAATAGCAAAGACAAATACAAAGGCTATCATACAACAGAGAAGACACAAAACTAAAATATAGAAATATATCCTTCCTGTTAAGTTTTCCAGAGATATGGCTAAGTCTTCTGCACTATGCTTCTTGTTCTTCCTTCTGTTCATCGTCTCATTAGGTAAACTTGTTACAATAATAATGAAAACAATAGGTGAATGTACCAAAAAAATATAATAATTATAGGACAATGATAAAATATTTTCTATTTGTTCTTCTTCACCTCTCTATGCATTTTTCTCTAATTAATCTCATAAATTTTATTTTGAATCAATCATGTATATCGATGCATATTATTTGTGAATTTATTTCCTTACATACAAATAATTATACTTGTGTGCTAATTGAAAAGGTGGAGATAAGATGGTAGCGGAAGCTAAACACTGCTTGAAGACTTGGAATTGCAACACTACAGATATCTGTTGGGATGACTGCAAGAGCCGCTACGGTGGGAAAGGACTTTGTGACCTTATCCCTACTCCTTTTGTTCCTAAACAGTGCCTTTGCTCTTATGAATGTTGAGAGAGGAGAAAAATATACATTATGAATAAGTCTTAATAATAATAAAAATGTCATAGTTACATATATGGTAACCAAAATGTGTATGCTTGACTTATGAATGTTAGGGCATCTTAAAGCTAAGATATTCTAACAACAAAGCATCAAATGTATAAGGCATCCAATGATATAAGCATATAATAACATAAATAAACAATGACTAAAGCATCTCATTAAATCAAATACAATATATGCATTAAGCATCATATAATTCTCATTCCTAAACAATGAACGACTTAACTAGCCATAGAGGAGATCGATTAGACCACCATTGAAGATGAAGGCATCTCCATTGCTCTGACAGAATCTCTCCTCTCCTGTGGTTGCTAACTCGAGCTCACTAGGGATAGAGTGTGTGTAAAAGCTAAAGCCTAAATCTCTACTTATAGTATATAGAAGAAGGGATATTCTAGGGATTTGCTCCTAAAAGGCGGCCAAAAGAGTCCTTATACCATTGAGATGCGAATTTCTTGACTTGGGATCGAAGTATAGCATATTCCATAATCTTCAATGGAACTAGACCAGCGCGGCCCAACAACGATCACCACTGCCATGACATTCCTTCCTCCAAATGGGATGATTTTTAGTGGACGACTCCATCATGGGCTTATTGAGCTGCTCCTCCAATTTCAACTCGTTTGGCTTCATTTGACCCTTAAGCTTTCATAAATATGGTTCTCTAGGCCATCAAATGAGCATTTGAAGTCCAAATCCATCTATGTTTGAACCTATGAGCTTGTATTCTCGTCTTTCTTATAATCCATATGGTGATCCATACTCCTATAGACTGTATTACATCCCTAAAATGCACAACATAACACCAAATGACGTAAAATACTACAAAAACACACTCAATCTCTATCTTAGGATTAATCAACGTTATAATGTGAATGTCATCAATTAGTTAATGCGTGCTTTCACTTCATGCCACTAACTAATCAATTAAAAAATAAGAAAGTAAGGATAGCACTTTGCTATTTAGAACCAAATATACCAGCCTAGTATAGGGTGGTAACTGATGGTAGATGATGAAAGATGACAATTAGTATATTCCTACTATCATGTATGCAACTATTCCATAATATGGTATATTCATACCACAATGATACACTTCCATACCACCATGGTACACTCTTATATACTATGAATCATTATCACCAGAGTATAGACTAGTAATATAAAGTCTCAAAATTTTGTTTTAAAATATATCCAAGTTGATGTTACTTTGAAGAGCGCGATTAATATGATTTTTTTACATTGTTTTTGAATTCTAACTTAAAACAAAAGAAGTATATCCCATTAAATTTATTTGATCAACATGGTATAATCTTATATACTATGAAGCATCATCACCATAGTATAGACTAGTAATATAAGTCTCAAATTTTTTGTTTTAAAATATTATCAAAGTTTATGTTACTTTGAAGAGCACGATTAATTTGATTTTTTTACAAAATACTTTTTTGAATTCTAACTTGAAAAAAGAGGTATGCCCATTAAATTTATTTGATCAACCTGCAACCAATTTTTGTTACCAAACAAATCCACTAACATTTACTTCTTGACTACACTATTAACATGCTAGGACGATATTAGCCGACAAAAGAAAATAATTATGAATTTTCCTTATCTCCCTTATTTTTACATTAATATCTTGCCTTTTTTTTTCATTCTCCATCTATTTCTTCTTGTTATAATTCTCCATCTTTTTTGTAAGCAATTATGATGTTGCCTTATGTTCTTCTACATTTTATGCCAATATATCTATTGAGGCGTTGAATAGGACAAGAAATATTTATTATAAATAGCAAAGCCACATACAAAGACTATCATACAACTGAGGACACAAAACTAATATATATCCTTCCTGTTAAGTTTTCCATAGATATGGCCAAGTCTTCTATACTATGCTTCTTGTTCTTCCTTCTGTTTATCGTCTCATTAGGTAAACTTCTTACAATCATTACAATGATAAATATTTTTTGATTGTTTTTCTTGGCCTCTCTTAGCATTCCGCTCTAATTAATTTCATAAATTTTATTTCGAATCAATCATGTATATGGATGCATCTTATTTGTAGTTTATTTCCTTATGTACACTTAATTATACTTGTGTGCTTATTGAAAAGGTGGACACAAAATGGTAGCGGAAGCTAAAAATTGCTTAATGACTTGGGATTGCAGCACTGTGGAGCGCTGCTGGGATGACTGCAAGAGCCGCTACGGCGGGAAAGGACTTTGTGACCTTATCCCTACTCCTTTTGTGCCTAAGCAGTGCCTTTGCTCTTATAAATGTTGAGAGCGAAGAAAAAATATAAATTATGAATAAGTCTTACTAATATGAAATATCATATTAGTCCATGAATCAAACCATACCAACCATCCATATACTACATGCCTTTCCTTTTTAAGGGGAGACCACTCCTTTGATGTTGGATTCGAATTTTCCAACTCCACAACTATGGTACCCGATCAATTTGTCTTGTCTTGGTGGGCTTGCAAGGCGTCTCATGCTCTTCAGCCTAAGGCATCTTACTAGACATGTTAGGTTGATGTTCAACCTGATGTGCTTGCCTCTTTCAGCGTGGTACACTAGGCATTCTCAACTCTTTTGACTCATCAAAGAGACCACCACTTGTTTTCTGCCTTAGTTTCCCCGAACTTGACACATACTTACTCTTCCCATATGGTTGAAAAGATGAGTATTTGGGTTTAACGAACTGATGACCACCCATGTGGCCAACTTCACTCTTTTCAAACCCCATGTCTTCTCGACTTTTACACTTCACACAATAACCACCCTTGGCCCTCTATAGGAGCATGTCTGGTTGGTGTGTGTCGAGATGTCTTTTTCATGCCCCCTTGCCTGCCATTCATGTTAGGCATGTCATGGGGTTGTTAGGCATGGACTTGCCTCCTTGGACACCCATTGACACACTCTCGTAGCTATGAAACTTGTGGGTTGCTTGATTGTTTTCCACACTCCAAGGCTTGCCCCTCACAACTTTCTTCACGGTTGGAGACATGACCCCCGTCCACTAGTTGGAGACATGTCCCCCATACCATTGTTCATGGTTGTTGACGTGCCCACCTTGCCATATTTTTGTCATATTAGCATGATTACTAAAAGCATGTGTGGCTTCATGTTGTGAATTATTAGGCACACATATCAATCCACTGGTTGTGGTTGTTGAAGTGCCCCCCCCCCACTCATTTCTTTATGGTAGATGATATGCCCCCTACTATACTGCATGAGGTTGGAAACATGCCCCCCTTGCCACACTTAGTCACACTAGCATTTTTTTTATAGAAACACATGTGACTTGTGCTTGTTGTAGCTTCTTGGGAAAAATTGTCAACTCACTGCTTGTAATCGATGGCATGCCCCCTTGTCGACCATTCATGGTTGACATGCTATGATGGGTTTTGCCTCCTTGTCCACTCATTGACAAGCTGTCGAAGTTTTGGAAATCATGGGTGGCATGGGTAAGCAACACCCGCTTAGACTTGCCACTCACTTCATTCTTCACGTTTGATGACATGCCCCCTGCCCACAGCATGGATCCGGAGACATGTCCTTCTTCCCACACTTAGTTGAAAATTGTGGTGAGTCCTTAGACAAATCACATTTTCTATTTTTTCAGACATGAACACACCCCTAGTCTGACATTTCAACTTTAACTTGTCATGTGGTAGGCGTCCATGCCCTCTTTGATGCCCCCATGGCGGTTGGCATCTGCCATGCTCATTAAGTAAGAGTGGCAACGACGGTGGACAAGTTTGTGGCGGTAGTCGAGTATGCCAATATGATCTTAATGAGGTGCGGGGCTTTGCATCTGACATTCGTTGGGCTTCCCTCTTCGGGAGCCTGCGTCCGGGCGTTTTTGTGCAATAAACCCCTCCGGCTGAAGACTAGTGGTAGGTGGTCCCGCGGAGCTTTCGGAGAAGGGTAGCCTAGTGTGTAAGCACAGCAATGAACCACATCCGGTGTAACCACATCCGGTCTAACCACCAGCAGAATACCAACGAATATCCTATTATTGATCTAGATTTACTTGATCTCCACTAGCCTTCCCATTACGAGGTGTCATACGTGATCTAGATACCAAGAAATTTTCTTGTATAACTGCCTGCACAAGTGGTTTCTCCACGTGGGTGATGAATGTGGGGGAGAATTTCTTGCCCCAACCATCAAGTTGAAGAGTTGGTTGACTCATTGCCGGTGATGGCAAGTTCCCGAGTCGTGGCTGGATAGTTCGGTCACCGGAGACTAGAATACTTGTATCCCTAGCAGCAATGCTTGGTGGTGGATCTATACCATTTTTTGGTAAAGTCATTTCTTGCATCACTAGTTCTATGAAATTTTTTTAAAACTTATCCAAACAATTTTTATTTTTTATCACTACTTCAAATAATTGATCCAAACGTCTATCTAAGGTAGAACTAAAAGAAGCAAGTTTTAAACTTGTCTGTTGTGAACTTCTAACAAGTCCATTCAAACTCTCTTCCATCAATCGACAGATCTCCACCATCCCTTGATGGTTCTCCACCACCATCTTGCGGTTATCATCCACTATTGAGCGGAGTGACATAGCAGTGGCGGTTACAACGGCACAAGGTGCCGCCAGTGGCAAGATCATAATCATGCCATTGTTTCCGACAACACTTTCTATTGCTTGGCCAAATTTGAACATGGCCACCAACTCATTCACAACTCCTGGTGAAATATCACTTTCTTGTTGCCTTTGTCTCAGAGCCATCAAATCAAACATAAGTGTTCCACTGGGTGTGTCAATTTGTTTTCGGGCGAGGAAAACTCTTGTGCTTGAATTAATGCTTGAACCTTTGACTTCTTGAACAACGATTATAAAAACGGTTCACACCTCTCCGCACAATGTTCGAAACAGGGTGTTTCATGTTTGATGGTTTTTTGGGAACACACTATGTTAATTACACCTACTCCTATGGAAGTTCAGTGAGAGCTCCAAAAACTAAGGCTATGGCTAATTTGCGGAGAAAAGATAAAAGTTTGACATTCTGCGTCAAATGGTTGGTTGTGGAACCCTTGCTTCTTCTTCGTTTCTCCTATTTATAACCACTAGGTGTAACTGCTTTGATAACCTCCCTGGTACCTGCTAGCCGGCCTGTTGCTCCAACCGCCTAAGGGACCCTTTGTCGCCGCATTGGAGTTGACTGGTTGGTACTGTCATCTGGTTGGCTTGGCATCAGGCTTGATGAGTAGAGGTCTATCTTGATGCCTCGTCTTGACTATAAAGGGTTGGAGCCTCCTTGTCTTGCCTCCATCACATCTTCCCTCCCATCAAGCCTTCTTGACGACCCCAACACCTTGATGATTCTTACATACTTAGCTCCATTGATGTCGACTGCCTCCTTGTCTTGCCTCCATCACATCCGCCCTCCCATCAAGCCTTCTTGACGGCCCCGACACCTTGATGATTCTTCCATGCTTAGCTCCATTGATGCCGACTTAGTACCACCATGTCTCGTATTTGGTACACCAGGCTACCAAGCCAACCATAGCGGCCCCGCCACCAAGCCTGCAGCATTGGCTTGATTTTCATACTTAGTTATTAGAACTTCATCTAGTTGGTACCTTGTCTCTTTTCATGTCTTTTGGTACCAAGCCTGTAACACCTTAGGCAAATCCCACATCGACAAAGCACGGGAGAGATCCATGGTTCATAAGTAGAAAACTGACCTTAACTGACAAGACGCGTTTTGGGGTGAAACGGAGGAGTTCTTGTGAGAACTCCGAAGTTAAACGTGCTCAGTGTGGAGTACAACAAGGATGGGTGACCTCTTGGGAAGTCACCTTGAATTGCACCCCAAGTCGAAAACCGTGAGGGTCGAGGCCCAGAGCGGACAATATCTTGCTCGCGAAAAGGTTTGGGATGTTACAAGTGGTATCAGAGCCTCTCCGCGTCCCTCTTGAACGATGGTGGGGCAAACTTCAACGAGGGCGTTGAGTCCCAAGGGGGGGGGGGGGGTGTATGTAACACCTTAGACAAATCCCACATCGACAAAGCACGGGAGAGATCCATGGTTCATAAGTAGAAAACCGACCTTAACTGACAAGACGCGTTTTGGGGTGAAACGGAGGAGTTCTTGTGAGAACTCCGAAGTTAAACGTGCTCAGTGTGGAGTACAACAAGGATGGGTGACCTTTTGGGAAGTCACCTTGAATTGCACCCCAAGTCGAAAACCGTGAGGGTCGAGGCCCAAAGCGGACAAACCAAATATCATGTTTGTGTACCAGGCCTGTCAGTCTGTCTTGTCGGCTCCTGTCGTGACGCCTTATTTTCATACTTAGTTTTTCGATGACCCCCTTTTTAGTAGCCGGCTTGGTACCAAGCGTTTGGCACCCACCCAATCCAACAAAGCCCAACTAGCTCTTTTAATTATTAATGTTGAACTGACCTTATAAGTCCATTAAATTTCTTGTAGTTAATCGATGTAGTACAATCTGATTTTTTAATAAATAAACAATAGTCAAGTGACATGTTCAAGCTAGAAGAAGAAATAAAAGTAGTCTGTTCTACAGGTAAGTAGCAAGTCTACATATTACCCATCCGGGTTGTTTATTAGCTATGTATTTTGGTTGGTCGATTTGCTTGATCTGTGTGGTTCCATGAAGTCTTAAAGTATGCATTCATTCTCCAATTAAATTACTTGCATGCTAGTTCTACTGGTTCATTCATAGACTTGGAAATTTATGAAAAATGGCAACTCCTAAAAACACCCTTCAACCAGGTTCTTCTTATGAGCTCCTCATCACAAATTACCATTCCTATTAGACACATCCAATTTCTTTCTCATAGTTCTGAACTTTTCTCTCATGGTTGCTGAATTTTGCTACCTACTGAGTTTTATTCATCAAGAAACAATTCATTTTTGGATATTTCGATCAGTAGTTAAGTGCAATATGTATCTCGTGATCTTTTATGATTGCTGCAGATATTATTACTGCTACATGAGAAAGAGCAAAAAATAACGTTTATGTTTAAAAATTTCAAGTAAATTCTAGAATAGTTGCAATGTATGGTTTATGGGTGCTGAATGTGGCTTCTAATCTTCCATTTCAGGGCTAGAAGTGAACCAGTCCGACATATACATTAAGTCCTTGGAATCTCCATCCTCAGTGAAGTGTCAATGATGTTATGATAGAGTTGTAGCACTTGTTGAATTTGTCGTGAATAGATGCAAATTGCAATATATATGTTGTATGTTTCAATAAAGTCATTGGAGTCTCAGAGACCAATGAAATCTCGAAGATGTTATGATAGAGTTGTAATACCTGCTGATTTCTGTGAATAGATACATACTGCAACTGTATGTGTTGTATGTCTGAGTGATATCGTGAACATTTCAAGATTCTATCTTCGAATAAATGTGTTACAACTCTTTGGTGCTCTGAGAACTTGAGCTTTGCTTCCACAAGGTTCTACTGTTTACAAAATAGAGATAAACTTTCTTTCTTCTTGTGATTACGGCAGTTGGTGGTGGTTGTGGCCTTGTTCTCTGACTCACTAGTACACTTGTCACAATCAACAAGTGACTCCTAAACCAGCTAGTAGCTACTTAACTAAACGATAGTAGTGAAGCTCTTCTTTGGCCCAATTATAAAAAGAAAACAACACAATAAAATGAGAGACTAACAGTAGCAAACCAACACTCAACCAGTAAAAAGACCCGCAGCAGTAACAACACTTCGCCAGTAAAAAGACCAGCAACCAATGCTGCTACCAATTAACTACTTCAGTGTGTACTATTTTGTAACTTTCTTCCTAAAGTGCGAACAACACTTTGCAGTCCTGTTTTCCTTCAAGCTTGGGCTCTTCCTGTTCCTCCATGATGGACAACGAAACAAAGGTAAACTCACCAGCCAATTCAGACCTTAGTGCAACTCAACCATGCTCTACATCATCTGTACTTCCCGCAAAATGTATGATTCTTCCTACATTCCTTTTGGCTATGATATAGACGTGTGATGATGGGAATTGTGGGTGGGTTGGTGACTTGGTGTTTGTGGTGGACGAACAGAAGGAAGAGAGAGGAGGTTTGGATGTGAGATAGAGAGAGGGATATTGGGACGACGATTAATTTGGTTGTTTATTTTTTAATTACTCCAAAATGACAATCAAGGTAGACTTATAGTCTCCCGCTCCTATCAACTACGTACTATAATAATCCCATATTTCCCTAATATTTTCAATAATCCCCAAATTCTCTAAAATTTCATTGAACATCCTCAAATAACAATAGTAATTAAAATAATAAACTCGTGATACATCATCAATCCGTGTGTAACACCATATCCTGTAAGTATTACCTAATCAATTTGTGCATGCAATTGAGCGGAATTTAACTTGGGTATTACAATAATTTCCAAAATTTATGCAAATTAAAATTCGATACGAATTACTCGCTTATTGGGCTAATATTTCTTGCAACTAAACCTGCAAAAAATTTTATCTGAATCACTGCATTCATAGACATACATATATACCCACAAACATATACATTGGATTTTCATAGTCATAGTCACAATTTCATATTTCGTAACTGCATACCATACTTTTACATGTCATAATCTTCACAACTTACACGACCACGCATATAAATACATATCATCAACTTTCCACGCATGTGGATAGCTCACACTACATCAGAAGCTATTATGCACATCAAAAATATTCTCAAAACATTTTCACAAAAAGGTGTGGATCACTGGCCAAAATCCAAAGTAGTCATCCAAGCACTGAATAGTTGAAGACAGGACCTCATACTACCTTCAATTCCTCGCTCTGCTCACACCTATATACTTGCTACTGTTATTGCTAATGATTTGCTTGCACATGACATAAGCATAGTAAAAGAATAAAAGAGGGTCAACTCATAGTTGAGTGAGAAAAATCCAACCTTCTTCTTCCTTCTCATAACCCTAGCTCTCAAAGCTTCTCTATATTGTATCAAAGCTGGAACAAATCCAGTGACCTCGATGATAACAACTCCACCACCTCGATCTACTCATGGAATTCCCTTGAGTGCTAGTGCCATACAATTTCGTACTCATGAATTGCAATCAAGCAAAATCAACAACAACAACAACAACAACAAAAAAACAACAAATAGGCGTCAAGAAATGTTGTTTGGTAACCATATAGTATAGAGTACCAGATGTGGCAGCGAGCAATTAGAATGACTTTGATAACTAAACATAAGATTGGGTTTATCAATGGATCCATCCCTATTGCAGATCTCAGTGACCCTAATTATGGTTCGTGGGATGCTTGTTGCACTCTTTTTTGTGTTGGATTCTGAACTCCATTGAGAAGAGATAAGGAGAAGTGGGATGCAACATGAGAATGTCTAACTCTTCGGGAATAGTTGAAGAAAAGGTTTGTGATAAAACCATAACACAAGCATACACATTGGTGTTAAAATACTTTTTTTGAATTCTAACTTGAAAAAAGAGGTATACCCATTAAATTTATTTGATCAACATGCAACCAAGTTTTGTTACCGAACAAATCCGCTAACATTTACTTCTTGACTACACTATTAACATGCTAGGACGATTTTAGCAGACAAAAGAAAATAGTTATGAATTTTCCTTATCTCCCTTATTTTTACATTAATATCTTGCCTTTTTTTTCATTCTCCATCTATTTCGTCTTGTTATAATTCTTCATCTTTTCTGTAAGCAATTATGATGTTGTCTTATGTCCTTCTACTTTTTATGCCAATATATCTATTGAGGCGTTGAATATGACAAGTAATATTTATTATAAATAGCAAAGCCACATACAAAGACTATCATACAACTGAGGACACAAAACTAATATATATCCTTCTTGTTAAGGTTTCCATAGATATGGCCAAGTCTTCTATACTATGCTTCTTGTTCTTTCTTCTGTTTATCGTCTCATTAGGTAAACTTCTTACAATCATTACGGAAAATTAGGTGTATGTACCACAAAAAAGTATATTATAATAGTCATAGGACAATGATAAATATTTTTTGATTGTTCTTCTTGGCCTCTCTTAGCATTCCGCTCTAATTAATTTCATAAATTTTATTTCGAATCAATCATGTATATGGATGCATCTTATTTGTTAGTTTATTTCCTTATGTACACTTAATTATACTTGTGTGCTTATTGAAAAGGTGGACACAAAATGGTAGCGGAAGCTAAAAATTGCTTAATGACTTGGGATTGCAGCACCGTGCAGCGCTGCTGGGATGACTGCAAGAGCCGCTACAGCGGGAAAGGACTTTGTGACCTTATCCCTACTCCTTTTGTGCCTAAGTAGTGCCTTTGCTCTTATAAATGTTGAGTGCGAAGAAAGAATATAAATTATGAATAAGTATTATTAATATGAAATATCATATTAGTCCATGAATCAAACCATACCAACCATCCATATACTGGAGAAGTTACTTTGAACCCCTAGCTCCCTGGTACCCATTTATCATGCCAAATATCCACTTTTTCCCCATTCCCAATCCGCCATCTGATTTCTCTCTTAACTAACTTTTGTGCAGCCATGATTCTCCTCCAAGCATAACTAGGGATGTATCCCATGTCTGCTTCAGTGATCTCTCTTCCCGAGTGATATTCTGCTCTCATAAGCTTTTTCACTAGAGATTTTGGCCTTTTTATCAGTCTCCATAGTTGTTTTCCAAATAGAGCCAAATTAAAACTATGTAGATTACGAAAACCAAGACCCTCCTGCTTCTTTGGTCGACACAACTCCTCCCACCAAAGCCAATGAGTTTTATGTTCTTCCTTTTGTTGCCCCCCAACAGAAATTTGAGATGACCTGCTGAACTTCCTTCAACACCCCTGCCGGAATCATAAATATCGACACAGCATAAGTTAATTGTGCTTGGACCACTGACTTTATCATCACCCCCTTTCCTACTATAGATAGAAGTTTACTTTTCCAAATTTTGACCTTACTTCTCACCCTATCCACCAAATAGTCGAAAACCGCCTTCTTTCCTCTTCAAAACTTTATTGGCAGTACCAAATATGTTTCATGATGTTCAACAACCTTCATTCCCAAGCCTCCTGCCAACATATCTCTTGCTTCCTTTCAGATATTTGGATTGAAAGACAACTCTGACTTTACTAAGTTGACCTTTTGACCCGTCTCTGCCTCTTATAGGCCTAAAATTTGCTTCAATTGTACACACTCTTGGTTGGTTGCTTTAGTGAACAAGATACTTCATACTTCCATCCTCAAATAGCATAGGAGATATATTTGGTACTCCCCTTCTTAGCAATGCAGTCAAAAGCGCGATTCTACCTAGAAGCGGAAAAGGGTTAAAATCGTAAAGCGTAAAAGCGTAAGTTTTTGACGCATACTGAAAAAATAACTAAAAATGTATTAAGTAGGACATATGCTATGCAAAATATGAATGCACATAATTTAGATAAGTCAATAAATACATGCCATTCATGCCTAAAGTAGAACAATTTATAGCATCTTAATAATAAGTTTGTAAACATAAATTTTGACAATAAGCCACTTTTCCCACTACACTAATGAATTTGGGAAAAGCCTAACAGGTGAATTAGATTACTCTATCGAAGTTGAGAATGCATCCAAGTACCTTATATGTATCTTTTAATCTCAAATGTATCATATTGTTGGTGATTTACTTTTAAAATATACTTTTCATAATTAATTTCATGAAAAGAATACTCATTTAGTGAACTAAAAGCGTAAAAACGTAAAGCGTTTTGGAGAACTAGAAGCGTAAAACCGTAAGCTTTTAAGCTTCAAAGCGCAATTTAGTCTGATTTTATACACTTAAGTTTTTATATGGAAAGGAAAGCGTTTTGGTGACCTAAAAGCGTAAAATCTTAAGTTTTTAAGTTTTAAAACGCGATTTTGACTTCATTGCTTCTTAGCTGAATCTCACTTATCTTCCATTTGCATTTTGCATAGCACGATTGCTCATTTTGAGTATATTTTTTTAGTTAGTGTATGGTTTTGAGATTTGTGGCTTGGGAAATGCGGATTGCTTTATATTTAGTGCATGTTTCATATTGATTCTGATATGATTTATATGGTTTCCAGTTTGTTTTAGTAAATTTTTGGTCTGTTTTAATATATTTGTTTTATGTTTGATGAGATTTCTGGTATACTTGGTATGCTTTATGAGAGTTTTAATATGTTTTAAAAAACTTGTGGTCTGTTTTATAAGGTTTATGGTATGCTTCAATGAAATTGTGATATATTTTATAAGGTTTCTAGTATGCTTTACAAAAATTTGTGATTGCCTTAATAAATTTGTGGTCTGCTTTATGAGATTTCTAATGTGGTTCAGTAGACTTGTGGTTAGCTTTGTCAGGATTCTAGTGTGTTTTAGTTAATTGTGATATGCTTTATAAGAATTTTATAATAAATTTTAGAGTTGCACTACAACTCTCATAAACTGATAAAAGCATACCAGAAACACAACAAACCACGTCACAAAATTCATATATTATACCACATACCTTACAAATCCAACCTCGAAGAGAATTGGAAAACACAACAAATGGCAGGGGGGAAAAACAATAAACAAGTGACATAGTGGAGGTGATAGTATTCTTAATAAGCTCCTTCGATTTGTTCAATCTCAACTCCGATTTCGATGGTGATTGAATAATTGGTATGGTTGGTTCTCAAAATTTGGAGGTTGTTCCTGAAGCAAAATGCGGCCCAAACTTGGTAATATAAAATGAAATTTTTTTAAAAATTTTTATTACCTATAAGTTCTTCAAATTTTCTTTTGGCCGGGAGCGGAGCTAGCTTAGGCCTCCGGCTCCCCCTCGAGAATTATGAAACTTACGTGTAAGGTTGTTTGGTTTTGGTGATTGTTTGGTGGGAATAGTTACAATGCATGTATTGTTCACAATGCATTGTTTTTTTGAATTTTCTGCACAAACAATACATGCATTGTTTGCTTGATTTGACTTAAACTATCACTCAAAATGAGTGATAGTTAAATCTCAAGTATTTGTGAGATTGTTGAGATTGTTCGGGTGGAGATTATTGGGTTATTTTTTCTTCCAACTATGTACCTACCTTTTTTATTTGTGTTATTTTTTTATATTAAAAGCAAAGGGTAAAAAGGACATTTCATCCAAAAAGTAATATAACTTGTCTAAATACTACAATAACTATCACAAAACCAAACGATGTAAACTACAATACACTAATTTTCTTATATACATGCATATTAGTATACATGCATTGATGACAATCCATCAATTTAACTATCACCAAAACCAAACGACCCCTAAGAGGTAGTTTGAAAGTTGTGATTGTTAAATCGTTGCATTGTAATGAATCATCATAATATAAATGCATGTATTGATACAACGGATGCATTTTAACAATACATTGTTTGGTTGTTGAGATTCTATTTTATGCATTGATTTACATAAATTTATTTTATAGGGAAATATCACATTTACCCTCAACTTTTAGAATAGGACAAAAACTATTGGGGATATAAATGGAAAGAAAAAGTTGACACAAATCTAAAACCAACAATCACAACTTTTAGTTGAGATTGTATAATGCATCATTTTTTGTGATTATTGGTGGGACCTATCTAAAACAATGCATGCATTGTTTAACACTTTGGCACTTCCAAACATTGTATTGTGCACAATATATGTATTCAACAAACACAACTCTAACAATCACAAATTTCAAACGACCAACACTAAGCAGTGCAGCAGAAAGAAACTCTTTTTTTTTTTTTTGAAAGTGTGGTTCATTAAAAATGCAATGGGCAAGCCCAAAGGAAAAGATACAAGCAGTATCTGTGTGGCGCCTAAACAAGGTTTCGATCCCTCTACAAAGCAGTATATATATATTTTTCTCTACATTTTGCACTTGACAAGAAGACTGGTCAATCATTTCACTCTCTGTAGAGCTACCGTATACAATGTCCATTCCACTCATATTTAGGTTCATTTTGATTCATTCAAAATTAGGGTTAATTGTATGATTGGTCACTGAGATAACGTTCATATTTGGTCACTGAAAATATTTAAATCCAATATTGGTCACTCAAATTAGTTAAATGGTTCAAGTTTGGTCACTCTCCGTTACCTTCCGTCAGTTTCCGTTAACACTGTCAGTTATTTGCTGACGTGGCTAACAGAAGTACTGATTCACCCAATTTAAATTATAAAAAAAATAAAACCCGACCTGCACAGTCAGCAAAATCCGCCACGTTAGTTACCCACCCCAAACCGTGACCCAAGTACCCAACCCTTCCACTCCCCCCTAACTCCTCAACTTCCTCCATCCTCGGCGCTGCCGGGTCCCCGCCGCTGTCGTCGTCTGCGGCTCCTTCTCCGCCTCAATCGATCGCTGCGCATTGCGTAGCAACTCATCCGGCCCTAACCACTCTTTCTCCGCCTGATCTCTCTTCTACCACCTCCGCAGAACAAGCTTTCTCCGCTCCTCCACCTACCCCCAATCCCGCCGCCGAATATCCTCTCGTGCTGTAATACATGTCCTCTTTCTTCGACGACACAACCAATTTCTTCTTCTCATTCACCCCCGAAGTCTGAACTCCCGCCGCCTCTGAATTCCTGTACCACATTACCACTCGTCAAATCAGGGAAGAGAGAAAACCCAGATCGGCAAATGTCCAAACAAGCCACCAAGCTCTGCAAAGGAGACACCGTTGCCACCGGCAAGGAGATAGATGAAATATTTGTGTTTTTTACTCGGAAATCAGACTTACTTTGTAATACGACTGGAAAGGAGATGGTGAGAGATTTCTTTTTTCGGCGAGGAGATGACGAATCTATCAACCCGGGAAGTGATTCTCCGGTTGAATCCGTCGTTGGATCTCTGGGAGATGAATTGAGGGCCTCTGACTCTCACGCATCTCAGTCGCTTTTTGATCCCCCACTGTAGCAGTAAATCTGGTTCGAAACCTTTGCAACCTCTTTGTTGGCTCTTCTCTTCCTTCTCCATTCGTATCTGGTTATTTCAAAGAAAAGCCCCAAAACAGAGTTAAAAAAAAGACCCAGTGGGTATGAAAATTGGACAAAGGTTGAGACAACCCGCCGAGAATTGAAGTTTTTTTTTGTTTCTGGTACATCGGCGAGGGCAGAGGAAGTTGAGGAATTAGGGTGGAGTGGAAGGGTTGGGTACTTGGGTCACGGGTTGGGGTGGGTAACTAATGTGGCGGGTTTTGCTGACTGTACGGGTCGGGTTTTATTTTTTTATAATTTAAATTGGGTGAATCAGCACTTCTGTTAGTCACGTCAGCAAATAACTGACAGTGTAAACGGAAACTGACGGAAGGTAATGGAGAGTGACCAAACTTGAACCATTTAACTAATTTGAGTGACCAAGATTGGATTTAAATATTTTCAGTGACCAAACATGAACGTTTTTTATAATCTCAGTGACCAACCATTTAATTAACCCTTCAAAATTATATCAATTAAAATTTTCAGTTATAAGGTTACAGATATATAATGAGTGAGTTTTTGAATAGTAATATCCGTAAGACTTCCCTTATTAGTTATGAAAACAAAATATGCCACACATAATTGAAATGCATTGTTAATTTCTTCATATTATTTAATTTATATTGAATTTAATATGAAAAATATTGTGTGTATATTTAGTTTTTCAAATATTTGTTATCAGTATTTTTCATTCTTTACGGTAATCGGATTCAGACCCCTCGAAAATTAAATTCTGGCTCCGTCCCTACTTTTAGCTACAATCTTTCCCTCCCCTCGCCTTTCTCCCCAATTTCTATGCCCTAGCTTGGGATATGCCTAGTACGGCGCTTAACCAGAGACGGAGCTTTTGTAGTTGTGATACGAAGGATAAGAATTGGAGGGATGCTGTGCTGCTCTTCAGTGATATGGGCTGTGTCTTGCTACGCTTGGTGAATGCAGAGGATGGGCGGCACTGAAGGTACGAGTTTCGTTGCTTTAGGATCAAAACTCTATGCTTTTGGTTCTGGTACAAGTTACTACTTTTGTGATCTTGGTGGTGGGATTGGGAAGAACAGAGACATCTACATGTTTCAGAAAGCAGGGGAACTCTGCTCAGCCAAGCCATACCCAATCTTCATTCCCTACGGTAACCGCAAGATCTTTGCGTCAAGTTATTGGATTTGATGATTCCCAAACCTGCAGGGGGGACTTCCTGATGATGAAAAAGTCGTCGACTCTGATGGATTCCAGCCACTTGAAGATCTGAATTGTGATGTGAATGCAGTGGAATACAGGTTTGTAAAAGACGGATCTGTTCTTCCTGTGGACAATGTGCATGATGACGACTTGTTTTGTCTCCTTGTCCTGTATTATGACATGAAATGGTCGCTTAACCTCTTGCTGTACAAGTTCAGGTTGGTTGAGTTGAGCAAATCTGCCACCACCCCAAACTCCCCTGTCTTTGGCTGCCGAATCCTGTCGAAAGCAGTCTACCAAGACTTTGGTCCACAGGGATGAGATTATGTGACACGTTGTCCTTGATTGTAAGAATTGAGAAGTAGAAGGAGATTGTATTTTGACATATTTACATTGTTAGAGGACCAATTGGTAATTTGGCGACACATGTATGAATTACACGCACTAGTCGAAGCTTGCGTTTTCAGATCTGGAGATTTAGATGTATCCAAAACCAAAACAAATTTTTGAGGTGGATGAATTTTGATGGATTTAGAGATGGGTAGATCTAGGAAGGTGTAAGACTTCGGTCATCTATTGAAGGCGGTGTGTAGATCATAAAGGGGGAAGAGATTCGCTGGGATAAGGGGTCTAGCCTAGACCGTCTAGGGAGATAGGGATGGGTAGATCTAACAAGGCATAAATAAGCCTTGTTCGAAATGTGTGAATAGCTTTTAACGCTATAAGTCTCGAGTAGAGAAAAATCATATTGGTAGTCAAAGACTTACATAAGGTAATAAGGATTGGATTCTCTCTTTTAACGGCATATGTCCTTTGTGGGTGACCCACTTTTATGAGGAAGAGGACGTAATGAATCACCACGAGCATGCAGTTCGTTCGACCGACTGGTCGTGATATGACCTCAAGTTGGAGGTCTTATGACTTGATCCACGCCAAGCTCGATCACTTCCTGGCCAATCTTCAAATCGGATCAAGTACACACCAAAACAAAGTTTTGGTTTTGAGACTTGGAATTAAAAGTGCAGCTTTGCATGATTGGGAAGAGGCTCTGTTAATATAAGTGTAGCTGCTCGACCACAGTTAAAAGGAGAACTTGATGTCAAGAACCAGTTGCTCCCAATAACTCGAGTTGTTGGGAGAGGTTCAATCGTGGATCATATACCACAACACTAACACGCCCCCTCAAACGAAAACCACTCACAAGGACTTGAAGTGTGCACAGGTCTGAAGACAAGAATACCATGTGCTTAACAAATGGGGGTCACCGGGAATCGAACACAAGACCTCTCGGTCACAGAAGGCTCTGATACCATGTCAAGAACCAGTTGCTCCCAATAACTCGAGTTGTTGGGAGAGGTTCAATCGTGGATCATATACCACAACACTAACACTTGATTCATACAGAGACTCACTCGTGTGTATGGAATCCACCAACAGAGGAGCTAAATTCACAAGCCAATGAGCTCGATGAACTAGGGTTTATTATCAAAAGTGTTCGCCTCATTACAAGGACTAAACAAGCCATTTATAGACTTTGAAACCATAAACCTATACTAAGAAGGGAAAAACTAACAATATAAGAGTAGTTAGGTTTGATTTTATGTGTTGAATGTTTTTTTTTACCGTGCCCTTTAGATTTCGATTTATTTAAAGTTTACGTATTTTCTTGATTATATCATTTGATTGTGTGACACCTCAACTACAATCTTTTCTGGAATGCTAGTACTTGGTTCGAAGAAATGAAGCAAAGGGAACTCTTAAAAATACATTACCCTAAGGAAATCTCTTTTTTTTTTAGTATCACTTTGATCGGAAAACTACTCGGTTATCAAGAAATGTGTAAAACATAATATCAAATTCTATTATAATCTCGTTAGCAAGTTATTAATATCATATCAGTTAAATCTTTGACTGTATTATTAATTTGATAGTTATTAAAAGATAAATAAGACTTAAATGGAAACTTAATTATTTTCCCTTACTTTTTCATTAATATCTTGCATTGTTTCTATCTTTCTTCATAAGCCATCATTATGTTGCCTTGCATCCTTTTACTTTGCATGTCAATTGTTGGGCATGTGACTCGGACCTAGCCACCCCAGATAAAGCGCACCGACGCCACCCCGGATGCCGCCAAGCCCTGCGGAACGCAACGCGACCGAAGACTTCCAGAACGGCCTAGCGCGAGGACCTTGAGCGCGGCGTGATGAAGGAAGGCGGGAGCAGAATTCTCGAGCGCGACGCAAGCTACACGCACGTGGAAAAACCAAAATGTCAACTACACCAAGGTGCAGCAGAAAGCGTCGTTTTTACTTCCCGAGGTGTAGTCACATCAGAACCCTATGTACAGTCCTAAGCAGCCCCCTGACACGTCCTAGGTATAAGCATGGTCCAAATCCCTGACGTGTCAGTGTCCACGTCGCTGTCCCCCACATGTCGTGGTCCCCACAAATATCTCAACCACTCACCCACCACCATGTAGCCTATAAATATGGCATTTACTACGGTGGGTGAAGGGGATGGGATTTTTGGGACTCTATCTCTAAAATCATCAACTTCTCTCTCAAGGATATTTCTCTCCCAATTCTCTTTGTAATCTCCTCAGTTCTAAACCGAAGATTATTTCCTCTTTGTTTACTCTCCTTGACCCATTTCCCCCGAGTCTCACTCCTACACCCAATTAGACTCAAACAATTGGCGCCCACCGTGGGGCCAAGTAGAGAAGCAAAGAAAATCCCAAAGAAAACTAACCTATGGCAGAGCGCAGCTCCAACTCACCTGACGAATCAACCCCAATCAAGGCAATGACCAACCCAAGGGAATTCGCGGAAGCCAGTAATCTCAACGCGGTGCTCTTGGAAGAGGAAGAGCCCGAGCTCACGGCCAAAGAAATGAGACAGCTGATGACGAAGCAGAACGACGTCATAGCTAACATGCAGAAACAAATGAGCCAGGTTATGGCGCTCATGATGAGCAAGGAAGCCGCGGCAACAGCGGGCGCGACTCCATCTGTGCAGGGGACTGTCCTACCATCACACCCCGTGCACGAAGCGCAACAGGTCGAGCTCACAGTATGCGCGACACCAGTCGCGTCCCAACAAGCCCACGGAGAAACGGCGGGGACGGTCCCACCACCCCACCCCGTATATGAAACGCAGCAAACTGAACTTCCAGGAAGGGCGGATCTCAGCTTTCTAGAGCAACACCTGTCTCCGCAATACCGGCTCAACGCGCCCAAGAAGGCGCTCCACCAGCCGCTAAGCGTGGAAATCATGGCGGAACACCTGAGCGGAATGCCACCCGCCCTCCCAACATACAACGGGACGACGGATCCCGAAGATCATGTGAGCACCTTCTGCCTGCGGATGCAGCTCCAGACCAACTCCAACGCGGCGTTATGCCGAACCTTCCCATCAACCTTTTCAGGGATTTGCCTGGATTGGTACAACAGGCTACCGAACGGGATCATCCGCTCGTTCGAGGAGTTTATACTCCTATTCACCACAAAGTTCGCATCCCAAAAAAGAAGGCCCCTCCATCTCAAGGCGCTGGTAGACCTTAGGCAGAAGGATGGGGAGAGCCTACGATCATTTTACGCCAGATGGTCCAGAGTGGCGATGGCAGTGCGCGACCTCACTCCCGAGACCGCCGCCCATCACCTAATGGAAGCCACAACTAACATGGAACTCAAGCGGGCGCTAGCAAAGAGGCCCGTAACTCTGTCAACGGAATTGGAGATGAAGATCGAGAAGGCAATCACGCTGGAAGAAACCCTCGGAGCGGGATCGGTTAGGCGCTTCGAGCCAGCGAAATTGCCACGGGAGGATCAGGGACGGTGGCAGCTCACGCTGCCGCGAGAGTAGCTAGCGCAGCTGCACAGCGGGCAAAAGCGCCATCCCCCTCCTCCACAAGAGCAAGGTCAGCGAGGAAGGTCGCCAGACAGACGCGCGGCCCACGCGTTCACGCCGCTCAACGACTCCGTGAAGAACGTGTTCCACGTTCTGTGCGAGAAGGGTACAAACTCAACTGGCCCCCGCCTCTGAAGTCCTT